TTCATTTTGTAGACGTTTCCTAATCCTGTTTATAATGATGGTAGTAAGGGAGATAGAAAAAACGATACTAACACGACCAGGGAAAGGGTGATGAATCATTATGTAATTGATGAACCTCCACCTTTATATGAACGAATTGACGACAACTTTTACGAAAGATTAGACGAAGTGAAGGCAAATGGCGGCCCTAGCACTTCTCGTCAAACATGCAACGAAAATTCTCTGTGTGAAAAAAATCTCCTTGAGAATCCATTGTATAATCATATTAGCAAAGGTAAAGATCCTCCCAATGTTGTGACTGATGATAGACTCTCGAAAAAAATCATGCAGAACGACGTTTCCCATGATGCAATGGATATGCAGTCATACAACGATGTATTAATCGTTCAGCTACCAAAAGACAGCGAGACGGCATCTTTGTTAAACATTGGATCTCGAAATAGCGATAAAAGTCAGAGCTAAGTCTTGCGTTGAAATATCGTTCAGTTTAAAATAATTTGATTACAGGAGATGAAAGAAGACGCGAAGAAGAAAGAATACCGAATTCCTTTTCGTTTTAATCACATCGTTTTTATGTTTCATCTCAAATTTTCATTTTAAAATTTACAAAGAAATTGTCAACGATTTTGATTCCACGATACGACTTAGTTCAAACTTTTATAATTCCTGTTTTTGATTTAAGGAATTTAGGTCGAAATGTCATCATATGATGAAGCAATTATTTTATAATTTTTAAGGTAGCTACAAAATTCATATTTTGTAGTTGCCTTACCTACCATGCGTTGAGTTCATATTTTACATTTAAAATTTCGAAATCAACGACGTCATTTGTACATATTTTCTTTAAGTTTGTCTGGCCTAGATGAACAAAGCATGTTTTTAATATATTTTAATTTTAATATTTTTAATGTTTTAAGAATGAAACAAAATTTTCTCATAAATAGTGTTTTCGCCTTTTTTCGATGGAGTTAGAGCTATAGTATTGATATGATGTTATATTTAGTCCTATAGCACATAAACTGAAAATATACTTAGATATACTTAAGGTTTCCTTTTTAAACTCGAAGCTCAACCATGCATTCAAAAGTATCATTATCAAGGCCCGTTTACACTATACCGGATTGCTATCGTAGCAGGTTGAATTTTCTTTGTATTAAAAGGCAGTGAAATTTTTCAACGTCAGAAACACAATCAAATAGACTAAATCTATCAACTTTATAAGCTTTTACTCCGAATGGTTACCTCTTTAAAGCAAATGAAGATGTCGTGGTGACCGAATCCCCGGTATAGTATAAACGCAGCCTTAGACTCAACGTACACCCAGGTATACCCAATGTATACTTATTGCTTATGTTAGCTACAGTTTTAATGTGTGATGACCTAGCTAATGTACTTGTTTCCTTTATGTGTAAATTACATGCAATGATTTGTAAATAATTCAATGGTTCAAACCTGGGAGAGAGGGGCAGAAGATTGATAATTGAGAGGGCTAATCTTCATATATGCATGTTTTGCTTTATTTGTTTCTTTTCAATTCAATTGTGATTAAGAATTGTAAGATATAAATACATTAATATAGCCTTTCCAATCGTCCATTTTTCCTGAGAATGTCGTCGAATGTTTGTATAGGTATAGATCGTCCAGGTTAGTGAATTCCTCAGATAGATTCTTGGTGTTGACTTTTATGTTGACTGACGTTTCGACAACCTTGGCGGTTGTCAGGCCAGTTTCAAACGTCGAACTTCACATGAGCCAAATGCATTTAAAACAACAGATAATTAGGTAATTCACCTCATTTTCTTTTGTTCCTTAATGCGTTTGGTGCATGCAAAGTTCGACGTTTGAAACAGGCTTAAGTTTCATTATTAGAAACGTCAGCTAGTCAAGGAAAATATCAAGTCCAAACAGTCCTTCTCGGAACTACAATTACCAAGACATTCAAATACATGTTAATTGACAATTTATCAAAATTTGCTGAGTAGACCAGATTTCCTCCTTTAATTTAATATATAGTGTTGCAAATCAAGTTTGTAGCTCCATGTGAAACTTGTATGACTGAGAAGAATATACATTTGATTGAGAAAATCCAAAAAGAATAACTGATAAATTTAACTGTACAATACATCTCGTTCTTTGTTGCTTGTTCTGTATTTAACACAATTGTTTTGATATTTTGAAATTGCTTGGAATTTCAAATTTGAATAACACAGCCACTCTGACATAGTGACATTGCAATGCATACTTACCATTAACAATTCTGTGACATTCCAGTCAAAGACCAAAGACTATAAAAATTGGCCAAGCCTTAAAAACCTAACCTCCTTTTATCTATATAAAGAATATTCACGACCTGTGAAGACGACAATTCCCGTGGGATAATAATGTTGTTGAAATATTTCTTCCTCGTTGCTTACTTACTTCTGATATTTCACTTCATCTTGGTTTCATCGTTGTGGTGGCGAAGAAGACGAAGCAGGCGACCTCCTCCTTCACCAGTGAACTGTCGAGTTTCACGTAAGTTTCTTTAACGTTTTGTGTATACCAATACGAATTACTTACTGTATCTATAATTTCTTTATATCAAGGCGACTTCCTACATTGTGGGTTAGTATGTATGATTATTCTGTTCATCGCTTAATTTGAACAAGCATGGATGCCATTGTATAATATTGCAATTCAATCCGAAATTGCGCTTAAATGTAAGTTTTAAGATGTCAAGTGTTTGGCGTGTTTGACTATATAGATACACTGTGCCTTAGAAATCAGAGTAACGTGGTTTATCCTAGTTGCAATTATCTACTGCTTTGTCTATTTGATTAGCTAAAACAAACCAATTTTGAAAATTACGAGATATTTGAAACCGGAGGAGCTAATAATGCGCGCATCCTCGTTCTTGTTGCATTTCCTTCATCGTTTAATTATTTTTTGATCGATAACTCTTAGTGCCACATTGATTTTGGATGAAAGAAATAATAATAGATGACGATAAATCACTGGCAGAAAAATTAAGTTTACACGTACACATTAATAATATCATTGTGTATTCCACAGTCCAAATAAGATATTTGACGTAATAAAGTAGGTGACATATTTGACATAATTTGACATAATTTGACATACTTGACATAATTTACTTTCATTTTAGTTCTACAGGAAATAGGAAACGCTCATCGTTTTTCGTTTTAAATTACCAGTCGCATTCAATTTTCCGTTTCGTTCTAGTGATTTTTTAGCACGTAAAATGACGTAACCTTTTCTAAGTTCTTAATTTGTACATTACGTAAACATGTACACTGTTTTCCCGAGCAACATATCTCATGCTTCGTTGAGCAATATATCTCAAGCATCGTACGATGTTGTGTACGTAATTGAGTGATTAAGGCTAAGGCTCTAATCTACATTACATCTTCCATGCTCGTCTTTGTTCTTTCCTTGAGTTATATGCTGTCACGTTTACTAATCACATTTGTTGCTTATATTTGTTGAAAGAAAAGTTGAAATCTAAATGACTCACCATGAATAAATTATTAGACAATGAAAATTCAAAAATGACGTGGCTTAGGAGGAGTGTATATATTTGAAACTTAAGAAAGTGTTCTGCATCTTACCAGAGTTTCATATCAGCAAAACCCACGTAGATCTTAACTTTTTGATTCAACCAAAAAATCAGTTTTTACAATACAGTCTTCATTAACGCGTCATTCTTTGTTGTCTTATATAATTTATGAGTTTGGCCAACAATTGAACAATAAACCATGCAGTGAATGATATGATATTCTTTTCCCTTTGTACAGCATGGACGCCATTTAGTGCATGTAGCTCAAAATGTGGTATTGGAACAATTACTCGTCGTCGTCATATCATCAAGTATCCTGCGTACGGGGGCTCTTCCTGTCCTTACTTAGTAGAGTCTCGTCAATGTGGTTCACCAAACGGGAGGTGTGGTGACATTTGTAACCCTGTTGATGGATCGTGTTCTTGTGTAAGTCGTCCTGGGTACAAACTTGAAGGTAAGGATTATTTAATTTTTTGGGTGTTCGAGTTATTGAGGGTGTTTTTCAATTTCGTATATTACGTCACTACGAAAGGATTAGCAGTTTTATTATTTCTTTACAATCTACATAGAAATGTACAAATGGTTCGGTAGTGATTAAATACTTTGAAAAACAAGTACTGCTTAATATAAATGCGAACTGCTAGATCAGTAATATCAAAGTTGCGTAATTAAGCCATTTGTTCGTGATGAACTTTTGAAACTGTATTGCACGTATCATTTATCAAATTTTTGGGGGATTAATCAAATTTACACTTACGACTTACAAAATTTGAGCCGTTAGGATTTATCCTTCAGCGTTAAAAATTGAAATTGAAATTTGTTCCAGTTGGCAAAGGATTTTAGCTACAACAAAATGTACTAATGAATAAAGAAAGGAATTGAATTTGCTTCGAGTTAGCATAGAGATATTAGATTTTTACTCTGTAATTCTTCAAACATAAGTTTTGTATCACCCAATCTTCCATTTAGCTGATGGTAAATCATGTGGTGATATAAATGAGTGTGAAAATGAAAATGGTGGTTGTATCAACTCCAACTGTAAAAACACAGATGGTAGTTATTGGTGTGATTGTTTACTTGGTTACAAACCATCAACTATAAACTCAAGGAATTGTTTACCTAAATCATGTTCACCGCTGACTCCACCCCAATGCCCGCGAACTGCATATCATGACGAGTTTGGAACAGCCTGCATGCCTGCAAAGATCAATTGTTCACATGGGCTTGAGTTTATGAAATCCTGTTCCATCAACTGTGACAGAAACTTTAAACTTGCTGTGATTAAATCACCAGACGTCAGTAAAACTTTCGCTAAAAACTTCCACAAGGCAGATTTCAATGCACCCAATGAAATAACTGCGTGCTTTTTAGACCCAAACAATAAAAATGTGGTTTGGGACTGGAACCCAAATTCTTCTCCTTACTACTGTAGGAGAGTTAATGATCCACCCTTTAATATTAGCTTCTCAAACACTTCCATCAATGAGAAAATGAAAATTTTACAAGTATTGGTCATTTCACTGCAAACGATCCTCAAGATGATCAATTGACGTTCACAATAGTGAACGCAGAGGCAAAGATTTACTTCCTTATTCAAGATAATTCGCTGTTGGTAAAGAAACGTTTAGTTTGGACACCTGTATCAAATAATATCTACACAATTAAAATCAAAGTAAGCGATAATGGTTCACCTGTTATGTTTACTACAAAAATTTTTAACATTACTGTGTTGAACATTAATGATCCTCCTTACGACATAAAACTTTCAAATAACGAAGTGTTTGAAAATGTCAAGATTGGTTCTGTTGTTAGTAATCTAACAGCTAGAGATGATGATCTTGGTCAAAAACCGACTGCAAATTTAAACTGGGAGTTGGTCGACTCCGATATGGGTTACTTTAAGTTGCTAGGTCACCAGATAATTGTTGCAAAAAGTCTCGATCACGAAGCAAAGAATGTATATCGTATAAAGGTGAAATGTACGGACAGCGGTAACCCACCTAAAACTTCGTCCATCCAAAGTTTGTTTATTGTCGTGCGAGATAGTAACCATTCGCCAAAGTATGTTAATTTGACAAGTAATCAGGTGCCGGAGAATTCCGATCTTGGGTCAATAGTTGGCTACTTCGTCGCAATTGATGACGATAACGACACGCTAAGATTTGAATTGAAAGAAAGCGATGTTATGGTTTGTACGAAATTCGCTTTGCAAGGTTTGTTTGTGAAACAAGTTTCTAGACTAGCAAAAACATGAGATCCAGTTAAGATTTACATTTATAACGTCTGATTTTCTCATGTACTTTCTTGCAATAACTTAGACTGCCTCACCTAATCTACTTTGATAGTTCTTCTGACTATAATATCAAACAGAAGATGAAATAGTTTAGTATGAAGGCAAAAGGAGATACTTTCCTTAAAGAAAATTTTAATGAGATCCTGCACAGCTTGTCAACTCAATTTTTCATCTGTTAAACCTTTCCTTTCTCCCTGTAGGTGTTAAAATTAACCATCGTCTTCAAAATAGCAAATCTGTTAAGATTTTCTCAACCCCCCTTGTTGTGAACGGTTCTTTTGATTACGAAGAGGAGAATGAGTACATTGTTTGGTTAACTGTCACAGATCCGGGGGGAGTGACGCGTAAAAATTTTCGAATTGAAGTAACCGATGTGAATGAGGCTCCAACGGATATTTTGATAACTGAAAATATTGCAGCGGAAAATTCTCCTTCTTTAACAATGATTGGAGATTTTTTGGTGAGTTAAATGTGTTGATTTTTTATATTTATTGTTTGTTATGAAATTGTACGAAGATTGCTCGATGGTCCTCAATGAAAGGCAATGTTTTTCATATTTCAATTATAGATGTTCTTTTTGAAGTATTTGTTTGAACTGTTGCGGTTTTCATTGTGCACCTAAAGGCATGCACCTAAAACAATACTTAAATTTTACAATGTCTTAAGTAACTCAACGAAATGAATTTAAATCCAATGTTATTCACTTAGTGTAAACTGGTACCTAGCGTGCAAAAGTATGATTGTGTTAAAAACGAAGCATGGAACATTCACCTTATAATAACATACTTCTGTCAACAGGTGAAAGATCCGGACGTAAAAAGTGTGCCACCTCAGATCCACATTTGCTCCCTCGAGAACTCTTTAAATGGTGATGAAGATGAGTTTTGCATTACTCACGAAACTGATCGCAATATTCTTCGAGTTAAATGGAATGACCGTCTTGATTTTGAAAGAAAAAATGTATACAATATCACTGTCACTTGTCGCGATACTGGCTTCAGTATTTCTAAATTATTCCAAATTTTTATCACTGGTAAGTAAGTCTAGTGTGTGAATACATATAACATGTGCTGTGCAAATATTTCTAACTAACGCTGCATGGTAAACTATCCTGTAGACTGTTGTTGTGAATACATATAACGTGTGCTGTGCAAATATTTCTAACTTACGCTGCATGGTAAACTATCCTGTAGACTGTTGTTGTGAATACATATAACGTGCTGTGGAAATATTTCTAACTTACGCTGCATGGTAAACTATCCTGTAGACTGTTGTTGTGAATACATACAACGTGTGCTGTGCAAATATTTCTAACTTACGCTGCATGGTAAACTATCCTGTAGACTGTTGTTTGGAATACATATAACGTGTGCTGTGGAAATATTTCTAACTTACGCTGCATGGTAAACTATCCTGTAGACTGTTGTTGTGAATACATATAACGTGTGCTGTGGAAATATTTCTAACTTACGCTGCATGGTAAACTATCCTGTAGACTGTTGTTGTGAATACATATAACGTGTGCTGTGCAAATATTTCTAACTTACGCTGCATGGTAAACTATCCTGTAGACTGTTGTTGTGAATACATATAACGTGTGCTGTGCAAATATTTCTAACTTACGCTGCATGGTAAACTATCTTGTAGACTGTTGTTGTCTGTTTTATTTTTTAAATGCTTATTTTATATACTTATGTCACTATCTGCCTGATGTCCCTTTAAATGTGGTAAAAAAGTCATTTTTTTAAATCGCTCATTTTATATATCAGTGATCAGTGTTTGCCAGAAAAATTCAACTTTGCACTGTTGTCTAAGGCCAAAAAAGAATCAAAGCTGCACTTTATTTGTGCATTGTTTTATTCCTTTAAGTGTTTATTTTTTCTTTATTTTTTGCTTTCGTTTAAAACTTTTAATATTCAATTGTATTCTTCAAATGTTATTTTATAGATGTTAACGAAGCACCAACATCTCTTTATTTATCCAACTCAACTCTTCAAGAAAACTCTCCTAACACGACGTATGTTGGTACTTTAACCGCTGAAGATCCCGATGGCTCCAATCAATCCTTTACGTACACTCTCGTTGACAATACTGCATCTTTTCTCGTTGGTGGAACCAATCATGATGAATTATATCATTTGGGATCAGTTGATTACGAGCTTACACCAAGTTTATTGGTGCACGTTATTGTCACTGATGGTGGTGGATTGCATTTTGAAAAGATTTTTACCATAACTGTTCTAGGTTTGTTTATTTACAAAGAAGAATTCTATTGACAACATTTAAATGTTTGAGATCACTTAGTTTACTGGGGAATAGTATGTGTCATAGTAGGATGAAGATGATCTTATAGGGTTAATTACTAGATTAAAAACGAGCGCCAAAGTAGGTTCAGGGATGATTGGGAGCTCGCACCTTTATGCTAAACTCTAATTTAACAATAAGCAGGTGTGCAGGAGGTATGATGGCAGTAGACATCAAGGTTTGGGGAATGTTTATGAAACTACTTGCTGAGTGTGTGATATATTATAACCGATAGTACATTTTTAAATGAACTATTTTCGTGTTTGTTTTTTTATAGACGTAAATGATGCGCCCACGGACATTGAAATAAGAAAGGATTCTTCATTGACTGAAAACAGCGTTGAAAATATCTTTATCAGCACTGTCGTTATGATTGATGAGGATAAAAACACAAAAACGTCATGTAAACTTCTTGACTCCAGCGAGGATCGAGTGAAACTAGACTTGCTCACGTTGCTTGTCGGTCCACGACCTACAGATTATGAAAGTCTGGATTCTTCAAAATCTTTAAAGATAAATATCAGCTGTGAAGATGAATTTGGGATGAGTATCAATAAGTTGTTTATGATCCCAGTCAAAGGTAAAGTTAAATTTAGTAGAAGAGAGAAAAATGCGAATAATATTTTTGATAGAATTATGTCTATATTCACAGATATGAATGAACCGCCAACAATGATGGAGTTGATTGGAAAAGAAATTCGTGAAAATATGAATAACAGCTTCGTGGGAATTGTGAATATCACAGATCCGGATGTGGGCCAGAGATTTGACTGTAGAATACTCAACAGCAGAGGAGCCATTAACAACTCTTCTTTCTATATTGACAACAACTCTAACCCTCCAATTTTAAAGACCCTTCGTCCTCTTGATTTTGAAGACCAGCGTATGATATATATCAACATAAAATGTGAGGAAATATTAGCCAATCACAATGAACTTGAGAACTCTATCGAAAGACAGTTCAGAATTGACGTTATGGGTAAGACTATATAAACTTTACATCTACTCTAACATGTATTTGGTTGCGTTTGAAGATTTTATCCAATTTAAAATGTAATGAAAGGGTTCTATTACTCTAAATGCAAACGTTGATAAAAGTGAAATTTTGGATCCGATTTAAGAAGTGTACATTCAATTTTTGCTCATCTTGTCCAAACTACATGTAAACGTTATATACTGCCTCAACTTTGTTAACATACACTTCATGCTGTTTTTTAGACACGAACGAATATCCCATGATTCAATGCGATACACCATTCATTGTGTTGTCGTCTTTCTCACCTGGCTCGGCCATTGGACTGGTGACAAGTTATGATCCAGACAACGAACGCTTTTACAAGTCCCGAAGAGAAAATAAGGATGGCTCAACAGAAATTCAAAAACAATTATTGCAGTACAGTTTAGGAAGAGAAAATTTGACATCATGGCCTTTTGATATTACTGATGATGGATTAATTTATTTAAAAAAGGTTAGTTGACCTTGTTATAGTCGGCAACTGTGCGAAAATTTTTTAAGTGCAAAAATAATCAAGCATTCAACTTGCACCCCCCCCCTTCCTCTGAATTTTATTTTTTGAATAAAAGAAAGCAAAAATTTATATACATCAAGTTCAACATTGGGTACACGTTTTTAAAATTTATATACATCAAGTTCCACTTTGGATACACGTTTTTATATTGATTGTGGAGCTTCGTTTCTGCTGCAAAATAAACTATACTCAACCAACGTGTTTTTAACATTTCATGTCTTAATTTTCACAGTCTCTCTCTCCTCGACTACACAACGAATCAATAACATTTTCTGTCCGTGTTGAAGACGACGGAGCAGTACTGGAACTATTAAATGACTCATATCAGATCAAAACTGATGAAATCAAGCAGTCCATTAAAAATTGTACCATTGTTATTGCGAGTAAGTAAAACTGAACTATATACAATGAAGTTGTGACACTTGACTATATATAATAGAAGTTTGCCGGTAGTGTAAAATGAATCGAATCTTTTAGACTTTACATGACAGACTATTTTCAACTTTCTAAATCCTGACACGTTTTACAATGTTCAAAACTGTAGGGAATAATTTATGTAGATTTAGATGTCAACTGTTACTTTTCGTAAATCTTCATGAAACTTATTTTTTCATTCAGCCAATGATACAAACCTGGATATTCAACTAAGCTCTAATTCAATACACGAAAACGCATCTTCTGGCTCTGTGATTGGCTACTTCTCACTTGTACCTGCGCGCCGACCGAAGGATTCGGTGACCTTTCACATTCTGAAAGACAATGACGGGGTTTTGCCTCCTTTTGAGATCAATGGAAATATTTTAAGTGTGAAAAACGACAAAAGTCTGGATTATGAACGTCTTCCGTCACACAAAACTATTCCGATACGTGTCAGCGGTCGTGTAAGAAAATCTGCAGTTTTCACAAAGATTTTCTTAATCAAGATTTTGGGTAAGATGTTGCGTAGACTATTGGTAAATTTGAACCAATGACATGCCATTAATGTTTGAAAGTATTTGTGTTTATAACTTTATGATATTCTTATATATAAGGAATTGTAGAGGACTACATATAAGGAATCGGTAGAAGATATATATTGTTTTAAAAATAATACCGAACAATTTTGTATTTATTAGTGAGTGTACTGTTAGATCTTTTTATTCTTCAGAGGATCTACTGTTAGATATTTGTGTACATTGATGGACACAACGGTAGATCTTTGTAACATTGATGGACATATTGGTAGATCTCTGTGTACATTGATAGACATACTGGTAGATCTTTAGATACATCAGTGGAGCTACTGCTGGATCTTTGTATACATCAGTGGATCCAATGCTGGATCTATGTGTTCATTATTTGACCTACTTGTGGATATTTGTATACATAGGTGGTTCCACGGGCGGATCTTTGTAAATACTACTGGATTTAAGACTTATTTGTTTTCTAGGGGTCATAGAGATTTCTTAGCTGCGTTTAGTTGTCATGAAACTTTGTTTATTTAAATCTGTCGCTGAGAAACGATTTATTAAATTTACTTTTACATTAAGTAATACATTTCTTTTATTTTATACAGATATCAACGAAAGGCCGACATCAATATGTCTTACAGGACCTCACGATAATCAAGATTGCTTACTTGTTGGTGAAATTTTAATCGAAGATTTGGATTATCCTCAACTACAATGTGGTTTAAAAAAGACACTTGATCTGCAGCCGTATTCCGATAAATTATCTGAATATACTTGTCATATTGAAGAGGGCGAGGATACTTTAAGTAATACTATTAAAGTGGATGATCATTTTTATGTTAAAGACAAGCCACCGAAATTGTACATAAAGAAAAGTATATTTCGTCGAGAAGATCGATCCTACAATGTTCCTATTTTATGTCGAAGTACCTTACATCCACTTCATATCTTGTCTAAAACCTTGGACGTTGATATTCAAGGTAAAATAAACAAACTGAAAGATGTTACGACAGCAAAAAAAAGTTAACTTTTCTTTACATTGCGTCGAATTTAAAAGAAATAAGATAATGTGTGTCAGTGTAAGTAGTAACGAATGAACAACAGAGAACAAGAACAGTCTTTACACTACAAAAACTATAAAAGAAATAAGATAACGTATGTCAGTGTAGGTAGTAATGAATGAATAACAGAGAACAAGAACAGTCTTTACACGACATAAAATGTTTAAGAAACAAGATGACATATGTCAGTGCTGGTAGTAATGAATAAAACAATATTTTTTCAGTTCCTAATGATGACAATTGTCGTGACAGTGAACTTTGTACCTCCTGTCCTCAGCCAAAATTCTGTCTATCAAACGTCAAAGCTGGTGGAAAGTAAGTGTACTACATCACTTTCTCATCTTTTTAATTTTTGTCAAATAAATTGAGTATTGACAGTTTTTCCTGATGACGTTTTAGGTGTGTTGATGAGAAATATCGTATAAACGCCACAGCCAACGTTTCTCCATCATTTTTTGAAAAACCTGGTTTCATTTCCACGTTTGAAAGTTATGTTAAAGATTTGATTGAGGGAACTAGAAATGGAGAAAATCTGAAAGATTTTGTGAAGCAATTTGAAGGTGGGATTGAAGTTTCTGAAATTTTCGCTGAGAGAAAAATTTTGACTTAGTAAAAGGCAGTTTATAGCATTACGTAAAACGATTGCTAATAAATACAATGATTAATAAACTGAATATTTGGACTGTGCTGCACCTATACAAAGTTCAGAGGGAGAAGCGATACATATCCTCCCAAATTCTTTATATTGCTAAATAGTTTGCACAAAAGAAGCTCAAGACAACCATGTTTTTTATTCTAATGTGCAAAAATGAAAGAACATCCATTAAAAGTTTGTTTGAATCAATTTCAATCATTTTCTCAACAGGTGAAAGTGCTGTTTCAAGAAAAAGACGCAGTGTAAAACTCAGTAATGTTTATGTGGAGTTACTGCTTTACATGAGTGAAGGAAAATCTACTAAAGTCGTGTTTGCATGCGCCGAGAAACCAAACTACAATTTGATCTTAGCCTCTGACGCATGCGCTTTGTTAAAAAACACCGAAGTTCAATGTTTGTCTGATCCTTACTCATCTGCTGAGAGACAAGAAAACAAGAAAACCAGTAAATTTCCTCAGTGGAGCATTTACGTCTCAGTCGTTGGCATTATTTTGGTCCTAATTGTTATTCTTATGTTCATATACCAAAGGAGAAAAGCCAATAAGGTAGGCTTTGGTTATTTGTGAGTTGTTATACATTTGCGATTTCTTAAATAATAAAATAGAGGCTTTGTGGTGGTGACAAATCTGAAAATCGTTTTAAAGATCGCAAATACCATGGTGAATAGTAAAAGTAATAAGTTAATAGTTCTTAAAAGAACTGTTTTAAGTAAAGAGCACTAACCCAATAGTTCTAAAAAAAATGTTATAAACTAAACGACACGATGCATTTCGGCAGACTACTCCTCAAGTGTCAACATCTGCTAAATGAAAATTTAAACTCTACCGATATTTATAATGCCAAGAAAGAGTGTACGTCATCTCCAAAAGGGGAGATGACGCTCAAAACAAGGATAAATTGAAAACATAATCATTTTGTCGACAGAGGACGGGATTGGTTAACTTAATTAAAACAGCCTCCATGACGCGTAGCTAAAAGAATGAACGGCATTTCTTATTGATTATAAAGTTGTCGTCTGAATAAGAATCAGCACAATCGGAGTTACTCAAGAGATGTTTACCTATCGCGCACTCATATGAAATTAAATTATTTTTCTTACAATCACGTTTCGGTTGTTGTCTTGAGGGGACTGTTCAATTTCTAATTGAAGTTGGTACATGCTGTTTGATCCTATCACTTAACCTTTAAGACATTCTACCTACGTATTGAGCATCATACTCACATTTATATTCATAAATTACATTGCTTAAAAGTTCCGCCGGTAGAGATTCTTTGGGGGTGGGTGGTAGAATAGTTCTTTTCGAAAATATAAAGATAACATTGCTCGCACAAAACAAATTCTCCGTAATATTTTTAGTTTCCCTCTTAATGTCATTAGACGCCTTACCCGTCCATAGAAGTTTGGTCAACGCAGGGCACTTAGTTGGTCCAAAAAGCCTGTCCTGCTCATTTTTTGTGGATGAGAAAAGTTTATCAAGCATTTTTTTCCGGATATCCATTTGAGAGAAATATCTTTTTTAATGAGTTGAGATCGCTCTCAATGAACTCCTGATGACAATCTAAGCGTTCGCTTTATTAAAAACTTTACTAAAGTAATATTTCTTTAGTAAAGTGTTTAATAGTATCTCCAAATTTTACAGCCCGTTAAAACAGACGGTCATAACGGTCAGCGGAAATACAAACATAATCCAATCATAATCAGAGCCGTAAGAAATCTTACTGACGAACCGTGTCATTATATTTTAATGATGAAGTCATGCAATAATGAAATTTGCTGAGAAAACAACAAGAATTTCCTTTCATTGTTACAATTCATAAAAATATTCACCATGAATTTTTTTTATAATGCCGAACCATTTGAAGGATACCGGCTGACGTGATAAATTACATGTTAGAAAAGCGATGATTTTATGCAAATTTCTTTTAGTCAATTTTTATGTAAGCAAATGATTGTTTTATCAGAGTGAAGAAACCCAGACCATTTACTATGTGATAAATTAAATGTTAGAAAAGTGATGATTTTATGCAAATTTCTTTTAGTCAATTTTTATGTAAGCAAATGATTGTTTTATCAGAGAGAAGAAACCCAGACCATTTACTATGATCGAAACTCAGACACAGACCCTGTTGACGAAACACAGGTTGATGACAACGGATACGTTGGTACATCTGAGAGTACACGTCTAAATGTAAAGGTATTAGGATTTTCTTTTGTTTTTCTGTCTTTCTTTACGACAAAGCAAGTCAGAAACTTTTTTATGCTAAAAAGACAACTGATACGAGACATTTTTTGCGTACGTCTGGTTCCTATAACTTGAATGAACTTTCCATTTTGTAGACGTTTCCTAATCCTGTTTATAATGATGGTAGTAAGGGAGATAGAAAAAACTATATTAATACGACCAGGGAAAGGGTCATGAATCATTATGTAATTGATGAACCTCCACCTTTATATGAACGAATTGACGACAACTTTTACGAAAGATTAGACGAAGTGAAGGCAAATGGCGGCCCTAGCACTTCTCGTCAAACATATAATGAAAATTCTCTGTGTGAAAAAAATCTCCTCGAGAATCCATTGTATAATCATATTAGCAAAGGTAAAGATCCTCCCAATGTTGTGACTGATGATAGACTCTCGAAAAAAATCATGCAGAACGACGTTTCCCATGATGCAATGGATACGCAGTCATACAACGATGTATTAATCGTTCAGCTACCAAAAGACAGCGAGACGGCATCTTTGTTAAACATTGGATCTCGAAATAGCGATAAAAGTCAGAGTTAAGTCGTGCGTTGAAATATAGTTTCAGTTTAAAATAATTTGATTACAGGAGATGAAAGAAGACGCGAAGAAGAAAGAATACCGAATTCCTCTTCGTTTTAATCACATCGTTTTTATGTTTCATCTCAAATTTTCATTTTAAAATTTACAAAGAAATTGTCAACGATTTTGATTCCACGATACGACTTAGTTCAAACTTTTATAATTCCTGTTTTTGATTTAAGGAATTTAGGTCGAAATGTCATCATATGATGAAGCAATTATTTTATAATTTTTTAAGGTAGCTACAAAATTCAGATTTTTTAGTTATCTTACTTACCATGCGTTGAGTTCATATTTTACATTTAAAATTTCGAAATCAACGACGTCATTTGTACATATTTTCTTTAAGTTTGTCTGGCCTAGATGAACAAAGCATGTTTTTAATATTTTTTAATGTTAATATTTTTAATGTTTTAAGAATGAAACAAAATTTTCTCATAAATAGTGTTTTCGCCTTTTTTCGATGGAGTTAGAGCTATAGTATTGATATGATGTTATATTTAGTCCTATAGCACATAAACTGAAGATATACCTAGATATACTTAAGGTTTCCTTTTTAAACTCGAAGCTCAACCATGCATTCAAAAATATCATTATCAAGGCCCGTTTACACAATACCGGATTACTATCGTAGCAGGTTGAATTTTCTTTGTATTAAAAGGCAGTGAAATTGTTCAACGTCAGAAACACAATCAAATAGACTAAATCTATCAACTTTATAAGCTTTTACTCCGAATAGTTATCCCTTTAAAGCAAATGAAGATGTCGTGGTGACCGAATCCCCGGTATAGTATAAACGCAGCCTTAGACTCAACGTATACCCAGGTATACCCAATGTATACTTATTACTTATGTTAGCTACAGTTATAATGTGTGATGACCTAGCTAATGTACTTGTCTCCTTTTATGTGTAAATTACATGCAATGATTTGTAAATAATTCAATGGCTCAAACCTGGGAGAAAGAGGGGCAGAAGATTGATAATTGAGAGGGCTAATCTTCATATATGCATGTTTTGCTTTATTTGTTTTTTTCAAAACAATTGTGATTAAGAATTGTAAGATATGAATACATTAATATAGCCTTGCCAATTATCCATTTTTCCTGGGAATGTCGTCAAATGTTTGTATAGGTATAGATCGTCTAGGTTAGTAAATTCCTGAGATAGATTGTTGGTGTTGACTTTTTTGTTGACTGACGTTTCGACAACCTTAGCGGTTGTCAGGCCAGTTTCAAACGTCGAACTTCACATGATAATTAGGTAATTCACCATTTTCTTTTGTCTTTAATGCGTTTGGTGCATGCAAAGTTCGACGTTTGAAACAGGCCTCATTTTCATTATTAGAAACGTCAGTTAGTCAAGGAAAATATCAAGTCCCAACAGTCCTTCTCGGAACTACAATTACCAGGACATTCAAATATATGATGGTTTACAAATAACAGTTAATTAACTGACAATTTATCAAAATTTGCTGAGTAGACCAGATTTCCTCCTTTAATTTGATATATATTGTTGCAAATCATGTTTGTAGCTCCAAGTGAAACTTGTATGACTGAGGAGAATATACATTTGATTGAGAAAATCCAAAAAGTATAACTGATAAATTTAACTGTACAATACATCTCGTTCTTTGTTGTTTGTTCTGTATTTATCACAATTGTTTTGATATTTTGAAATTGCTTGGAATTTCAAATTTGAATAACACAGCCACTGTCAAACTGCAATGAATACGAAAAAATTAGCAATTGTGTCTTACAACATAAAGTGCAAAGCGAATGTGTCATTATCTAACGTTGACGACTAAAACAATCTTGGCTGGTCTAGCTACTTATAGTTATTTTAATTTTATAAAGAATTTCCTCTAGCGTTGAAGACAATTCAATCCATTGGAAAGTAATGTTATTGAAACATTTCTTCTTTGTTGTTTTTTTACTGCTGGTCTCGCATTTGATCTCTGTGTCATCAAAAAGACGAAGAAGACGGATACCTTCACCAGTAAATTGTGAAGTTTCACGTACGTTTTCTGCTCGGAAGTTTATTTATCCACTTTGCCTTATTTTGAATATCGCAAGATATTATTTGAGAATTAGCTTCTGCTTATTGTAAGAGACATGTCTTATCCATCCAACTGAGAATATCGATTCGTTTATACCGAAATAAGTTTTAATATGCCTCTCTCGAATTTCGTTTGCTTTAATATCATTAAAGATCAAGTTATGTCTTGCATAACAAGCATATTTTAATTTGTACAATCATTTCATGCAGGAATGTTGTGACGATTATTTTGAGACAGTGCGTGTATAAACTACATTACGAAATGTTCAGAAATGCGTTTTTGCATACTCTGAAAACTTTAATTTAGTTTTATTAGTTATCAATTGCGTGCTTTCACTCCTGGGAAAAAAAAATTTTAGGTAAGCCTCTTATAGAACATTATAGATGAAAGAATCGAGCGTTTTGTTTGTCTGTGAAAGACTTTGATGTTTTCTTTATGTCTACATTCTTTTGAAATTATTAGAAAGCTTTGTGCTGCGTGTTTTTTTACTGTTGCAATTATCGCTTCATTTATTCCAAGTTTGATTTTTCATTAATCTATTGGTTGACTTTTGATAAGTAAATTTACCGTAAAAAAGTGTTTTCACTATATTACTGTGCATTGCAGATTGAATATTTAGACAATTTTACTTTCACTTTAGCTCTACAGGAAATACTCGGTGTTTTGTGTTTGGTGTTCGTGTCCGATTTTCTGTTTGTTTGTCCATTTGCACTTTTTGTGCTTGAAATAAAATAAAGTTTTTCTCAGTTGCTCATTTGTTTGCTATTTGCACCGTTCGATAACTTGATTGTTGTATCTGAAGATGATTGTCAAATATCTCGAGACGACTCATCCAATATTTTAACCAGTAAACAATAAAATTGTGAATTCGAGAAATGCTTAAGTTAATTGTTGTAGATTCATGTTTTAAGAGACTGCTAACGAAGAAATAGCAGTCGTAAACAGCAGATAACTAATAAGAAAAAGTCGCTATAGTTGTAGTGCTGTGTAAAACCAAATAGTGATGGAATTGGAAGCACCCTTAATTTCAGATATTTTGTCAGCGACGTTATAAACAACACAAGAACATATCACAAATAATTCAGCTTTTGATGTTATTCATTATACTTAAATGTGAATATTTAAAAAAGCGCCTAGCTAGAGAGCTGCATGTCGTTAGTCACCATAGAAACGACAGGCTTGGTTTCACTCTTTCAACTACGCTTGGTGGGAGCTTCTACCGTCACATGTTCATCACACACTCCAAAACAACATCTTAAAATGTGTAATTCTAGCTTAAGAGTAAAATTCTCCCGATAAGCAATACACCAAACGTCTTGATTTTGTACATATCTACTTTGACGGACTCTACTTTGACTGACTTTACTTTAATAGTTTTGTTATTTCTTTTAACAAGTTCAATACTTCGGAGATGATACAGTGCATCTCTAGCTTTCTTTCACAAAAGTTGGCAGAGCTCTTGAAATACTTTACTTGCAAATTGTCATTCGTCATCCCCACCTGGTCTGTATGTAGATGTCGTGTAACTCCAAAACAAATAACCTCTTCGTCCATCAGTTTCTAAATTAATGAATGATGATAATGTTCTGAAATTTGACGAAAACTTATTGCCTGGCTTTAGTTCTGGTATTGATAAATTACAATACCAAGTTAGGATAAAACACATTCACCTCGTTGATATTGAACAAATGTACTCTATGATTTATTATCCATTGATCCTTATTCTATAGCATGGTCGGTATTTACTGCTTGTACTTCAAAATGTGGCATCGGAAAACTTACTCGTAGTCGTCAGATCACCATCCGTCCAGCTCACGGGGGGTCTCCATGCCCTCCTTTAGAGGAATCTCGTCAATGTGACTCAGCAAACGGGGGGTGTGATGACGTTTGTAACCCTGCTGATGGATCTTGTTCTTGTGTAAATCGCCCTGGCTTTAAACTTGAAGGTAATGATTATTAAGTAAGTTGAGAAATAAAATAAACTTACTTCATTTTTTGAGCATGGCAATAATCATTTGTTAAAAACTCTTTAATTTTCCCCATTTAATTAGATGATGGTAAATCATGTGGCGATATAAACGAATGTAAAAATGGAAATGGTGGTTGTATCAACTCTAAATGTAAAAACACACATGGTAGTTATTGGTGTGAATGTTTACCTGGTTATAAACCATCAACATTAAATTCACTGAAATGTATGGAGAAACCATCGTTCGGATTTACCATTTACATTATTGTTGCTTGTTTTATCGTTGCTGTCAATGTTATTCTTGTGGTAGTTTGGGAAAAAAGACAGGTAGGTTTATTAGTTGCAGTTTGTCGTTGAATCAACCCAACTGTAGTTAGGGGAGATGCGATCACGTGACTCAAAATAAATTCTACATCCACTACACACGTGAGGAGCATGTAACGTCTTGCTGTGGCATTTTGGCGAAGTCTTAATGACATTAAGGTTTATATTGTTTTTGAGTTCAGTGATGGTGTGGTGTTTATGGCAAGAAAAAACAAAAAAAAATCCAATTACAATAATATTTCTGCCACCCTGTCAACAAAAAACATACCATTTCACTTACGAAACATCATTTTATAACGTGATAAACTCTTCAAAATTTAGCTCCCTCGCTCTATCATCACTACAGAAGTAGGCAACGATGACGTCCATCCGATACCAGATGAAAATGAACAGGAAAGCAAAGATGAAAATGACGTCCGGCGTCGGAAAAACATTGTGCAAGATAACAATTTGTAACTTCTCTCACACACAATTTTTTTAATCATGCACCTTGAACGCTACACGTACATTTAATTAGGCAACTCGTTAAATTTCTTAAAATTTTTGTTATTACGACTATAGTATTCGCTAAAAATATACTGTAGTTGTATTTCATTCTGCTTGTTTTATTTTCAAGGCGTTTAAAAGGCAAAGTTTTGTGTAGCCATGTAATTGTTTCTCTCATAAAAACCGTCCTGTCGCCTTAAAAAAAGTTCCCCATTGTGAAAACTATACAAATGCAACAGATGAGACTTGCCATCGACTAGTTTCCATTGCTTATCTTAACAGCCATAAGATCCCAGCCATCGACTAGTTTCCATTGTTTATCTCTAAGCATAAGATCCCGATAATGTCGACGATCTGTGAGATGAATTGAAGGCTAGATTAAAAAGCCGATAAGCAAGAATGTCCCATAAATAAACTGAATTATTATGCACAGCATGTGCATCTGTGACCAGTGGCATCAAAGAAGATCCAAAAAAGACTGGGAAAAGTTTACGTTATTGAAACAGCGTTGCCTTGAGCTAAATGGAACCTGCTTAAGTCTCTTCAAATTACAAACATTGCTGTTTTTGTATCATTTTTTCGGCATTTGCCGAAGCTAAGCAAAATTTCTCACCAATTTTTATTCTAATGCTTTCTAGTCTTTTTTATCTTTCGAAAATTATGATGTACGCATCCATAATTCTTCTTTTAAATAAATAAGACCTTAAAGTTTTGCCGCCCTTTTGGAACACAGGTGAATTATGGGATTCTCATGTCGCTTTCAACATATGGATTGTTTTGAACTGGTATTGATTAAATTACGTCCAAGCACAAAAGTTATGTTTTTGGTCGCTTCTATCGCAAGAATTAAACTCGTATGAGAAGAGTACCAGTTCATACAATCTTTAAAATTTTTTTGAAGCGTCAGAGACGATCTTTACCACAAATCTAATAATTATAAGTATTACATGCAATACGTCATAAATTATGTCACGTACGATTATTTAGAGAATCTAATAATTACATTTATAGCATATTCAATGCCATCTTCATTTGTTAACATCTCCATTAAAATAAGCTGAAACTTATCGTGAATTGTGAAATGTTTTGTGCGAATGAAAGTACGCTGCTCCCAACAGTCAACACTATATACACTGACACACGTTATCTTATTTCATACATATTTTATGAAGTGTAAAGACCTGGTTGTTCTTTGTTGTTCATTCCTCACTGCCTATACCTAACACACATCTAAAGACTGTTTCCCAAAAATACAAAATCAAAAATGATGTGTCATTTTTCAAAATACTTGACCAAACTTGGATTGTTTAAATATTTTAAAAATTGCGGGGATTTTAATTTGAATAACACTGCCACACTGCAATGAACACGGAAATTAAAATATCGTGTGTGTCGCACAACATAAAGTACATTACAACTGCGTCATTAGTTAACCGCTTAATCCAACCTTGGTAAGACGAACAACTTTTTTGTATTTCTATTTTATTGAAAGAATATAGTCTGAAGCGGTGAAGAGCATTGAATCGTTTGCATAAAAATGTTGTTAAAACATTTCATGCTTGTGGTTTTTTTACTGATTGTATGTCATTTGATGTCCGTGTCATCAAGGAGATTTTGGCGAAGATTTTGGCGAAGACGGCAATTTAGACGGCGATCTCCACCACCTGTAGATTGCCAACTTTCACGTAAGTTTTTAGTTTTTAGCTCTAAAGTAGAATTGCACTTTTGTGTGAATTTGGAAAATATTGTTCAGGAATTAGCTATTAAGAACTGTAAGAACTTGAATGTCCATTTGCAACAGCAATTTTTATGGTTTTTTATTTTGTTTGCCTTAATATCGCAAATTAAAAATATTACAAATTACATCCAAACTCGATATAATTTAAAAGGACTTTTTACTTCGTAGCTAATTAAATAATGTGTTGGTCTTTCATTATTACATAGTGTAGCAACATACTTTCATTTGAAATGAGAAATCGCATTCCTCATTTGTTAGTTGAGATAGCCAGAGATTAAATAGGAAATGGTGTGTTGAAATATGTACATTTTTGTTGACAAATCAATTTAATTGATATCATTTAAGATTTTATGTCACTGCAATTGTCGGCTATTTTATATTGACGGCATAAAATCTGGCAAATATTATTTCAAAACGATAGCGCACTTTATCTCAAGCAAAATTTGTTACAGTTTTATTTTTCATATTATAGCTTCTGGCATCACAACTTTGGTTTGTCCGTGAACGTTATTTTTGTGCTAATATTTCTTTGATAATTACCATCAATTTAAACTGAAGAAACTCTTTGTGTTTCGATCTGTCCTGATTCTTATTGCATTTTCTTGTTGGTTTGTCATCTATTTCTTTACATTTCCATTTTGAGTTGGTTTTTGGAGTAATGAAGTTAATCCATGACGATGAATGGCACGAAAGTTTAAAGTCCACGGAAAGTTTAAATTCCAGACATTTGACTCAATTTAAATAAACTTTAATTTCACTTTAGTTTACCAGATAAATTGAATGTTCGTTGACTTTCGTTTGAATTTTCTGTCCAACTATTCCTTTTAATTTGAGCTCAAAATGAAGTAAAGTTTTTTCCCCTTGATTTGTTATATATTTACATTGCTTTCTGTTGAAATACATCGCATGCTTCGTTGATCTTATTCGGAACAAATTCAATACCAAAAATTCATAATTCAATACAAACGTTTGTTGTTTTGGACTTTCAGTCTCACACTTTCAGTTAAATATCGCGAGTTAATAACAAATTAAATTTAGACAATTTAGCCAAAATTCCATACCAAACATTCTTGACTACGTTTCCTCAGCTTCTTCCTTATTATTTATGAGTGTCATACATTGTCTTTAATTTCGTGTTTTTCGTTACGTGTTCGACTGTAAAATTTTCGTCAAACCGATCCATCATTGTGTGCCCATAATCATTTAATCCGATGCTTTTCATGCAAAGATTTCCCAGCTTTAATTTCTTTTGTATGTTTGGTTAAAAAGCGGCAAATTTCAAAGGCGCGTGTCAATTTTGTTAAAGGCTGTACATCATATATATCAGAGGGTGGGTCTTACCTCGAGTCTCGACACTCATTTAGTTTAGGTTTCCTTCGTTTAGCACTCATGTGATAAATACGTAAACATGAACATTGACAATGGTGGACATTATTTAACTTTGATGTTATATTTTGCGTCATTTGTATCTATGCTGACACAACAGCAATCTGTTATTAATATAAATGTAAAGCTAGTTCCATGTAACTTCTAGTGTAATGACAGAGTTAAAACATGATGGTTCGTTTTAAAATGTTTCTTTTATCGTTTTATCAAGTCAAGTCTAGAATAAATACTGTTTATCATATTATGTAACTCAATTTTAATACATTCCACAAATATTTGCATTTTCTAATTCATGGTAATACGAAGGCTTAGCACCGTGGATGATAATTAACGCAGTGAACGGGCAAAACTTATGGACATTTGTAATCTACTATTAAAATCTATTCTTTTATTACTCTACAGAATGGTCAGTCTTTAAGGCTTGTGACTCAAACTGTAGCGTTGGAAACGAAATCGTCATTCGTCACTTCATCAACGGTCGTACTACAGAAAGAAGAAAAAGGAGATGTTCTCGTCCTCGCTTAAGAAAACGCCGTCAATGCGGTTCACCAAACGGAGGGTGTGATGATATTTGCAACCCTGTTAATGGATCGTGTTCTTGTATTCTTGGCTATAGACTCGAAGGTAAAGATTGTTGAAGTCGACGTTCACTAAACAAACATCTTTTAGTATGTCATTTGAATAGTATACAATAAGAACAAGATTTCCTCCTCCTGTAACCAATAGCATAGCTGGCCTCAATAATTAGTTGCATGGGACTCATAAAGGCATATTTTAAACTAAAGAAAACACTTCATTTCAAAGAAGCATATGTCATGCCGGGAACAATTTTTCTATCGGGAGCACTCGCTTTGCACTGAAAATGTGCCTAAAAAATACCATGCTTAGAAAACAAGAGCCAAAGGCCAGAGCAGAGCGTCACAAATTAATGCCAAATCCTGGACTTTAAAGGTTAAAATATTACAAACTGTGTCATTTCAAATGTGTTCTTTAACCCAAATTCAAAATTTTACACCCCATATTCATTTTGTGACCCCCCCCCCGAAAATCAATATCCGAGGAGTCACGGTATTATGCCGCTCTCCTCACACAAATTTTATATGAACAATGTCCTTTCCTCAACAATTCTGGCGCTAGCTACGCTACTGGAAATAACACTGAACATATAGCATATATACCTTGGTCATTGCTTTGCTAGTTTAGAACTGATAAAGTTAAATTTTACATACAGCTCAGTTCAGTTTCATCTTGTTTTCATTAGCGTAACCAGATTAATTTCTAAATATAGTAATAGTCTTTTTGTGAAAGTATTCACATTTATGAAAATAATAAGTTTTGTTTAGATTCCATACATTACAACATTTTTTCATTTAGCTGATGGTAAATCATGTGGTGATGTAAACGAATGTCAAAATGGAAATGGTGGTTGTATCAACTCCAACTGTAGAAACACAGATGGTAGTTATTGGTGTGACTGTCAACCTGGTTATGAGCGAACAACCTCACGGATCATTTGTTTACCTAAACTATGTTCAGCAATAAATCCACCTCCATGTCCTAGTCCTACATATCATGACGAATTTGGAACAGCCTGCATGCCTGCACAGATCAATTGCACACACGGATTTGAGTATATGGAATCGTGTTCTATCTATTGTGACCAAAACTTTAAACTTGCTGTTATTAGAACACCAGATTCCAGTGAAGCTTTTGCTGAAAACTTCCACAAGGTAGACTTCAAAGCACCCAACAAAATGACTGTGTGTTCTTTGGACGGAGATAATGTGAAATGGGACTGGAACCCAAATTCTTCTCCTTACTACTGTAGGAGAGTTAATGATCCACCCTTTAATATTAGCTTTCAAACACTTCCATCAATGAGAAAATGAAAATTCTTACAAGTATTGGCCACTTCAGTGCTAACGATCCACAAAACGATCAATTGACATTCACAATTGTAAACGCGGAGGCAAATTTTTACTTTCTTATTCAAGGTCATTCTCTGTTAGTGAAGAAACGTTTACTGTGGAGACCGCAATCAAATAATATCTACAAAGTAAAAATTAATGTGAGCGACAATGGTTCACCTGTTATGTATACTACAAAAAGTTTTAACATTACTGTGTTGAACGTTAATGATCCTCCATACGACATAAAACTTTCAAATAACGAAGTGTTTGAAACTGCTAATGTTAGTTCTGTTGTTGGTAATCTAACAGCTAGAGATGATGATCTTGGTCAAAAACCGACTTCAAATTTTACCTGGGAGATGGTCGACTCCGATATGGATTACTTTAAGTTGTTAGGTCATCAGATAATCGTTGCAAAAAGCCTTGATCACGAAGCAAAGAATGTACATCGTATAAAAGTAAAATGCACGGACAGCGGTAACCCACCTAAATCTTCGTCTATCCAAAGTTTGTTTATTGTTGTACAAGATAGCAACGATTCGCCAAAGTATATAAGTTTGACAAATAATCGCGTCCCAGAGAATTCCAATCTTGGCTCGATCGTTGGCAATTTTATCGCGATTGATGAGGATAATGACACGTTAAGATTTGATTTGAACGAAAGTGAAGTTATGGTTCTTGAGAAGTTTGCATTAAAAGGTTAGTATGTGAAGTGAATTTTCTGAAAATGTATGCGTTAGCGATCCTTGTGAAATTTACATATTTAACACGTAATTGTCTCTTTTTCCCACAGATATTAACTAAGGGGCTGTTCATATGAGCCCGGCTAACCGGGATTCAGTGAGGCGTTAGATGATTTTGGCAAATGGAAACGATTCTATACTTATCATTAGATAATTCTTCTCGAGCAATTTCACAATATACTGATTTAATGACAGCGCAAAACATTTAAAATTGAAACAACCAGTTTGGCCTAATTTGAGAATTTCAACAGAAATGACTTGTGGCGCTTAGCAAACAGTTGTAATTTTTACGCTTAAAGTGTTGCCCCCTTTCAATGCATCAAAATCATTTAATGCATCACTAAATCCCGGTTAGCCGGGCTCATATGAACAGCCCCTAAAATACCACATTGATTCTGAAATTTCATAGCTTTCTGCTTTATTATCACATGGAAAATAAAATAATTCAGTATGATAACAATATATTGAATCAAAAGAGATTCTTACCTTTGGAGAACCCAAGCTCGAATCCTGTGGTTAGCTCATAGAATTTTTGTTTACTAACAATCATTTTCTTTCTCCTCACAGGCATTCCCAAAGATGAGTATCGTAACATGAGCGGTAAATTCGTTAAGGTTTTTTCAATACCCCTTGTTGTCAACGGTTTTCTTGATTACGAAAAGAAGAAGGAGTATATTGTTTGGCTGGCTGTGACAGATTCGGGGGGAGTGACGCATAAAAATTTTCGAATTGAAGTGACAGATGTGAACGAAGCTCCAACTGATATTTTGTTATCTAACAATCTTATTGCGGAGAATTCTCCTTCTTCGACAACGATTGGAGAAATTTTGGTGAGTTAAATGTGTTGATTTCTCAGATTTCTTACAGGAAGTCATACTATGATTTCCTGTAAGCCTTCAGTAAAAGGCAATGTTTCTGATGCAAGTATGACGATTATGGAAAATATCCATGGCATGAAAGAAATATCAGTAGCAAGGCTAGCCCATTTTTTACTCCCGCAGTGCAAATATTTTTATGTTTAATCACTGTAAAAACAATGAATGGATTTAATTTTCTAAAGAAATGAGTAATAATTGTGCTGAAAAGTTTGCAATGTACGAGAAAAAATCGGGCTGGCTTCACCTCTGAGAAATATGAAGAAAATCATTGCTAATTTGTGTAACTATATAGAACCAAGGAAAATGCTTTTTATTTCTTAATTTTATTAAATTGTTCTATTATATTTTATGCAATGATTAATTTGTCTAGCGGTATTTGTATATTTTTGCTTATAAGTTAAAAATATCTTAAGAGTTTACATAAAAAAATTTCATGATGTTTTTTCCACAAAGAAATTAAACAACTGCATGTGTGTAAACACGTAAAACTATTTTTCATAAAGTCACTAAGGTACTGCTAATACATAATCGTTACGAAAACTAAGCATAAAATATTTACCTTACTTGTGTCAACAGGTAAAAGACCCAGACGTAGAAAGTGTACCACCTCAAGTCCATATTTGCTCCCTCGAGCACTCTGAAAACGGTGATGAAGATGCATTTTACATTACTCACGAAACTGATCGCAATATTCTCCACGTTAAATGCGAGAAATGTCTGGACTATGAAAGAAAAGATGTTTACAATATAAATGTTATTTGTAACGACACTAAATTGAATATTTCTAAATTGTTGCAAGTTTTTATCACTGGTAAGTATCTTGTGTAAATACAAACACTGTTTATACATTTCTAACTATTGATGGATGGTAAGCTATATCTCCTAAGTCTGTTCTACTTGCTTTTCAAATCGCTCATATTTCATATTGCCTGTTTGAAGCCTTAAACTTTGAAATGTTGTCAAAGTTCATAAGCTGTATTTGTTTGATGATTGTTATATTCCTACAACTTGATTTTATTTTATATTTTATGCTGTCATTTAAAACTTGCCGTACGTAATTATGTTATTTTAACATAAAGTAATTTAAATATAACGTTATTTTATAGATGTTAACGAAGCTCCAACATCTCTTCACTTATCCAACTCAACTCTTCGAGAAAACTCTCCTAACATGACGTATGTCGGTACTTTAACCGCTAACGACCCTGATCGCTCAAATCAGCACTTTACTTACACTCTCGTTGACAATACTGTGTCTTTTATCATTGGTGGAACTAATCATGATGAATTATATCATTTGGGATCAGTTGATTACGAGCTTACACCAAGTTTATTGGTACACGTTATTGTTACTGATGGCGGTGGATTGCATTTTGAAAAAATTTTTACCATAACTGTTCTAGGTTTGTTTGTGGTATCTGTAAGAAATTACTGTCTGATTTATATGAAGAAAATATGCATTGCGAACTATTTTTCTTGATTTTTGTTTATAGACGCAAACGATGCGCCCACGGACATTAAAATAAGAAACAATTCCTTTTTTGAAGAGAACAGCGTCGAAAATATCTTTATTAGCAATGTCGCCATGATTGATGAAGACAGGAACATAAAAACTTCATGTAAACTTCTTGACTCCAGCGAGGATCGAGTGAAACTCGACTCTCTCACGTTGCTTGTTGGTCCACGACCTACAGATTATGAAAGTCTGGATTCTTCAAAATCTTTAAAGATAAATATCAGCTGTGAAGATCAATTTGGAATGAGTATCAATAAGTTGCTTGTGATCCCAGTGAAAGGTAAAGTTAAATTTAGTAGGAGAGAGAAAAATGCGAATAATATATTTGATAGAATTATGTCGATATTTACAGATGTGAATGAACCGCCCTCAATGATGGAGTTGATTGGAAAAGAAATTCGTGAAAATATGAATAACAGCTTCGTGGGAATGGTAAATATAACAGATCCAGATGTGGGCCAGAGATTTGACTGTAGAATACTCAACAGCAGGGCAACCATTAACAACGCTTCTTTCTACATTGACAACAACTCTACTCCTCCAATTTTAAAGACCCTTCGTCCTCTTGATTTTGAAGACCAGCGTATGATATATATCTTTATTAATTGCGAAGAAATATTAGCCAATCCTAATGAACTTGCAAACTCTATCGAAAGACAGTTCAGAATTGACGTTATAGGTATGATTATATAGACCTTACATCTACCCTAACATTTAATTGGTTGCGTTTTAAGATTTTATTCAATTTAAAAAGTAATGAATAGGCTTTTTTACTCTAAATGCAAAAAATTGGCAGTATGTGAGGTCTTTCACTGTAGATTGTATTTTATCCCAACCTTTAATAAATACTTCATGTTATTTTAAGACATAAACGAATATCCCGTTATTCATTGCGACACACCATTCATTGTGTGGCCGTCTTTCTCGCCTGGCTCGTCCATCGGCCTGGTGACAAGTTATGATCCTGACAACGAACGGTTTTATAAGTCCCAAAGAGAAAACAACGATAACGCCACAGAAATTCAAAAACAATTATTACAATACAGTTTAAGAACGAAAAATGTAACATCATGGCCTTTTGATATTACTAATGATGGAATGCTTTACTTGGAAAAGGTTTGTTCATGTTGTATTAGACGGAAACTTTACAAAAATTTATAGGTCCAAAGAAATAATTAGGCACTACCCCCTCGCCTGATTGGTATTGCTAACATTTCAATGTGGAAACTTTGTTTCAACAGCGTTTGCATTGTTGCTCATTAAACTCGACCTTTGTCAAAGCTTTAGTAATGTTTCTAAGATTGATTTGGTATAAAATTTGAGTTTGGTTGCGTGGGTAACTTATTCATAAAGTTCTTTTGTCTTTAGTTCATCTGTTTATTTTCACAGTCTCTCTCTCCTCAACTATACAACAAATCAACGACATTTCCTGTCCGTGTTAAAGACGATGGAACATTACTGGAACTAGTAAATGACACATATCAGATCAAAACAGGCGAGATCAAGCAATCCGTTAAAAACTGTACCGTTATTATTGCGAGTAAGTAAAACTGAGCTTAAAATAATAAAGTTTGACACTAAACTATATACAACAAAGTTATGATGCTGAACTATATGCATAAAAACTGTAAAAAAATGAGTCATGGCTTATGAAGCTTTTTTACAGAAAACTTACAACTTTTTATATTATAGCATTTCCTTGCCATGTTTAAAATCATAGGAAATGATTTAGATGTGGTTGACGTCATTCGTTTTTTGTGCAACGTTTATTTTTTCATTCAGCCAATGATACAAACTTGGACATACAACTAAGCTCTAATTCAATATACGAGAACGCATCTTCTGGATCTGTGATTGGCTACTTCTCACTTGTACCTTCGCTCGGGCCGAAGGACTCGGTGACCTTTCACGTTCTGAAAGACAATGACGGGGTTTTACCTCCTTTTGAGATCAATGGAAATATTTTAAGTGTGAAAAAGGACAAAAGTCTGGATTATGAACGTCTTCCGTCAGACAAAACTATTCCGATACGTGTCAGCGGTCGTGTAAGAAAATCTGAAAATATTCTTGAAGTTTCTACAAAGATTTTCTTGATAAAGATTTTAGGTTGGCTGTTTGTTATATTATTTATAGATTTAATCAGTCATATTCTGTCGAAAATAACTCGCTGAATCTATAGTTTTGGTATTTTTTATTATTAGCTTAGGTTTCCTAAACATTTTGAGATTTAAAAGATTTTTGAAGGCAAATTCTTATGAGAATCGATAAACGATTTTGTTTTGAAAACAAATAAAGCTCCCCTTTGTGTACATTTGTAGGTCAACTAGTGGATGTTTGTTTACTAGAGGATTTAAAACTTCTTTGTTTTCTTTGAGGGTCATAGAGATTTACTACGTTTAGTTGTCACGAAACTTTGTTCATTTAAACTCGTCAAGAATCAATTTTGTGTTTACTTGTAATCATTGTCACTTCCAATTAAAAATCAAATGAAATATTAAATGAAGTAACACGATACTGTTATACTTGCAGATGTCAACGAGAAGCCCACATCAATATGTCTCGAGGCCTCTCGACAAGATCAAGATTGTTCAGTTCTTGGTGAAATTTTTATCGAAGATTTGGATTATCCTCAACTACAATGTGGCTTAAACAAGACACTTGATCTGCAGCCGTATTCTGCTAATTTATCTGAATATACTTGTCATATTGAGGAGGGAAAAGATACTTTGAACGATCTTATTAAAGTGGATGATCATTTTTATGTTAAAAACAGGCCACCAAAATTGTACGTAAAGAAAAGTATATTTAGTCGAGGACATCGATCCTACAATGTTCCTATTTTATGTCGAAGTACCTTACATCCACTTCATGTCTTGTCAAAAACCCTGGTCGTTGATATTCAAGGTAAGATATACAAATTGGAAGACAGACAGATATCGACAAAAAATAAGATAACGTGTGTAAGTGTAGGCGATGATGAATGAGCAACCGAGAACGAAAACAGACTTTACTTGACATAGAATATTTCAGAAATAAGATAACGTGTGTCAGTGTTGGTAGTAAAAAATAAAACAATATTTTTCCAGTTCCAGATGATGACAATTGTCGTGACAGTGAGCTTTGTACCTCCTGTCCTCAGCCAACGTTCTGCATATCAAACGTTAAAGCTGGTGGAAAGTAAGTATATTACATCATTCTGTCATCTTTTTAATTTTTGTCAAATTGTAAGTTTCTGCCTTTTAAACTAGATGTGTTAACGAGAGAAATCTTCTAAACATGACAGTTAACATTTCTTCGTCTTTCTTTGAAAAAACTGGCTTTAATGCTTCGTTTGAAAGCTATGTAAAAAATCTGATCGAAGGAACGAGTAATGGAAAAACTCTGAAGAATTTATTGCAAGAGTTTGAAGGTAAAAATAAGTTTCGATTTTTTTCGTAAAACGATAAGTTGAGGTCGATGTAAAGAAAGTTTATAGCATTACATATTACGATAGTTAATCATCAAAAATAATATTCAATCCTCACATCTAAAGATGTTGTTAAATTATAAAGGTGCAGACTTATTTTTTTCTATTTATTCAACCTTTGATGCTAAAAGACAGTCCATGCGAGAGGAAATCAAAGCCTCTCCGTTACCGAACATTCTAGGTTTATTTTATCACTCAGTTTTGTTTAAGAGTCAACGCCAATAAAAGGTTTCGCTAGGTTTCAGGATGCATAAAAATTCCTACGTTTCAGTCGAGCAACTGGCCTGAACGCTTAAGCGGTGCTACGTAAATTTTAGATTATTATAAGTATTTGTTTCTCCATAGATATCTAATGTTTTTGCAATGACTGAGAAGAGAAAAATATTTGGATAGCAGAACTAAACAGCATTCATGCACTATGAAAAATCATTCAGCAAATTTTTATATTTATATTCCTATAAACGATGCTAAAGTTTAATAAGTTTTTTTATTCACATCAATTTTGAATATTTTAACAGCTAAAAGTGTTGTTTCAAGAAAACGACGCAGTGTCATACTCAGAAATGTTTATGTACAATTGCTTTTGTACATGAGTGAAGGAACATCTACTAAAGTTGTACTTGCAGTTGTCGATAAACTGAACTACAATTTGATCTTAGCCTCTGATGCATGCGCTCTGTTAAAAAACACTCAAGTTGAATGTTTGTCTGATTCTAACTCATCCCCTGAGACACAAAACAAACAAAACAAAGACAACAAAGAAAACAAAGAAAACAAACAAAACAAGAAAACCAGTAAATTTCCTCACTGGCAAATTTACGTCATTGTCGTTGGTATTGTTTTTGTCGCCATTGTTATTCTTGTGATCACGTGGAAAACACGAAAAGCCAAAAAGGTACGCTTACTATTTGTAGTTCGTTAATAAACGATCTGTGATTGGTGGAAATATGCTTCTGGTTCATATTTTTTTGAGTTCTTTCGAAATGAACAAAGAGGAAAATGCTGTAAACAACTGAAATAATGTAGAAAATCTGTGAATTCTTTATATTTTTTACAAGGTAGTACAAACCAAATATTAACGTCATTGTAGACTTAAAGAAGGGAAAATAATATTCAAACCACAGAAATATTTCTCGAACCTCGTTCACAAGAATAAACGAAATAATTTCAGTTTATTTTGATGCACAAAGTAGTAAGTGCAGATATTTGGTGTGTGTGTGTATGTGGGGTGATTAACACGGGCACAATTCATGCAAATAATTAACATAAATTTTTTGAATATTCCGAGGAAAACATGCGAATTATTTCAAGGATACCTGCTAACGTGATGAAATACATGTTAGAAAAACGATGATATTATACAGGCGGATTTTCACCAATTTTTGTAAGTAAATGATTGTTTTTTCAGAGAGAAGACACAACAATCATGTATTATAATCAAAACTCAGACGCAGTTGCAATGGGTTCAGGCAACGAAACACCAGCTTTTAGCAATGAATACATGGGTACATCTGAGGAAATACGTCATTTAGAAGTTGAGGTATATTATTGTTAGTAAAAATATGCTTTGTATTTTGTGAACGAGACAAGTGGTTAAGTAAATTTGACATTAATGTACAGTATCCGAATAATGAGCAATTGACTCAGGAGAAAATTACTCTTCTTTGAATTCTGTGCTTTCACTTGGTTCTTTCATATGTCCTTTTTTTCCTTTTTAGTCTGTTTTTAATCCTGTTTACGATCAAGGTAATTATCATATCAAAGGCAATGCTGAAATGACTAAAGAAATGTTAATGCCACCTTATCCAATAAATGAACCTCCACCTTCATATGAACAAATTGACAACATCATTTATGAAAGAGCAGATGAGGTAAGGACAAAGGACAATGTTGGCCATGAATGTAGCGAAAATCCTCTCTATGACTTTGGACTGCAAAATACATCACCTGATAATCCATTGTATGGTCGTATAAACAAAGAAGATGATCCTTCCAATGTTTTGATGAGTGAAGATGGACCCTCCAGACAAGTCATGCAAAACCAGGTTTCCCCCGACGCAATGGATACTGAATCATACGATGATTTTATGGAAGCTCAGACACCAACAGCCCAAGACATAGCGTTTTTAAACACCATACCTGGAAACACAGGCGAAAGTCAAAGTTAAATTGAACAATAATCTGATTGTGGTTTGTATTGTTTTCAGTTTAATTCCACACGAGATGAAAGTAAAGATGAATATAGAAACACCAAACATGAAACAATCCATTTAGTTATTCTTAATATTTTTGCCGTTCGCGCAAAATTTTTATAATCTTGAGCACAACATTTAATAAGATTACTGTGTTATATGCTAAATTACACCTTATACTATAGCATATATTAAACAAAATTGACCGTTATATTTATATATAATTTATTTACTTTTATCGGTGCAAGAATTTTGTCAGGAAAATCATCAAATGAAAGTAAAAATTTCATTGTCAATACTGTTTGTTATGACTGTTGTTCATATATTCTAAACATCAAATTTTGAAATGTTATAGTCTAGCAGCTATTAAATTGCCTCAAGAAATTGATGCTTAAAGAAAGCCACATGGCATTTCGGTTTTAAAAGTACTCAAATCACAACAAAATATATGTTGCAAACAGTTAAAGTGATTTCCATAGTCTAAACAGTTTTTATTCTAGTTAGGCTTGTCAAATGACTTCACTTCACCCATACAATGTATAAAACACACTTTCGTTAACATCTGCATGGGTAATTACATGCATTAAAACAATTGCTTTTTTTTGAACCAATAGGAATGATAAAATGGCTGCTAAACACAACCAATAATCTGATTAAATATACAGCAATCAGTTGCACACAAATTAGACCTACTTTATATTTTCTATACTGTTGTCACAGAATAAGAATATTGTAAGAGTGCAGTCTCTCAGCAGTCATGCATCGATGCCATTTAAATTCTGATTAAAAAAAATAGCTATACAAAAATGCGAAATAGCATGTTGAGGTTCGATGCACCCTAGCTGTATTGCGAAGAGAGAACACATTTGTTTCATACCTATGGAAGAGAAAATCACAGTAACAAGTGACTTGTGGCTTGAGATATCTGCTGACTTCAAACACTCAATGGAGCTATATTATTCACATTACTTGACGTTCGAAGCCATCGACCATCGTAGATTTGTTTCATGATGAAATTGATAGCTAATTAATACAGAGCAACTATATAAACTATAATATACATACATATGTTATTTAACAACTGAGAGATTGAGATAGAAAAATATTTTCCCAAGGACACAAAAAGAGTCTGCATATATTCAGTTCACTTCAAAACAACATCTTGAAATGTATGATTCTAGTTTAAGAATGAATCCTCCGTATAGGCAATACGCTAATTGTCTTGCTTTTTATATATCTATACTTTAACAGAATATCATGAATAGTTCTGTTATTTCTTTTAATAAGTTCAGTACTTGACAGATGCTAGGTAACGCAGACACGTAGCGTGAATGTAGCAAAGTAGAGACTTACAGGGTGTATGATGACCCTGACACCTTTGCATGGAGCTGGGTGACATCTAAAGACCAACATAATTGTAAGACTACACATCTCATATTATTTTAAGATGAGTTTTGGACGACATGAACATTGCAGGTACTAACATCTCTGCTTAACTCAAAAAGAAATCTTCGAGAGGAAAGTCTATGTTGCAAAGCCACCTATTATTGATAAGTAATTAACATATCAATTTCAGCCTGCAGTTTGCAAAAACACACAAACATGACAGCTAACTTGTGTTTCTAGTCAACTTTGATGGAAATTACGGTTTCCTCTTCAAACAAGTGATGTAAGAGATTATGTCAGGTAATACTGTTAGTCTCTAAGCGTAACATCTCACAAATGTTGACAAACTGTGAGATGCATTAAAAGCTGAAGCAAAAGGCCGTTGGTAAGAATTTCCATGTTTTGACGATGTGATTAAAGCTATTAGAGGTGATCTAATAATTGTCTCTTTTACTAATTGCTTCTGGCATGCATAATTGTTGATAGTATACGACAGTACACGATCAGTTTTTTGTACACGATCAGTTTTTTGTACACGATCAGGTTTTTGACCGCCAGTGTATATAATGGTCAAAATGACTGAGTACGGTCATCGCTTACCACTAAAAGCAAAAATTCTACAGAAACTAATGTGCTTAAACCTCTTCAAATAGGGAACATTCTTGTTTGTGTATTTCATACATCGGAATTTCCGAAGCTATTCCAAATTTCTCAGCAATTTTTACCAGGTGCTCTACAGTTATTCTTCTCTTTCCAAAAGCTGAATTTTGTTAAATAGCTAAGACATGGAAGTGAGTTTTTAACACCATTTGGAGCACAGGTGCATCATGGGATTTTCATTTCGGTTTCGATATAAGTGATACGGATCGTTTTGAACTGGTATTAATTAATAAATAACAAGGACAAAAGTTGTGTTTTCGGTCGTTTTTATTGCAAAAATGAAATTCGTCTGAAAAGAACGCCAGTTCATGAAATCTTTACTTTTCCGAAAGCGTCAGAGACAATCTTTACCACAAAAGCGATCATAAAATAGAGTATCAAGCATATTATTTATATCATGAATTTTTTATGAAAGTCACGTACGATTATCGAGAGAGTCCACTGTTTACATTCCAGTATTTCTATGAAGATCATTTGAAACTTGTTGTGAATTGTGAGTTGCTGAGAGAAACAAGAGAGAAAAATCCCTACATTATTTACACACGTACGTTGTCTTATTTCTTGTATGTTTTAAATATAGTAAAGACTGTTCTCGTTCTCTGTTGTTCATTCATCACTGCATACACTGACACACGTTATCTTATTTCTTATATATTTTAGTTAGTGTAAAGACTGTTCTCGTTCTCTGTTGTTCATTCATCACTGCATACACTGACACACGTTATCTTATTTCTTATATATTTTATATAGTAAAGACTGTTCTCGTTCTCTGTTGTTCATTCATCACTGCATACACTGACACACGTTATCTTATTTCTTATACATTTTTTAGACCTACCCACGTTATCTTATTTTTCATATAATTTATGTCGTTACTGTTCTTCTTCTTTGTTGTTTATTCATCACTAATATCACGACTGAAGACAGTTCTCAAAAAACACAGAATCAAAAATAAATGTGGCATTTCTTGAAAATACGTGACCGAAATTGGATTGTTTTAATATTTTGAAAATTGGGGATTTCTAATTTGAATAACACAGTCACTCCGCTGCGTGTGAACAATTGTGTCGCCCTACATTAAAAACCTGTTTTGTACTTCTGTTTTAGCTATTTGAAAGAATAATCACCAGGAGTGAAGACTGATGAAGATTGAATCCGTTGGATAAAAATGCTACCAAAACATTTCTTTCTTGTTGTTTTTTACTCCTGATATTTCATATAATCTTCGTTTCGTCAATTTTCTGGAATATTTGTGAATATTCAGGTAGGTTTTTAGCTCTAAAGGAGACTTTCCAAGTCTAGTCGATTTAAGTATTTTAATTTCTCTTTAGTTCTTAAAGACGTTGAAGTCCAAATCAAATGTTTGTAGATTTTCCAACTATTTCTTTTGATTTTAGTTCAAAATGAAGTAAAGTTTCTTTACCTTGATTTGTTATATATTTACATTGCTTTCTTGTAAAATATATCTCATGCTTGTTTGATCTTATTCAGAACAAATTTAAAACCAAAAGTTAATTATTCAATACAATTTACAGTTGTTTCAGACTTTCTCTTTCACTTTCAGTTAAATATCACGGAGTTAATGGTAAATTAAATTTAGCCCAAATTCCGCAGTAAGCCTTCTTTAATGTGTTCTGCTCCTTGCTCATTTGTTATGCTCGTTACCTAAAGTATTTTATCTTCGCTTTTTTTGCATACGTGTTCTATTGTAAAATCTTTATCAAACCGATCCATCATTGTTTGTCTATCATCATCCGTTGCTTTTCACGACGTAAAGATTTTGCCTGCTATGTTTTATTTCGTATGTATGGTTGAAAAAAGCGGCAAATTTCAGACTTTTGTACATTGATGCGTTTATATACACATAATATATGCGACGAGAAAGATTGTATCTCAAAACTCTAAGGTTTGCTTCGTTTAGCATTCATGTGAAAACTATATAAACATGAACATCGACGTCTGTGAACGTTATTTAATTTTGATATTATTTTGGATTATTTATATCCATGCTACATGACGACGAAAAAATAATTAATGCAAATATAAAGCCAATTCCATGTAATTTATAGAGTCTATAATGACGAATTTATCACAAGACAGTTTGTTTTAAAATGTTTCTTTTATCATTTCATTGTTGATTTAAGCCAAGTCTAGAGTAAGTACTATTCATCATAATATATAACTAATTTTTAATACATTCCAGAAATTATATAAATATCTATTTTCATTTTTTAAATACATGGCAATAAGAAAATTTAACTTTATAGGAACAAAGATAATGACTTACAACACGAGCATTTGTAATCTACTTTTGACTAAATCTATTCTTTCATTATTCTACAGAATGGTCAGCCTTTAGTGCTTGCAGTTCAATCTGTAGCTTTGGAATAAAAAATCGTACTCGAAGCGTCACCAACGGTCCTTCTAACTCAAGAATAAGAAGAATATTATGTTTTATACAGTAGATTTCGAGCAATGTAGCTTACCAAACGGGGGGTGTGATGATATTTGCAACCCTGTTAATGGATCGTGTTCTTGTTTTCTTGGCTATAGACTCGAAGGTAAAGATTGTTGAAGTCGACGTTCACTAAACAAACATCTTTTAGTATGTCATTGGAATAGTACAGTTTTAAACAGATTTCCTCCTCCAGTAGCATAGCTAGCCTCAAGATTTAGGAGAATGGTAGGGAGATTTCATAAAGGCATATTATAATCAAAAGAAAGCAATTGATTCCAAAGGAGCATATGGCAGAGCGTGCAGACAACAATTTTCTATGGGGGAAGGATCCAGTCACTTTTTACTTAGAATCTGCCCTAAGTAAGAACACTTACGAAGCGAGCACCACAGATGGAAGCCGTAGCAGGGGAGTCCGGGGGCTTCTCCCCAAGAAAATTTTCAAATTATGAAGGTCTAAAATGCCATATCCTGGAATCTGGGTGATAAAATATAACCAACTGCATCATTTCAAATGCGTTTTTGTAATCCAAGTTCAAAATTTGACGTACCATATTCATTTCTGTGTGCCCCCGAAAAATCAACATCCGGGGGGTCATGGTCATCTGCCCCTCTTCCATCACACCAATGTTTATGAATAGTTTCTCTCTCCTCAATCTTGGCGCTCACTACGCTACAGGTACTAACACTGCATATATAACGTCTATACCTTGGTTACTATTTGCAAGTTGAGAAATGATCAATTTATCAATTTACGAGCATTTCAGTTCATTTTTCATTTTGCCTTCATTGTGGTAGACAGCTTGATGCATAAATATTTCCTTGTTTACTCATTCAACATGGAAATATTTACATATTCTCAAGAAATAAATAATGTTACTAATATAAAATTTACATAGCACAACCAAATTACAGACTGGCTACAACATTGCGTGAACTTCTTTCCAAATACGAAGATTTTTTTCACTAAAGTCTTCATATGTGGAAATAATAGGTTTTGCTTTAGGTTCCATAAATGGCAATATTTTTTTCGAATTAGATGATGGTGAATCATGTGGTGATATAAACGAATGTGAAATGGAAATGGTGGTTGTATAAACTCCACATGTAGAAATACATATGGTAGTTATAGGTGTGACTGTCAACCTGGTTATAAACGAACAACCTCACGGATCATTTGTTTACCTAAACTATGTTCAGCACTAAATCCACCTAAATGTCCCAATGATGCATATCAGGATGAGTTTGGAACAACCTGCATGCCTGCAAAGATCAATTATCCACACGGATTTGAGTATATGGAATCGTGTTCTATCTATTGTGACCGAAACTTTAAACTTGCTGTTATTAGAACACCAGATGTCAGTGAAGCTTTTGCTGAAAACTTCCACAAGGTAGACTTCAAAGCACCCAACAAGATGACTGTGTGTTCTTTGGACGGAGATAATGTGAAATGGGACTGGAACCCAAATTCTTCTCCTTACTACTGTAGGAGAGTTAATGATCCACCCTTTAATATTACCTTTTCAAACACTTCTATCAATGAGAAAATGAAAATTCTTACAAGTATTGGCCACTTCAGTGCTAACGATCCGCAAAAGGATCAATTGACATTCACAATTGTAAACGCGGAGGCAAATTTTTACTTTCTTATTCAAGGTCATTCTCTGTTAGTGAAGAAACGTTTACTGTGGAGACCGCAATCAAATAATATCTACAAAGTAAAAATTAATGTGAGCGACAATGGTTCACCTGTTATGTTTACTACAAAAAGTTTTAACATTACAGTGTTGAACGTTAATGATCCTCCATACGACATAAAACTTTCAAATAACGAAGTGTTTGAAACTGCTAACGTTAGTTCTGTTGTTGGTAATCTAACAGCTAGAGATGATGATCTTGGTCAAAAACCAACTTCACATTTTACCTGGGAGTTGGTCGACTCCGATATGGATTACTTTAAGTTGCTAGGTCATGAGATAATTGTTGCAAAAAGACTCAACTTTAAAGCAAAGAATGTGCATCACATAAAAGTGAGTTGTACGGACAGCGGTCACCCACCTAAAACTTCGTCCATCCAAAGTTTGTTTATTGTTGTGCGAGATAGTAACTATTCTCTAAATTATATCAATTTGACAAATAATCGCATTCCGGAGAACTCCGACATTGGCTCAATCGTTGGCGACTTTGTCGCGTTCGACGAAGATAATGGCACGCTAAAATTTGATTTGAACGGAAGCGATGTGACAGTTCGTAAGAAGTTTGCTTTGCAAGGTTAGTATATGGAGTAAATTATCCTGAAATGTAAACTGGGGATATCCTTGTAAAACTAACATATTCAACATCTAATTGTTTTGTTTACCGCTTGGTAATACGTACCTCACAAACTTTTGACTTCTGTCTTCCTTTATTGTGTAATATCGTGTACAAAATAAAATTGTCCTGTATAATAACAATAAATTGAATAAAGTCCAACCAACAGAACAACCATTTCTTTCTTTGGGAAATTCCAGCTCGAGTGCTTTACTTTGCTAACACAATTTGTTTATCTGTAGATGTTGCAAAAGTTGAGAATCGTACGATCAACAACAAGTCTTTTAAGGTTTTCTCAATCCCATTGGTGGTCGACGGTTTTCTTGATTACGAAGAGCAGAATGAGTATATTGTTTGGTTGGCGGTTACAGATCCGCGGGGAGTGACGTCTAAACAATTTCAAATCAAAGTAACCGATGTAAACGAAGCTCCAACTGATATTTTATTATCTAACAATTTTGTAGCGGAGAATTCTCCTTCTTCGACAATGATTGGAGAGTTTTGGTGAGTTAAACGTGTTGATTTCTTAGATTTTTTGTTTGTTATGACGTCATATGAAAATTGCCCGAAGTCCTTTAATGATAGATAATTTTTCTGATGCAAATATACATATCATGGAAGTCCATTTGATACAGCCATGAAATAAAATAAAGTTATAAAATGGCGTTTAGCAATAACTCTCAAACAACAAAAAATGGGCGTTGATTGGTTGAATGCTCAACAAAACTTTCAATTTAGGTCTTACAGACAACGTGGTTTGTGCGAAAAATTTAAAAGGCAAAAATTTGAATAATATGTAATTCAAATCAATATATTAAATATATTCTTTTATTAATTTCAAAAGGCTATTTCTTAAATGAAATAGAAGACATTCTCGCTTGTTCCCATAGAGTTATTGAAACATTTGTGAAAGTTTGGGAAAAACGAAACTGATTTTGCGGGAGAATTGTTGCTATTTGTATTACGCTATAGAAATGAGGAAATTTTCTCCATTTCTGAACAGCATTGACTGGGTCAATTATATTTCATATCTCGGTGTTTAAATATTTTTGTTAACAAGTTAACTGTCTAAAGATGTCCTCAGAGCTTAGACAAAACTTAATAACGTTTTTTCCAGAACGAAATCAACTAATTGCATGTTGTTCATTGCATGTTTGTAGAAACGTGAAATTCATTGCATGTTTGTAGATACGTGAAATTCATTGCATGTTTGTAGATACGTGAAATTCATTGCATGTTTGTAGATACGTGAAATTTATTGCATGTTTGTAGATACGTGAAATTCATTGCATGTTTGTAGATACGTGAAATTCATTGCATGTTTGTAGATACGTGAAATTCATTGCATGTTTGTAGATACGTGAAATTCATTGCATGTTTGTAGATACGTGAAACTTGCTAGGTTAACTCACTTAAGTAATTTTAACTCCAGTGCTTCCAACATATTTATGAAATTTCAATGAAATTTCATGCAAAAAATAAGCATGAAATATTTACCATTAGCACAAACATCTGTCAACAGGTGAAAGATCCGGACGTAAAAAGTGTGCCACCTCAGATCCATATTTGCTCCCTCGAGAACTCATTAAATCGTGACGAAGATGAGTTTTACATTACTCACGAAACTGATCGCAATATTTTACGAGTAAACTGGAATGAGCGTCGTAACTTTAAAAGAAAAAATGTCTACAATATCACTGTAACTTGTAACGACACCGAATTCAGTATTTCTAAATGGTTTAAAATTCTTGTTACTGGTAAGTTTAGTGTGTGAATACATACATCGTGTGCTGTTCATACATTTTCAACTATCGCGCAATGGTAAACTATTTATTTTTAAATAGCCCATATTTTTTATTTATGTCTGTCTACATGTTAAAATAATTTCAAAGTTCATGAGCAGTGATAAGACAATGATTGTTCTTTTCCAAAATTTTGCTTTTTCTTCTTCGTCATATGGGGCTGTTTGTAACTTTTATTTAAGAATATTCCTCAAATGATATTTACTAGATGTAAACAAAGCTCCAACATCTCTTTACTTATCAAACTCAACTCTCGAAGAAAACTCTCCTAACATGACGTATATCGGTACTTTAACCGCTGAAGATCCTGATGGCTCAAATCAGTCCTTTACTTACACTCTTGCTGATAATACTGAATCTTTTCTCATTGGTGGAATCAATCATGATGAATTATTTCATTTGGGATCAGTTGATTACGAGCTTACACCAAGTTTATTGGTGCACGTTATTGTTACTGATGGCGGTGGATTGCATTTTGAAAAGATTTTTACCATAACTGTTCTAGGTTTGTTTGTGGTATCTGAAAGAAACTACTTTCCGATTTTAATAAAGAGATGATGCAGCTAAATCAACTTTTTCCCTTCTTGTTAATAGACGTAAACGATGCGCCCACGGACATTGAAATAAGAAACAATCCCTCTTTTAAAGAGAACAGCGTCGAAAATATCTTTATCAGCAATGTCGTTATGATTGATGAGGATAAAAACACAAAAACGTCATGTAAACTTCTTGACTCCAGCGAGGATCGCGTGAAACTAGACTTGCTCACGTTGCTTGTCGGTCCACGACCTACAGATTATGAAAGTCTGGATTCTTCAAAATCTTTAAAGATAAATATCAGCTGTGAAGATGAATTTGGGATGAGTATCAATAAGTTGTTTGGATACCAGTCAAAGGTAAAGTTATATATTTTATATACATGTGACAATATTTGTGTGTAATTTTATTGAAAATCAATCATCTTCTTGAGTGTGTAATGAATTATTTAGCATTTGGTAATATAATCACAGTCCACAGTTGATGATGTTGTTCAGTTGATAGAACATTGGGGACAATGATTATCTTGTTATTATACATTATCTTGTTATTGTACATCACAACAACTTGATGTTATTATCTATGATATTAAGATATGAAAGAAACTATAGAAGCGTTTATTGAAATATAAACATAGTTCACATTTGTTCATGTAGTTCAGTCGGTAGAACATTTGAAACATCATAATATTAATAATTCCCTGGTACATTTACTTTACATTACATTACGTTATAGTCTTTTATTCTTAATGAAAACTTGTCAAATAATATTTTTGATAAAATTATGTCAATTTACAGATATAAATGAACCGCCAACAATGATGGAGTTGATTGGAAAAGAAATTCGTGAAAATATGAATAACAGCTTCGTGGGAATTTTGAATATCACAGATCCAGATGTGGGCCAGAGATTTGACTGTAGAATACTCAACAGCAGGGTAACCATTAACAACGCTTCTTTCTATATTGACAACAACTCAAATCCTCCAATTTTAAAGACTCTTCGTCCGCTTGATTTTGAAGATCAGCGTATGATATACATCTTCATAAGTTGCCGGGAAATATTAGCCAATCCTAATGAGCTTGCAAACTCTATCGAAAGAGAGTTCAGAATTGACGTTATAGGTATGATTATATAGACCTAACATCTACTCTAACATTTAATTGGTTGTGTTTTAAGATTTTATTCAATTTAAAAGTAATGAATGGGCTTTATTACTCTAAATGCAAAAATTGGCAGTATGTGTGATATTTCGCTGTAGACTGTATTTTATCTCAACGTTTAATAAATACTTCATGTTATTTTAAGACATAAACGAATATCCCGTTATTCATTGCGACACACCATTCATTGTGTGGCCGTCTTTCTCACCTGGCTCGTCCATCGGCCTGGTGACAAGTTATGATCCTGACAACGAACGGTTTTATAAGTCCCAACGAGAAAACAACGATAACGCCACAGAAATTCAAAAACAATTATTGCAATACAGTTTAAGAACGAAAAATGTAACATCATGGCCTTTTGATATTACTAATGATGGAATACTTTACTTGAAAAAGGTTTGTTGATGTTGTATTAGACGCTAACTATACGGAAGCTTATAGACAGAAAGAAACAATTAGGCACTACCCCCTGGCCTGATTGGAATTGCTTTATTTTCAGAATGGAAACTTTTCAGAATGAAAAGAGTTAGCATTTTGCTCATTTAACTTAATCTTGGTAAAAAAATTTGTTATGGAATTTAATTTTATTGCATTGATAACTTCATTCATAAAGTTTGTTTGACTTCAACAGTTTAGTTTGTATCTTTATTTTAACAGTCTCTCTCTGCTCAACTATACAACGGTTCAACGATATTTTCCGTCCGTGTTAAAGACGATGGAACATTACTGAAACTAGTAAATGACACATATCAGATCAAAAAGACGAAATCAAACAATCTATTCAAAATTGTACCATAGTTATCGCAAGTAAGTAAAACAGAATTATGTACAATGAACTTGCGACACTTGAAGTTTTTTGACAGAATACTGTTAACTTTCAAAACTATAGCAGGTTCTCACGATGTTCAAAAATACAGGGAACAATTGATGAGGATCTAAGTGTTGATATTCGCTTTTTGATAACTATTTTTCTTATTCAGCCAATGATACAAACTTGAATATACAACTAAGCTCTAATTCAATATACGAGAACGCATCTTCTGGTTCTGTGATTGGTTACTTCTCTCTTGTACCTGCACTCGGGCAGAAAGACTCGGTGACATATCACATTCTGAAAGACAATGACGGGTTTTGCCTCCTTTTGAGATCAATGGAAATATTTTAAGTGTGAAAAAGGACAAAAGTCTGGATTACGAACGTCTTGCGTCAGACAAAACTATTCCGATACGTGTCAGTGGTCGTGTAAGAAAATCTGCAGACATTCTTGAAGTTTCTACAAAGATTTTCTTGATCAAAATCTTAGGTTAGATTTTGGTATAGACTATTTATAGATCTAAACAAGTTATATGCTGTTGATATTTAGCTGTTTTTGTATTTTTGTCTTATCGAACTTAGTTTCCTAAATATTTTGAAATATAAAGGGATTTTTTTAAAGGCAAATTCTTATCAGGAACCAAAAGAAGGTCTTTATTTTGAAAGTCTCACACAAGTGGATCTATTGGTGGATCTGTGTACACAAGTGGATCTACTGATAAATCTTTGTATACAAGTTGATCTACTGGTGGATCTTTGTATACCTAGTATATTTACCATTTCATTATTATCTTGGTTCATATAGAGATCTCTTTAGTTGTCAAGAAATTTAGTTGCTTTAAACTTGTCAAGAAACAATGCAGTGTTGTACTTTCAGTTATAAGTTGAATGCAAATCTACATGAAGTAATACAATACTTTTATACTGACAGATGTCAACGAGGGTCCGACATCAATATGTCTCATGGCCCCTCGTCGTGGTCAAGATTGTTCAGTTCTTGGTGAAGTTCTTATTGAAGATTTGGATTATCCTCAACTAAAATGTGATTCCAACAAGACACTTGATCTGCAGCCGTATTCCAATAAATTATCTGAATACACTTGTCATATTGAGAAGGGCGGAGATACTTTAAGTAAAACTATTAAAGTGGATGATCATTTTTATGTTAAAGATAGGCCACCAAAATTGTACGTAAAGAAAAGTATATTTCGTCGAGGACATCGATCCTACAATGTTCCTATTTTATGTCGAAGTACCTTACATCCACTTCATATCTTGTCAAAAACCTTGGACGTTGATATTCAAGGTAAAACATACAAATTGAAAGATATTATGACGACAAAAATAAGTTGATTTTTCTTTACACTGCATCAAATATCAAAGAAATAAGACAATGCGTGTCAGTGATGGTATAGGAATGACAACAGTGAACAAACACAGTCTTTACACAACATAAAATGTTTAAGAAACAAGATGACATATGTTAGTGTTGGTAGTGATGAAGAAAAATATATTTTTTCAGTTCCTAATGATGACAATTGTCGTGACAGAGAACTTTGTACCTCTTGTCCTCAGCCAAAATTTTGTCTATCAAACGTCAAAGCTGGTGGAAAGTAAGTATACTGTGTCACTGTGTAATCTTTTTGACTTTTTTCAACCATCGAGTTTTTGTCTTTTAACTAGATGTGTTGACGAAAAAAATCTTCTCAACATGACAGTTAAAATTTCGCCATCTTTCTTTGAAAAACCTGGCTTTAATACCTCGTTTGAAAGCTATGTAAAAGATTTGATTGAGGGAACGAGTAATGGAAAGAGTCTAAAAGATTTAGTGAAAGAGTTTGAAGGTACATAAGAATGAATTTTGTTTTCTTTTCGTAAAAAGACCAATTGAAGTCTTTTTATTATTCAGTGATGTTCAGGACTCCAATAAAGGTTTTGCAGGGTAGCTGGAGGCAGAAAAAGTCATAAGTTTCAATCCAACAACCAGCCTGAACGTTTAAGTGGTGCTATGTAAATTTTAAATTATTATAAGTATTTGTTTCGTCATAGATATCTAATGTTTTTGACGGAGTTAGAAGAGAAAAATATTCGGATAGCAGAACTAAAGAGCATTTATGCTATATGAAAAATCATTCAACTAAATAGTTTTAAAAATTTTACATATTTAAAAGCGATACAAACATTTAATGTGCTTCTTTCACATCAAGTTTTGAATATTTTAACAGCTAAAAGTGTTGTTTCAAGAAAACGACGAAGTGTCATACTCAGAAATGTTTATGTACAATTGCTTTTGTACATGAGTGAAGGAACATCTACTAAAGTAGTACTTGCAGTTGCCGATAAACTGAACTACAATTTGATCTTAGCCTCTGATGCATGCGCTCTGTTAAAAAACACTCAAGTTGAATGTTTGTCTGATTTATCTGCTGAGAGACAAAAAAAAAAACTAGTAAATTTCCTCAGTGGCCAATTTACGTCATTGTCTGTGGAGTTATTGTTATAGCCATCGTTATTCTTGTGATCATGTGGAAAAAACGAAAAGCTAATAAGGTAGGCTTATTATTTGTAGTTTGTTATTAAACGATCTGTGATTGGTGGAAATATGCTCACATGATCCAAAGTAAAAAAGGTGACCACCATATACGCTAAGAACAACAAAACCTTCTGTTTCATATTTTTCTGAGTTCATTCGAAGTGAAAACCAAAAAGGCAGTAAATAATTAAAATAATGTGGAAAGTTATGCGAATTTTGATATTCTTTACAAGGTTGTGCAGACCAAGTATTAGCGTTGTTATAGATATATTTACAACCTAACCCCGTTAACAAAACGATAGAGAATTTCGGTTTGTTTTAATGCAAAAAACAGAAAATGCAATATAAAATTTTCTGGAAAAAAGAGCAACGATCGACATGGGCACAATCCATTTAAACACACAAAATAAAATTCTTGAAAATGGCAAACAAAATATTCAAACCATTTTAAGGATACTGGCCGACTTGATAAATTAAATGTTAGAAAAACGAAGATTCTAAGCAGATTTTTTATCAATTTTTTGTTAACAAATGGCTTTTTTATCAGAGAGAAGACACCCCATCCATTTACTATCATCAAAACTCAGAATCAGTAGCAATGGGCTCTGGAAACGAAACACCAGCTTCTAGCAATGGATACATGAGTACATCTGAGGAAAAACGTCAATTAGATGTTGAGGTATACAGTGTCTTTTTTGATAGTTTGTCTATTGTCAATGCAAATCTGCTCAACAACTTTGTATTTTATGAGCAAGACAAGTGATGACATAAATATGACATTAGTGTACTGTAATGAAATAAATGAGAAAATGGCTGAGGAGAAGATTACTCTTCTTTGAATTCTGTCCTTTTCCATGATTCTTTCATATATACATATTTTCCTTTTTTTAGTCTGTTTTTAATCCTGTTTACGATCAAGGGAATTGTCATATCAAAGGCAATACTGAAATGACTAAAGAAATGTTAATGCCACCTTATCCAATAAATGAACCTCCACCTTCATATGAACAAATTGACAACATCATTTATGAAAGAGCAGATGAGGTAAGGACAAATGACAATGTTGGCCATGAATGTAGGGATAATCCTCTCTATGACTTTGGACTGCAAAATGCATCACCTGATAATCCATTGTATGGTCGTATAAACAAAGATGAGGATCCTTCTAATGTTTTGATGAGTGAAGATGGACCCTCCAGACAAATCATGCAAAACCAGGTTTCCCCCGACGCAATGGATACTGAATCATATAATGATGTTATGGAAGCTCAGACGCCAACAGCACGGGACATTGCCTTCTTGAATACTGTATCTGGAACCATGGATGAAAGTCAAAGCTAAGTTTGACGTTAATCTGGCTTTGGTTTGCAATGTTTTTTTGTAAAATTCCTCATAAGAAGCACGAAACAATCTATACACTTTTTCGTAATATTTTTATACTTCTCACTAATGTTTTATACTCATGAGCACAACATGTAATGTAAGATTACTGAATGAATGTACTATTAATAAACTTAAATATATGAATGTACTAAAATATAGCCTTTACAAAGTAGTGATAAATAATATACAACATTGTTTAAAAGATTATAACAATTTCTAATTTTCATTGCATTATATAGAAGTTATAATTTCATCTAATAAATGTATTATAAGCAAAAATGTAGAATGACGTTGAGACTTTTCATGACAACCGTCTGCAAGTCATAATACTAATCGCATATCCAAGTCCAAGGCTCGACTTCAAATTCATTAAGTCCAAATCTTTTCAATGAATGTGCAATGAAAAATCAACTTGAATACAGGAGTGTATACTCATTTAGATGAGGATGCAGATCAAATAATATTTTTTGACGAAGAATTTCCTCAAATGAAGCTGTTACCAATGGCAACCCAGTTCACAACAAGTAAAAGCATGTATATTTTAATACTTTTACTGATTGGCAGGAAAGGTTATGATTCCGCCAGCTGCATATTTTTAAAAAACAATGCCTTGTTTAGGACACGTTCTTGTTAAAATTGCATGAACTTTCTCATTAAAATGATATGAAAAATAAACATTTGTGTCACGCGTCACGTAGGTTTGGCACCAGTCGCCAGGTGCTGTGCGCAATACGACTGCGCATGATATAGTTTTCAATACGATTACTGTTTTAATGCGTCATTTACGTTTTGCTACGCCATAAATTAACCGGTGAAGACGACCTTGGCGAATATAACGACTTTGCTCTTTTTAAAAGAATATTCTTCAGCCTTAAAGTCTTTCCAATCTATTAAATAATAATGTTACTGAAACATTTTCTAGTTGTTTATTTGCTGTTGATAATTCATTTGCTATGTGTGTCTTCATGGCCTTGGAGACGAAGAAGAAGAAGAAGAATCCGAAGAAAATGGCCGAGTCCACGAGTAAATTGTCTTGTTTCGGGTCAGTATTTATAGCTTTGAAGTTTTTTGCTATTTTTATCACGTTTTGCACATTGGAAGAAACGAAGTCTAACAATTATTCATTGTTCATTGTGAGAACCGTGACACTTCCATTCATAACAGCAAATTTTGATTTGTATAAGCGAAATAAGCTCTTGTGCTTTTGTTATTTTGTGTATTATAATATCTCAACCAAAAAATGTCAGAAGTGTTATTTGAGCTTGGATGAATTTATTCCTTTAATTCCCAGTCACGTAGCCAGAACGATGATTAGGAGAGGGGGGTGGCATATTCATATTCATTTTATATGGCGTATAAAACAATGGATTTCAAAAGAAAATAATACGGCATATGTCATGGATGTATGAATATTGGCTCCCCAAATTATCGTTCTGGGTACGTGTCTGACATTTCGTTCGCCAGTTTTTGCAAGTCGTTTGCTGTTTTTAAAAGTATTAAACTGTTTATCATATTTAAGTTGTTTTGATAAAATACATATAGAAATTTGATAAAAACAAAGATACATATGAAGCGAACGCAAAACAGGGCTAAACACGGCAAGGACGTGATGTTGGAAAATGGAAATGATCAGGTTGTCGGTTTTCAAATTTGTCAGGTTCTTTAACTGATATGATTTTATTGAAAAATTCGCATGTACAGAATACAACTGTCATCACATTTATTATCCAACATTACTTCAGAATTGCTATCTACAATATAACAAAAGCTATTACGACCTTGTCCAGCTGCTTAACATGGGAAATGCAACATGTTAATTATTGCTACATGCTCATCATGAAAATTCTAAAACTGATATGTTGTTCATTTACAAACCAGGCAGCAATTCTAGTGAAGGTAAAATACAAAGATTAACAAATTTTCAAATGTCAAAAGAACAAAATTAATACACTAAAAAATTAAAAAGAAAATTCAAACAAACCTTTACATTGTTTTTTGTGACATAATATCGATATATCATTTTATTGTTGATTGTTGACAATTATAAACTGTGACGAGATTTATGCGAGTTTTATATGACTTTCATTGACGAGTTTTATATGACTTTCATATGACGAAATTTATAAGACGAGTATGAAGTCATATGTACGAGATTTATAAGAAGTTTTATATGACGAGTTTCATATTCGAGTTTTATATGAAACATGACTAGATTTAAAACTATATTATTATTGTTGAGTTGTGTATGACGAGATTTATATGACGAGTTGTTTTATAAACTGTGACGAGATTTATAAGACGAGTTTTATATGACGAGTTTCATATGACGAGTTTATAAGACGAGTTTTATATGACGAGTTTCATATGACGAGTTTTATATGACGAGTTTCATATGACGAGATTTATAAGACGAGTTTTATATGACGAGTTTCATATGACGCGATTTATATCGTGAGTTTTCCTCTAACAACATGAAGTATTGAGTTAAAGAACACGTGTTTCTTTCAAAAGCAGTTATTAATTATATGCAAAATTTCGGCGGGTTGGTAACTTTGTATTTTCTATCTATACTGTATCGCTCTCACCAAAATGACAGAAATGAGCAATAGAGAAATTATTCAGGAGCTTCTTGGCAGAGTTACAGAGCTGTCTGAAAGAATATCACCTGACGTGGACAGTTCTGTAAGGTCAGAAGTGAGAACTATATTTGGACGACATACGACCGCTTTAAATTTGCCAAATGCTGAAACGAGTCGGGAGGGAAGGAGGCCTTGTTTTGATATAACCAAAGTACAGATAGAGCAATTACGAGATACCGGAATGAAATGGAAAAGTATAGCTAGCTTCCTAGGTGTATCAGAACAAACAATTTACCGGAGAAGGATTGAATATGGAGTTGAGGCTAGCTTTACAGACATCACCGATGATAGTTTAGATGGGCAGATAAGAGATATTTTAAGGCTTACCCCATATAGTGGAGAATATTATATCAGGGGTAGTTTAAGGGCTAGAAAGATCTATGTCCAAAGAGAAAGGGTTAGAGAAAGTCTTCGCAGAATCGATACTATTGGAAGAAATATGCGAAGGAGGTATGCGATTTGTAGACGGGTTTATAACGTTTCCGGGCCGAATTTTCTTTGGCATATTGACTCAAACCATAAGCTTATATCCTGGCGATTCGTTATCCATGGTTGCATCGACGGGTTTAGTCGGGCAGTCATTTTTCTAGAGTGCTGCGCTGATAATAGATCTCAGACAGTAGTTGATCTTTTCAAAAAAGGGATTGATGAATTCGGTTTGCCTTCGAGGGTTCGTGGAGATCGAGGTGTCGAAAACGTTGACGTAGCACGGCTAATGATATCACGTCGTGGTGAGAATAGAGGTAGTTTCATTGCCGGGCGAAGTGTGCATAACCAAAGGATAGAACGGTTGTGGGCAGAAGTAAACCGGGTTCTTTCTGCTCTATACGTTGGTGTCTTTAAATTCATGGAAAACGAAAACCTGTTAGATCCGTTCAATGAGCATCATCTATTCGCCCTTATAAATATAAAATGATATACCTCGACATATTACTGTCACAAAAAAACAATTGTAAAAAAAGTTTGTTTGAATTTAAAAAAATGCTTTTTACATTATTTTAGTGTACAATCACTTGATCCCCTCTTATGACAAATGTGGAAAGATCCCTTGCTTTTACCCAATCTATGTATTTTACCTTCACTAGAATTGCTGCCTGGTTCCTGTAAATGAACAACATATCAGTTTTTAAAAGCACACTATTTACATGATGAGCATGTAGCAATCTAATTCTCCAACCTTTGTTGCATTTCCCATGTTAAGCAGCTGGACACTAGGTCGTACATACACTGGCTTTTGTGCGTATAATCTGTGGAGGATAACACCATGCAATGTCTGACCAGGGGCTAATGTTGGCGCAACCAGAGTGAAATGTACTGATGTTAACAGTTCTATATCTGTACCATGCGGAATTTTTCCATCAAAGGCCATCATTATATTAGTTTCGACAGCAGCGGCTGACAAATCTTTTGAAAACCGACAACCTGAAATCATGTGTCCATTTTCTACCAACATCAGCCGAGTGCCTTGCCATGGAACTGCATTATCTTTGGGGCCGCTTAATAGGATTAAATCTCTCAAAAATGGCCTGTTATCAATTACTGTTGATGAACGAGTTCGCCTTGTTCGGCTTCTTGCAGCAGGTCTACTTGCGGGAAAATAGCGCCTCGATTAAAATGCAGTGGATGAATTTCTTCTAATTGGGAGGCGATTCTCTATTGTAGCTGTTGATGTCATTTGATTAGGGTGATGCGTTAATTCTCTCTGGCGACTCGTTTCAGCATTTGGCAAATTTAAAGCGGTCGTATGTCGTCCAAATATAGTTCTCACTTCTGACCTTACAGAACTGTCCACGTCAGGTGATATTCTTTCAGACAGCTCTGTAACTCTGCCAAGAAGCTCCTGAATAATTTCTCTATTGCTCATTTCTGTCATTTTGGTGAGAGCGATACAGTATAGATAGAAAATACAAAGTTACCAACCCGCCGAAATTTTGCATATAATTAATAACTGCTTTTGAAAGAAACACGTGTTCTTTAACTCAATACTTCATGTTGTTAGAGGAAAACTCGCGATATAAATCTCGTCATATGAAACTCGTCATATAAAACTCGTCTTATAAATCTCGTCATATGAAACTCGTCATATAAAACTCGTCTTATAAACTCGTCATATGAAACTCGTCATATAAAACTCGTCCTATAAATCTCGTCACAGTTTATAAAACAACTCGTCATATAAATCTCGTCATACACAACTCAACAATAATAATATAGTTTTCACACCGCATTATAGTAATTTCGAGTACCACTTTACGAATCTCGAATAGGCTTATAGTAATTCTAATACGACTTATAAATCTCGATACACTTTTGGCAGGTTTGGCTTGCCATACACAACTCAACCATAATAATATAGTTTTCACACCGCATTATAGTAATTTCGAGTACCACTTTACGAATCTCGAAAAGGCTTATAGTAATTCTAATACGACTTATAAATCTCGATACACTTTTGGCAGGTTTGGCTTGCCATAAAATAATTCAATTGAGTATATGCATGTGTGTGTCATATGATATACTATTGACTTAAGCTGATGCTGGTGTCCAGGTCATTGAGGCGACACTTCATGCTGAACTTATACATATAGTAACTGCTGCAACTCTAGAAAGTATGAGGCGGGCTCAGAGAAAATAGTAGCTATAAACGTATGTTAAGTGACTTTGTAATTGAATTTTTCCTGTATTTATCATATCTTTAATCTTTATTGCTTAACATATATGATACAAAGCAGAAAAATACCTGCTGTTTCATTTGCTTTTTGCTTTGAAATGTCAGTCAAATAGCATTTGATTTTCAGCAGTAAAAAATTGTGATTTTGACTTGAAATTACCATTTGAAGAGTTCTTGATCATTTCTAATTATTCTAAATAATGATATATGTTTACTGTGTTTTCCTTATGCCTTGAGAGTTCTCACAAACGTCTCCGAAGTTTGCATAAGTCAGTGCACAAAGTAACAATAGTAACAATAATGCGAAACAGATAAACTCAAAATGTAGCCAGTATGACATTGCATGAACCTAACATTGATGCGAATTCCTAGCACACAACCTTTTAACAACATTTAAAATTTCTTTTATCTTTGAGTAAAATACTACTATTATATAGAATAGTTTAGGAATGTGTATGACCAGAAATAACAAAACCATTGAACATTAATAATCTCAGGTTTAATATTTATGTTATTCTTATTCATCTTTCTATAGCGTGGACTGAATTTAGTGCTTGTAGTTCAAATTGCAGCATCGGAACGCAAACTTTCACTCGTCACATCATCACCAATACTTCCAACAAAGGATTTCCGTGTCCTCGCTTAGAACGGTCCTTTCTATGTGGTTCACCAAACGGGGGGTGTGATGACGTTTGTAACCCTGCTAATGGATCGTGTTCGTGTGTAAGTCTTCCTGGGTACAAACTTGAAGGTAAGGATTATTCAATTTATCATGCTTCAAGCAAACAGTTTTTAACATTCTCTACGAATTAGAATATAGTGCTTTCATTAGTAGCCATGTTGTGAGAAATCCCATATAGTTAAAAGAAATTATGTTAATTACATGCTCTGTTGAGCATCGACTTTCATATAACTTACCAACATGGCCGCTTCAAGTTTCATTTAAACACCCTATAGTTTAAAGTAGTTTTTATTCGTCAGTAAATATTTACATACATCATCCATATGAGGGCAATTGCTGATAATTTAAGAATTAAATGGTTTATCCAGTTGTACAGTTGAGGTCAGTAATGGTTAAATTGTACACCAATGGAAAGAATCCATTTGTTAAATTTTGCAAACATAGCAGTAATCCTTTGGTTTAAATTTCCATATATGGCAATATTTTTTCATTTAGCTGATGGTAAATCATGTGGTGATATAAATGAATGTGAAAATGGAAATGGTGGTTGTATCAACTCCAAATGTAGAAACACATATGGTAGTTACTGGTGTGAATGTTTACCTGGTTATAAACCATCAACTATGAACTCAAGGAATTGTTTACCTAAATCATGTTCACCGCTGATTCCACGCCAATGCCCGCGAACTGCGTATTATGACGAATTTGGAGCAGCCTGCATGCCTGCAAAGATCAATTGTCCACACGGGCGCGGGTATATGAAATCTTGTTCCATTAACTGTAACAAAAACTTTAAAATTGCTGTGATTAAATCACCAAACATCGGTGAAGCTTTCGCTGAAAACTTCCGCAAGGCAAATTTCAAACGACCCAATCGGAGAACTGTGTGCTCTTTGGATAGGAAAACTGAAAATGTGATTTGGGACTGGAACCCAAATACTTCTCCCTACTACTGTAGGAGAATTAATGATCCACCTTCGAATATCGTCTTTTCAAACATTGTCATTGATAAGAAAATCAAAATTCTCTCCAGTATTGGCCATTTCACTGCGAACGATCCTCAAGATGATCAACTGACGTTCACAATAGTGAACGCAGAGGCAAATTTTTACTTTCTTATTCAAGGTAATTTGCTGTTAGCGAAGAAACGTTTGGTGTGGAAACCCCAATCAAATAATATCTACACAGTAAAAATTAATGTGAGCGACAATGGTTCACCTGTTATGTTTACTACAAAAAGTTTTAACATTACTGTATTGAACATTAATGATCCGCCATACGACATAAAACTTTCAAATAACGAAGTGTTTGAAAATGTCAATATTGGTTTTGTTGTTGGTAAACTAACAGCTAGAGATGATGATCTTGGTCAAAAACGTACTTCAAATTTTACCTGGGAGATGGTCGACTCCGATATGGATTACTTTAAGTTGTTAGGTCATCAGATAATCGTTGCAAAAATTCTTGATCATGAAGCAAAGAATGTACATCGTATAAAAGTAAAATGCACGGACAGCGGTAACCCACCTAAATCTTCGTCCATCCAAAGTTTGTTTATTGTTGTGCGAGATAGCAACGATTCGTTAAAATATATTAATTTAACAAATAATCGCGTCCCAGAGAATTCCGACATTGGCACAATCATTGGCAACTTCGTCACGATTGTTGAAGACAACAGCACGTTAAACTTTGATTTGAATGGAAACGATGTCATAATTCGTGAGAAGTTTGCATTGCTAGGTTTGTACATGTAGTGAGTTTTCTTTCAAATCCAGGCGAGATTTAAATGTCTTGTTTGCTGTTCTCGTAAGAACTAAACTGCTTCCCATTTCCCGTTTTCATTTATGCTCGAATATCAAGCGGAAGTAAAATTGTTTCAGCATAAAAACTCTGCAGTGAATCCGCAGCGAGGAGATTAAAACTTTATTTTTTTCTGTTGGAAGACTTTAACTCTAGCCCTGGTTTACTCATAATCATTTCCTCCTTACAGGTGTTCCTAAATATGAGTATCGTATCATGAGCGGTAAATTTGGTGAGATTTTCTCCGCACCCCTGGTTGTTAAAGGTCTACTTGATTACGAAAAGAAGAATGAGTATATTGTCGGGTTGGCTGTCTCAGATCCGGGGGGAGTGACGCATAAAGATTTTCGAATTGAAGTGACAGATGTGAACGAAGCTCCAACTGATATTTTGTTATCTAACAAGTTTTTAGCGGAGAATTCTCTTTCTTCAACAATGATTGGAGAGTTTTTGGTGAGTTATGCGTGTGATTTTTTTGTTATGAAATCATAAAGAGATTGTCGAATGTTATTCATTATTAAGCCATGTACAGTACAATAACATTAGAAAAATATTTGTTAAATGATGTAATGCTTCGTTTCTGAAGATTACCCTATGAAAACAGGAAATTTCTCCCCAATCATTTTAGGAACAACATTTTCAAATCTTTGAAATTGGAGAGAAAATTAGGAAAATGTTATGTTATCCTTATTGCCTTGACATCAACAATTCACAAAACTCTAAACAAAAACTAAGCTCACTAACTAAGCATGAAACTTTTCCCTTAATAACATACTTAATTATGTCACAGGTGAAAGATCCGGACGTAAAAAGTGTGCCACCTCAGACCCACATTTGCTCCCTCGAGAACTCTTTAAGTGGTGACGAAGATGAGTTTTACATTAGTCACGAAACTGATCGCAATATTTTACGAGTAAACTGGAATAACCATCTTGATTTTGAAAGAAAAAGTTTTTACAATATCAATGTAACTTGTCACGATGCTGGTTTTGGTATTTCTAAATTATTGAAAATCTTCGTCACTGGTAAGTCTTTGGTAAATATACATAAACTTGTGCTGCTCATTTTAAGCTAACAGAGACGAAGCTAGAATTTATTTTTAATTCTTTGCAGTGGCCTGCACAGTATTTTTTTAAGGGAGACTGGGGTTGGGCACTATTCATATATGTTTGTTCTGCCGAATAAAATTCCGAATGAATTAACTATTTCCTGAAGATTGTGTTACATTATATTATGAATATATGAACGTTCCTCTACCACCAACTCTCCCACCCCCCCAAAGGATCGAGGATAGCTACGTCATTGCTTCTGTGTTGCAAAGTTTTCATGAAAACATTTCATTAGGAACTCGTTTTATCATTTCCCTTTTCACTCAAAAATATCTGAAAAGCATTAGTAAAACTGGGCTGACTTCCCCATTGCTGGCTGACAAACCTCATGAGATCAAGTCTATTGTTCTCAATTTTTATTACGATCACTAATTTTTGTTTTTTAGCGTACGCTTGAATAATATGTTTTTTAAACAATATGCTCTAAACTGATGAAAGACTTTCGTAGAAACTGTTTTTACTTGTTGATCATTTTCTTGTTAAGATCATAAATTTTCTTTGTCTAATACTGTCTATGTTTTATAAGTTGTATTAAAGGTTGCCTTTAAAAAAAACGTTATTTTCTAGATTTAAATGAAGCTCCAACATCTCTTTACTTATCAAACTCAACTCTGCAAGAAAACTCTCCTAACATGACATATATCGGTACTTTAACCGCTGAAGATCCTGATGGTTCAAATCAGTCCTTTACTTACACTCTTACTGATAATACTGCATCTTTTCTTATTGGTGGAACCAATCATGATGAATTATTTCATTTGGGATCAGTTGATTACGAGCTTACACCAAGTTTATTGGTGCACGTTATTGTCACTGATGGCGGTGGATTGCATTTTGAAAAAATTTTAACCATAAATGTTCTAGGTTTGTTTGCGTTGTTTGTAAGAAATTAATTCCTGATTTTTATGGATTAAAGATGCATTGCTAAATCAATTATTTTTTTGTTTTTTGTTTATAGACGTAAATGATGTGCCAACGGACATTGAACTAAGGAAGAATTCCTTTTTAAAAGAAAACAGCGTTGAAAATATCTTTATCAGCAATGTCGTTATGATTGATGAGGATAAAAACACAAAAACCTCATGTAAACTTCTTGACTCCAGCGAGGATCGAATGAAACTAAACTTGCTCACGTTGCTTGTCGGTCCACGACCTACAGATTATGAAAGTCTGGATTCTTCAAAATCTTTAAAGATAAATATCAGTTGTGAAGATGAATTTGGAATGAGTATCAATAAGTTGTTTGTGATCCCAGTCAAAGGTAAAGTTAGATTTAGTAGAAGAGAGAAAAATGTGAATAATATTTTAAAGAAAGTATGTCGATGGTTGCAGATGTAAATGAACCGCCATCAATGATGGAGTTGATTGGAAAAGAAATTCGTGAAAATATGAATAGCAGCTTCGTGGGAATTGTGAATATCACAGATCCGGATGTGGGCCAGAGATTTGACTGTAGAATACTCAAGAGCAGAGGAGCCTTTAACAACGCTTCTTTCTATATTGACAACAACTCTAACCCTCCAATTTTAAAGACCCTTCGTCCTCTTGATTTTGAAGATCAGCGTATGATATATATCAACGTAAAATGCAAAGAAATATTAGCCAATCATAATGAACTTGCGAACTTCATGGAACAACAGTTTAGAATCGATGTTATAGGTAAGATCGTGTATCATAACGTTTATTTGGTTGCGTTTAAGATTCTATTCAATTTAGGAAGTAATAAATGGGCTTTATTACTCTGAATGCAAGCAGTTTGCTTTTGTATTTCATCTTAAACTGTGTAAAATACTTCATGTTATTTTAAGATATAAATGAATATCCAAAGATTCATTGCGATGCACCCTTCATTGTGTGGCCGTCTTTCTCATCTGGCTCTGCCATCGGCCTGGTGACAAGTTATGATCCAGACAACGAACGCTTTTATAAGTCCCAAAGAGAAAATAAGGATGGCTCAACAGAAGTTCAAAAACAATTATTGCAATACAGTTTAGGAATGAAAAATGCAACATCATGGCCTTTTGATATTAGTAATGATGGAATACTTTACTTGGAAAAGGTTAGCTGATGTTGATGTTAAAGTTGACGGAAACTTCACAAAAACTTATAGGTCCAATTAAAGACATATTTAGGCACTGTCCTCCTCCTCTTCAATGGAAATTTTGTTTAATAAAATTCATTTGATTTCCACTGTTCATTTCTTATTTCAACAGTCTCTCTCATCTCAACTATACAACGGTTCAATAACATTTCCTGTCCGTGTGAATGACGATGGAACATTACTGGAAATAGTAAACGACACATATCAGATCAAAACTGACGAAATCAAGCAATCTATTGAAAATTGTACCTTAGTTATTGCAAGTAAGTAAATCTGAACTATATACAATGGAGTTGTGCCACTGAAATATAAACAATATGAAAGTCAGTGAAAGTTGGAAAATGAGTTATAGCTTATAAGGGTTTTGACAGGATACTTATGAAAAAAATAATTATAAAAATGTAAAACGTTATCACAATGTACAAAGTTTAAAAAATAATTGATGTTGATTAAGGTATTGACTTCCACATTTGACACAATTTTATAAAATTCATTTTCTTGTTCAGCCAATGATACAAACCTGGATATACAACTAAGCTCCAACTTAATACACGAGAGCGCATCTTCTGGCTCTGTGATTGGCTACTTCTCTCTTGTACCTGCGCGCGGGTTCAAAGACTCGGTGACCTATCACCTTCTGAAAGACGAAGATGATGTTTTGCCTCCTTTTGAGATCAATGGAAATATTTTGAGTGTGAAAAAGGATAGCAGTCTAGATTATGAACGTCTAACGTCTGATAAAACTATTCCGATACGTGTCAGCAGTCGTGCGAAAAAGTCTGGAGTTTTTACAAAGATTTTCTTAATCAAGGTTTTAGGTAAGATCTCGTGTATATTTATGGTGGGCTTAAACCAGCTATACGTTGTTCATATTGGATTTGTGTCTTGTTGACTTAAGTTTCCTAAACGTTTCTGTGATTCAAAGAGATTTTTGAACGCAATTATGGAAATAAATATGAGAAAATGATGCACGATATTTTTCATTTGAAGAGAAAACTAACACATTTTGCATGACCTTCTGCATGACACGCATTGCATGATGTAATAGATAACTTTTTTTTCATTGCAGATGTCAACGAAGAACCCACATCAATATGTCTCATGTTCCCTCGTCATAGTCAAGATTGTTCAGTTGTTGGTGAAGTTTTTATTGAAGATTTGGATTATCCCCAACTAAAATGTGATTTAAACCAGACACTTGATCTTCAGCCGTATTCTAATAAATTATCTGAATATACTTGTCATATTGAGGAGGGAAAAGGTACTTTGAGTAATCTAATTGAAGTGAATGATCATTTTTATGTTAAAGACAGGCCACCAAAATTGTACGTAAAGAAAAATATATTTCATCGAGGACATCGATCCTACGATGTTCCTATTTTATGTCGAAGTACCTTACATCCACTTCATATCCTGTCAAAAATCCTGGTCGTTGATATTCAAGGTAAAACATACAAGTTGAAGACAGATATTGACAAAAAATTAGATAGCGTGTGTCAGTGTAGACAGTGATGAATGAACAACAGAGAACAAAACACTCTTTACACTATATAAAATATATAAGAAATAAGTTAACGTGTGTCAGTGTAGACAGTGATGAATGAACAACAGAGAACAAAACACTCTTTACACTATATAAAATATATAAGAAATAAGTTAACGTGTGTCAGTGTAGACAGTGATGAATGAACAACAGAGAACAAGAACAGATTTTACACTGCATAAAATATATAAAAAATAAGATAACGTTTGTCAGTGTAGGTAGTGATGGATGAACCACAGAGAACGATAACAATCTTTACATTAAAAAAATGTATAAGAAATAAGATAACGTGTGTCAGTGTAGTGATGAATAAAAAAATATTTTTCCAGTTCCAGATGATGACAACTGTCGTGACAAAGAACTATGTACCTCCTGTCCTCAGCCAAAATTCTGTCTATCAAACGTCAAAGCTGGTGGAAAGTAAGTATACTGTATCACTCTGTCATGTTTTTGATTTTGTCAAATATATTACGTTTTGACAGTTTTTTGGTTTGATTTGCTAGATGTGTTGATGAAGAACATCGAATAAATTTAACAATTAATATTCTTCCATCGTTCTTTAAAAAACCTGGCTTCATTATCTCAATTGAAAGCTATGTTAAAAATGTTATCGAGGGAAATAACAATGGCAAGAGTCTGAAGAATTTAGTGCAGGAATTTGAAGGTAAGAATTTGAATATCAAGTACAAGAACCTGCCTCGTTCATTTTCTTACTCAATTGTGTTTATGAGCTAAACATCAAAAGAGATGTTTTTTCATTGGTTGCAGAAAAAGTCAACTGAAATGTATTTCATTAATTTGATTTCTGTTTTAGTCTTGTACGTTTTAGTCGTGAAGTCAACCTTCACTTCTGTGTAAATTATCATGACTGTGACATTTAGACATTACATATACGTTCTTTTCGATGCATGTAAAAATAGAGAACTATTTACATAGCTGGTGTAGATAAAATAAATGAAAAAAAACGTTCAGCAATTACAAAACTTTTGAAAAAGCAACAATTACTGTTTCAACAAACGATGCTAAAAATAAAATCTATTATGACTCTTAATATCGATTTTAATTTTTAACAGGTAAAAATATTGTCTCAAAAAATATTGTGTCAAGAAAGAGACGTAGTGTAAGAAACACTTATGTAGAGTTACTTCTTTACATGAATGAAGGAAGATCTACTAAAGTCGTGCTGGCATGCGCCGAGAAACCAAACTACAATTTGATCTTAGCCTCTGACGCATGCGCTTTGTTAGAAAACACCGATGTTCAATGTTTGTCTGATCCTTACTCATCTGCTGAGAGACAAAACAAGAAAACCAATAAATTTCCTCAGTGGAGCATTTACGTCTCTACTGTTGGTATTATTATTGTCCTTATTGTCATTTTTGTGATCATATGGAGAAAACAAAAAAATGTTAAGGTATTTGTAATTTTTAATGCACGATCTGTAACTGTGATTGGTAGAATTGGGTTTACGTGATCAAAATCAAATGCTCAACACGCATGCTGGGAAATACAGAGACATTTAAGTCCATTCTGTTTTTTAATTCAGTCATGATTAACTAACGAAATGCTATATCATTAAAATCACGTGGAAAGTCATGTGACTTCTTGACATTACATGTTATTGTAAACTTTATTAAGTAAAATCAGCAAGTATTTAACCACAGTAATTTTATATTACGCCGTTATGCAACTGAAAATTCAATTTTCTGTAATTGAGTGGTTGTTTTACTAGCTACAAGATACCCCCATTGTTCACTTCAATCAACACTCAGACACAGTCGTTCTTGGCTCAATGGACGAGACACTGGTTGATAATAATGGATACGTGTGTACATCGGTGGGAAAACGTCAATTAGATGTTGAGGTATACAGTGTCTTTTTTGATAGTTTTTTATCGTCTGTGCAAATCTGCTCAACAACTTTGTATTTTGTGAACGAGACAAGTGATGCCATAAATATGGCATTATACTGTAATGAAATAAATGATCAAATGTTCTTTGAATTCTGTCCTTTTCCAGGATTCTTTCATATATACATATTTTCCTTTTTTAGTCTGTTTTTAATCCTGTTTACCATCAAGGCAATTGTCATATCAAAGGCAATACTGAAATAACTAAAGAAATGTTAATGATACCTTATCCAATAAATGAACCTCCACCTTCATACGAACAAATTGAAAACATTTTTTATGAAAGAGCAGATGAGGTAAGGACAAATGAAAATGTTGGTCACGGAAGTAGGGATAATCCTCTCTATGACTTTGGACTGCAAAGAACATCAGATAATCCATTGTATGGTCGTATAAATAAACATGCTCATCTACCCAATGTTGCTGAATGATGATAGACTCTCTAAATATACAAACGACGTTTTCCTTATGGAATGACTTAACAATGATTTTATAATAGCTCAGATGATCACACAGTCCATTAAACAATGTATCCTGTATACGTTGGTCGAAGGCAAAGTTTGTTTTGGTATTTATTAATATACTTTAACTTTGTGATGTTTATAGTTAGATTCAACCACAAGAGATTACAGTAAAGAGAATCACCAAAATCACAATATTATCAGTTATTGTAAATAACTTTAAATTAAACTTTCTCACTAAACTTTTATAACCATGGGCACACCATTTGATGAGATCACTGTATCTGTATATGTATAAAAAATTTACTTAACTAAAATGCACTACAAATAAATGAATAAATCATAATAAGGATTTATTCAAAATACACTTACAGTTATACTTTACTACTCGCCACTAATGATAATTATTAACTGCCTTTTAAAAGCACGAGAGCTGATTGGTTCAAAGCTGGATATATTTACGCAATTTCTCATTTCTGCAACGGCGGAATGGGATGGGCTATTAAAGCAGTGGGTTAGCCAGCCCGCAAATGTGGTCGTGCTATGTAAATTTCCAATCATTATCATTATTCAATTATTAAGAAATCAATTGTTTTTACAGTGATCACAGAAAAATTTACACAACACGACCAAACTTGCGGGCTGGCTACCTCACTGCTTTAGAAATAACACGACCTAACTTGCGGGTTGGCTACCTCACTGCTTTAGAAATAACACGACCTAACTTGCGGGTTGGCTACCTCACTGCTTTAGAAATAACACGGCTTAACTTGCGGGTTGGCTACCTCACTGCTTTAGAAATAACACGACCTAACTTGCGGGTTGGCTACATCACTGCTTTAGAAATAACACGACCTAACTTGCGGGTTGGCTACCTCACTGCTTTAGAAATAACACGACCAAACTTGAGATTTGGCTACCTCACTGCTTTAGAAATAACACGACCAAACTTGCGGTTGGCTACCTCACTGCTTTAGAAATAAAACGACCAAACTTGCGGGTTCGCTACCCCACTGCTTTAGAAATAACACGACCAAACTTGTGGGTTGGCTACCCCACTGCTTTAGAAATTACATGACCAAACTTGCGGGTTGGCTACCCCACTGTTTTAGAAATAACACGACCAAACTTGCGGGTTGGCTACTTCACTGCTTTAGTAAAAACACCACCAAACTTGCGGGTTAGCTACCCCACTGTATTAGAAATAACACTACCAAACTTCCGGCTGGCTACCTCACTGCTTTAGAAATAAGCTATAAATCATATGTGTGCATTTTTTGCTTGAGTACTAAGTAAAATTGGAATAATCCGTCATCAGAGATTTCCAATCAATTCCGATCTACTCGTGTACATAGCATTATTGACCAGCACCAGGCCATATTTACGACTGTCAGTATTTCCGTTATATGAATGGAATACTCTGCTGTTTATAATTCTTTTAAGGATACAAAAGGAAAAAAGGAACTCGATTTGTTAAAAGCAAAAGCAATGAAATATTTAAGAAATAAAAGATTTTTACTGTGTTCTCAAGGCTTATGCAAACCGAGGAGACCTTTGGGAGAACTCGAGAGCAGATCAGTGCAAGCCCTAAACCGAAGGTCGAGGGTTGCACATGCTCAAGACAATATTGTGAAACAGACAAATTCAAAGTAAACGTTTTAATTTTTCCTCTAAAATGTATTTATGATCGATTTGCAAATTTTCTTTGACAGATTGATTGTCATGATTGATTTGATTGGTTGAGCTCGGATGTGTTTTGCACAGGCTAATGCAAACACAGCTCTAGACCAATCTGCACACGCGTTTTCATTGTCTTTATTTTATATATAGATAGTTCTGGAAACGATCTTCATATTGAGATCAGTGATACAAGTCAAGCATTTGTATCAACCGGAAGTACGTTATTTGAAATTGCGCATGTTCACAAGTACGCCACATTGAGATAAAGGCGAACGTAAAAACAGCCTCGAGAGTTTGAATCTTTCAAACATTAAAAATAAAATTTTAACATCACATATGTTTTTTAAATGCGACAAACACGTACAATTGGGTAATTATTAGCAAAAACTGACTTCATAAATCATAATCTTAAACGCCTCTTTATCTCATCCGTACGTTGCAAATTAAAATCTTTTCAACTACGTACAAAGCTATCTCTTGTGCGACATAATGCATTATCTTTGGCAAAATTTAATTTAGTTGGTCGTCCGCGGTCCTGATATGTTCAACATACAATATCATGCAATGATTGAGAGCATTCCTTGATGATATAATCAAAAGTTATCGCATTATCATTTACTTCTAATCATTTTGATATAAGTACAAGCGCAGGTAGAGACTTATGTTCATACAAGGTTGGTGTTTTAGAAGAGTTCTGTGTTCGTGTGTGCGTTATAGACGTGTGTTTCCTGACGTGTTTGCACTTTTGTATAGCTGTCAGTTACAGGTCTGGTCAAGAGCTTTGACGAGTCATCTGCTACTGATTCCTATTGTAACCAGAGTTGGTTGGCCCTTTGAAGACTTAGAAAAAAGACGTCGGATTTATCTGTGTAACAATGAATCCTTCAATGTTTGGTGAGTCATGCTATTTACTATTGTAGTCTTGAAAGCATGTTGTGTTTATGCATTCGTGCTGGTCCAACTGAGAAACCAACTGTTCATCGTAATCGCCTTTTGCAAACAGCAAGCGCGCCTGCTGGGGAAGCAGAGTTTATTTTCGAAAAAAATGCCCACCAAAGATGCGCGCAATTCACTTTCATTGCGCCTTATTGTAATAATTAGCGCACATTTAACATCAGAGCGAGTAATTTATTCATCACTTCTCTTCCTCTCGAGCGTTGTGAATTGACGGGGTGAAAATGTAAATTACACGTCATTTGCATAATTCGCACGGTCGCGCAGAATATGCAAATAAGTTCTATTCTCTAGAATATAAACCTTAAAATCATAAAGAAAAAGTGCGAACAATCTTAAACCTGCTCTCGTCATTTATATGTCTGATTTTTGTCTTATTTGTGTTATGTCTCATTTTAAAGGACGCCGCGCCAGTTCTAGTTTTGAATTGTGTTTGTTTAAGACAATGAGTGTTTACCGATGCATAGTCGACAAGGATAAATTGCTTTCCAAGATGTTAACGAATTTTACATACAACCATGATCCTTGTTTGGCTAATTCCTTACCTAAATCACTAGTTAAAGTCACGAGTAGTTGGTTTTAAATTTGGATACCAAAGTCTTATTCCGATTTTGATAATCTTCATTATTCAACAACTTTTTGGTTGCTATTTGCTTTTGATTCGTCCGTCGTGAAAACGAAAAGGTTTTTCAAGTGATAATAGTTTTGTTTAGTCGGTTACGTTAACGGCCTGCGAAGGTTTTTTCAACTTAACAGTACTTATGTCAACGACAGCAATCAAGCAATATCTTGTCAACAGTCCATATTCCTTCTTTAAACATATCGTCGGCTTTACAGTGAGCACAATTCATTTATACTAGTCTGTAGGAAATGAATGGAATGAGCTGGGATAAGGTGCAGCTATGGTTTGAAATCTGAACCATCATAGCATTCTACTGTTTTTTTTATGGTATTTATAAACGATAAAAGTTAATTTGTGTGATGTATGTTTGCGTTGATTGCAAATGTGACTTTGAAATAGCCACAGAGAACAATTAAAGTTTTGAAGTTGTATAAAACATACAAAATCTATCATTGTTTGTTGGGGTAAATTAATCAAGAAAATTTGCAATGTTTTTCTGCATCTGAAATTCTCGTTATAATCATCAATTTCTTGAGTAAATTTGTATAAATATAATCAACGATAATAAAACGTATTCCTTAAAGACAGAACGTATAGAAAACGATTATTAGGATGAAAATCAAAGACACCGCTGAAAACATGTTTTTTTAATGATTCCCAATGTCAACCTAGCCCAACTGTAAACAATTATTTCAATCCCGTTTCAGACAAATTTATTAGGGCCTTTTTCGAAGCTCATTTTCATGCAAAATCTTGACTATTTGTTGGAAAATTGTCTTCGGGTGCAAATCTCTTTTCACCTTTTATATATTCTGTTTAAATTATTAATATAATCACGGTGATAGAAAGCTTCTAATTGTTCTTACAAATGTTCATAGCTTTATTGATAAAACATCTGTTTCTCCTATCCACATTCAAGATGCAGTACTTTATGTTATTTCATTAAAGAACGTGTCCAATAGCTCTTTATGTTCAAGTCTATGATAAATGACATTTAACTCGTTTTGCCTCTTGTTATTTTGTCGTATTTTATATACGGATGTTTGAATGAGGCAATAAAGGTGTTGATGAAACTATGTTTGGAGTCTATCAACAGGATGTCTTCGCACAGTCAGTCCCCTTCGCAACTCGTCCATTTTAGGCTGGCTATAGTGAACGAGAGTCGAGGATCGAGACTTCTTTATATTCATGTTATCCATCAACTTCATGTTATCCATCAACAAAAGTTTTGCAGGAAGCAGCAACGACAAAATACTCATTTTTCTCAGAATCCAGTTTTATTCAATACTTGCCAAGGTTAGAAAAACACTATTCATGACATAAGATTTATTCAACATAATTCCATTTACTTTATTTTTCCAAAATTATTGAACGCACATTATGCTAATATTTCAATTAAAGTAAACATACGAGCGCGAAAGCTAAATTCATTCACAGAGATAATGTCAGGCTTGCGTTTCTCGCTGGGCGCCATGAAACCCGAGCGCAATGCACCCAGCCGCTCCAACATCGGATGTGAATGTTTACAAAATGCTCTCGTTGAAGGTGCTGAAACAACGGCGCGGTAAATTTAATTAGGGCGGCTAATCGATGAGCGCTGTGATAAGCGAAATTCTTATGTTTAATGACATCTTCGAGACAAGAGCTTTCAGTAGAGCGTTTACCAGCTTGGTGCGAGGATAAAAGCGCGCAAAATGGCTGCACACAAAAGAGATGACAGCCAGATGAATATCATTCTTTCAACAAAAGCACACGCGTTTTCTGTCGCATCTCTTATATCGCCTGAAGATGAAGATGGCAACAATCTTCGGGATTTTGCGTATTCCACTTCAAATGCTGGTATGTATTTTATGGTATCTAAATTCATAGCGGTCTCTACTGATTGTTTGTCTATTATTGTAATAGATATTTTTTCATCGTTTTCCCAGCGCGAATTTGACGATGTGAACTTCCATCTTACTTCCGTCTTTGTTGTCAAATAATGTCTAAAAATCATGTAAAACTGCCAAGATTATTTGGATCCGAATTTGCTGAGAAAAAATTTTTCGTTATTTGAAACGGTCGTCGTGTCTATAAAAGAAATAATTCTTTGAATTCATTTTTAGTAACAAGGTTGCGTCGTTATTTTTTTCCACTTTTTGTTGAAAAGGATGGTTTCGATTCATTCATGTCACAAGTTACAATATGTTAAACTCATCTCATAGTGCCATATTGTTTCGAAAGAAGATATCCTATATTTGGAAGATTCTTTGGTTTTACACATAGTTGCTGTCTAATCACTTGCAATCTCTCCCATTTGACTCAGTGTTCGTATTACTAATATTTAAGAGCACTTTAGGTGTCTACAATACATGTAATCCAAACCGCTTTGTCCCTTGGCTACATATTTAGCTAGAGAGATATATGTGCTATATAATACTTCGAGATTTCCGGCATTAAATATACAACACGTAGTGTAAGTTACTGAGAACGATGATTTGTTTATCAGGTGCTAAAAGTTTTCTCAAGGGTTTGATATATTTAAGAGTGATTAATGACGGAGTATTAGTAAACGCGACAGTTTAGAAAGGTATGGATTTGATGTCACGTCGAGCATGGTTTCCCTGCAATGTTTCATATGCAAAAGGCATTTATACCATGAAAAATGTCTTCCTAAGAATTATCTCGCTTTTTAGATGTTCCTGATCTTGCTACGTCGGCTCTCGGCTCCATGCAAGCAATGCAAAACAGGATGCCATTGAGCGTCGAAAGATCGCTCGAAGATATAAAAGTCGAGTTACAGATGAAAGACCTTTGGCATCGATTTCACGAGCTTGGCACAGAAATGATCATCACAAAAGCTGGACGGTAAAATAATCTTATTGTTTTCGTTAAAGATTTATCATTTGTCAGGATGCTGACATTGCTACACTTTGACAAACAGGTTTAATTTGCTCTGATATCAAGTGTGAAATGTCAACAACAATTCCGAAACCATAGTCATTTTTCTCTCGGAAATATGCGGGGTATTTTCACACTAGACATCGCATTTTCATAGAAAAAATTCGTCTTGCTATTTGTTTCTTACAAGTTTGAATTATCTTCTTTTGGTGTCAAGTTGTTGAAAACTGTCTTTCTTCCGTAGTCCGTACAAAAAAGGTCATAATGTACTCATCTCAACTTTTATAGTCGCATGTTTCCTGCAATGCGAATAAAGATCGGGGGTATGGACCCGAAAGCGCAATATATTCTAATTTTGGACGTCGTTCCAGTGGATAGCAAGCGGTACAGGTACGCGTATCATAGTTCCAAATGGATGATCGCTGGTAACGCGGACGCTCCAATGCCCGGGCGAGTTTATATTCATCCAGATTCACCAGCTTCAGGCGAGGAATGGATGAGACAGGTTGTGTCCTTTGATAAAGTTAAACTCACTAACAATGAGTTGGATCAACAAGGACATGTAAGTTAAGTATTTCTGTTGCTTTTCTTTGTTTTCTTTGTTGGAGATACTCGTTTTCCTTAAGTAGCTATAGCTATAGGAGTCTTCTGAAACTTTAGTCATGGCAACTGATTGATTGTACATGAGAAATTAATGCTCCTTATAACTACATCAGTGGCGTAACTACTATGGGCTCAAGGTGGGCGAACCCATGCCCCCCCCTCTTGGTCTTAAGGGGCCACCGTCAGATTAGAAAATTTTTACTATGCAATAGGTTGAAACAAGAAAACTTGCACTGCATAAATGTACGTATAAAACATATAAATTTAAGGCTAAACAGTGAAATCATACTCGAAAACTAAAATGTTTTCAAGATAAAAGTACATTATCATTGATTCTTAGTAATGCTATGTAGATCAAGTGTATTATATTGCGGTGGTTATTACATTTTGATATGGTTATCGAAGGGGCCCCTTTGAATATTTTGCAACAGGTCCCCAGTTCTGCTGCTACACGACTGGTAACTATATCATAGTGAGGATGGTACATAAGAAATCAATGTACTTGAGCTCTTTATACTTATATCATAGTAAGGATGGTACATAAGGCATCAATGAACTTTTAATGTCGTAAAGACTATCTTTTATACTTGAATTTAAATTAGCTACTTATCTTGGATTTCTTTGTGCAAGCTTAATATTGCAATATGTTTCATCTGGATTGCTTCTATTTTCTCTAAAGATTATTCTTCACTCGATGCACAAATATCAACCACGAATTCATGTCATCAAAAAGAAAGAATCCTCATCGAGCAAGGCCGACGAAGCTTCGAGAGATCTCGAGTCAGATACGACTAATGCCGAGTCCAAGCAATTTGTCTTTCATGAAACGGAATTTATAACCGTTACCGCTTATCAAAATCAACAGGTATAGTAGACGTTTGTTGTTTTGTGGGTGGATAAGTATGAACGTTGGTGTGGGTGCATGAGAGGGAACCTGTGGATAAATGTGAACATCAGTGTGATTGAAGAGTGTACCTATATGTAGGCGAGTGGGTGGATAAGAGTGTACCTCTACGTGGTGGATAAATGCGTACCTTACGCTTTCAGGAACCGTGAGACACAATAAAATCTATCCACTTAATGAGCATTTACACTCGAAACAGTTACCACTTTAAGAAAATATCGTGATGAAAAAATCCTGTAAAGTGTAAACGCAGCAAAGCTGAAGGACTTAGAAAGATATTGTTTGTTTTTATATCTTATCACAGCTTTGCTAACTGATCATATGACGTTTGTTGACAGAAAATTTTGAAATTTGTCGGATGGCGCTCTTGAATTTAGTACAAACAAGCACTTGAAGACGTCAAAAGATTTTGTCCCGATCTAGGAAAGTGATGTGGACTAAATTAGTGCTTTGCGCATGACGCCTACCTACATTGATGCAATATACAGTTTCAAGAGGTGGAAAAATGTTATCTTTCGTTGTCATTTTTCATCTCTTAAAAAACTAGACGATATTTTTTTATCAATTTCTGCATACATTCTACAAGTATTCGGTGAAATTCCAGTGGTAAATACAATACCATAGCAAAACATTTTCTTTAAAAATCTCCTAATGAGTTCAACATGATATCCGCTGTGATTAAACTTTATCGATCAAAATCAATATAATATGCAAGTTGCCGACATATTTTCAAATATATTGGCAAATGGTTTTCTCTGTTCGCTTCTTTGAGTTTGTTGATAGACAAACAGAAAACGTCGTCGTTAATAAATAGGTGATAAATAGTCAACAAGAGTTTGCAAGTACAGCTCTTAAAATTTCATAACTAACTTAAACAAACCTAGGTAAATTGTGAATTCCTGTACAAAGACGTTGAATGGACGAAGAGATCAAAATATGCTTCTGCTCAAAATATCAGAGTTGTTCAGTAAAATTGTATTTCATTGTTTGTTTAGATAACTCGGCTCAAAATTGATCGAAATCCATTTGCGAAAGGTTTTCGCGACTCTGGGCGGATAAGGTAAAAATTGTAGCGTTACGCATGATCAGTTTCACGCGTTTTATTCTAATTAGCTAAATAATTGATTTACCGTAAAAGACAATGAAGCCGAGATATACCGTTTGCATATCTCTTAATTGAACAAACCGTCGATGATACTAATCTTTCTTCGCATATGGTTTTGAACAAACATTATCTTGAAACAAAAACGAAAATTAATTTCGTAATTTCATTTCGCCTTGATTACCAACGATTTTTTCATAACTCTATCTTATCATAGGGCTTGTGATTGCATTAAAATAACTGCACATCTTCCTTTGCATAATTGAAAACCGATGCTTGTGTTCTGATGATTTGTCAGATAAACGCTCGGGCATTTAACCATTTCCTTTCGTACATGCGAGCTATTCGAAGAATCTTTTTATTCAAAGTTGCTTTTTAAAGCACAACGAACGAGTTTGGGCAGATTTGTTTTGAAGTTTACTTTGATATAGAAACTGTGGCGTTTTTCGAAGGTTATCTAAATAATCTCGACCTTCTGTAAATGGATTACGTAGCATAGATGCAGCGTTTGAAAACAATGCTTGCTTTTAGATAAATAAAAAACACGTTGCTTTTACGGTATCCTGTTGCCAACGATGAGAAGAGTAAGATTCGTAAACAAGGTTTATTGAACAGTATTATTGCATAAAAACAGCTATTATGTAATGTTTTTTTTGGAATTTCTGTTGATGGAAGTTTTCTGTCATATTGCGCAATATTTATTTATTTTAACTTGTGACGTTGACAAGATATCTGAAGGGAACTGTTTGAAATGAGTTCAAAATACTTAAAACTGCTGAGTTGAAAATAATTAAAAATAAGAGTTCGAAATGTTGGTATCATGTGCCCTTCAACAAAAAGGGTAGTCCTAAAGTCAAAGTTTATGTTTGAAGTCAAAAACTAAATAATGTTAAAGTTTAACATTTTTAAAGGAAGGTGGGTCATCCCAAAGCTCTTTCATAATTGGAAGCAACTTACAAACTTTCGTTCTCGTCTAGGTCTTCTAAGTCGCAACAAATCTATAGCTAACTGATAATCAAACATGCCAAGAATTCTATGTGCAAAAAATGTGATTGTAATATGAATCTATTTATCTTAAATTGTATTTCATGAAGTCAATGCTGTTTCTAAATACTGAAAATTTTATCTTGGATATTATAGTATCTTTTAAAATCCATGGGGAACTGAGACTTCCAGTCAAATTATTGCAACATTTTTACAAAGGATCTCGTAAGCTCCCAAAGACCCTCAACCATTTACTTCTGCTTTCAAATCATCTACATATCTTCGCATATCAAGAATTTCTATAAAATAGAACAACGAGAAATAAGATTTTGTTGTTTTTTACTATTCGCTGTGCCCTTCAAAAGGAGCTGCAATATTATTGACATTTTTTTCGTCAAATTTTTAAAGCAGTTTAACTGTTAACAATAATTGTTTATCAAAACACACTGATAACAGAAATTATCAAGTCTGACCATATATATTCAGCACCATTTTTTCGACATTTGCGTAAAAAGACTTAGAGAAACTAATACTAAAAGAAATGAATAATAAATGATTCAGTCAAGGGAAAATATGAATTTCCACTGATGACCATTCCCTTTACAAGAACTCTCGCGTCCAAAGTTTGGATATACCATGCTACCCATATTACTTTGCATTCATTTCATTTTGATAATTTATTTTGTTCGATAGCTTCGGTGGTTTGGTAGGTAAAGAGAGGCACATTTGACAGGCACATTAGCCAAAAAAACATAATACGATGTTATTTAGTACGCAACAGCATACGAAGAACTATATGCATAGTAGATTGTTGAAATAAACTCTTTGCAATCAATTTACATTGGCTACAACCATTTAATTCAATAATTACAACATCCGAATGAAAATCAACATTTTGTTTATTCATGATTATTTTTCACTTAAGGGATGCAATGGACGAGTTAATGCAGGCTTACTCTTGCTGGCGACCACCAATAAGGCATCTTCCATTTCCCGATTACAACGCAAATGACTTTACCTATACACAAGATATGAGAACAGGTTAGATAATGTATCAAGTGTAATAAAATGCAATCAAGCGTAATCAAGATATGATTTTGTAAGATTCTGTTAAATTTATAATGTATAGAAAGGGGGGTCCATAAAACAAATGGCTAATTGTTAAAAGCGTAATTTGGAGTTGTTTATGGTTTTGTACATTATGCTTAAAATCATACCAATCGTATTACTCTTAAACGCTCAATAATGATTTGTAAAGTTGTTTACCATCTACGTAGGAATGCAACGCTACATTGCAATGATGTAACAGTTACTTGATATCTTGGGATCTGTAATCATTAAAAAAGTATTTAGAATGCATTTTTCCCCTTTAGGAGCAGAAGAACAATCTCAAATACAACCATTCAGCGGAAGTTTCACAACTGCACAATGTGTTTCGACAAACACTACCCCAGTCTCTTACCCTTCCTCCTCAATGGTGTACCCGGCGTCCAACTACCCCCCTGTTGCTTATAATGGCTTCGGTAGTGCATATGGAGGGTACCCACCTATGACGCATGCGCACATGCCAAATGTGCAGCACTCGCCTCATTACAACACATGTGCCTACCCAGCGCAGCATAACCAGCCTTCTAGATACCACGCCACCACAGTACCAGCTAACGTCCCCATGAACTATGGTTACCATGGAAACCAAGTGATGACCAACGACCCAACTAGTCAATCATCTTATGTACAATAATCATTACTAAAGAAGTGTTTTTGCTCATTGTTACCTTTATAAAACAGTCATGAAAACAGGGATTGTCAGGATCTACATATAGAATTAGCTAGGTCAAGTACATAAGGGGCTTTTTCTTTATATGCATAGCCGTTCAGAGGGGGTGGGGTGGGGTGGTGGTCTGTTTGCTTAGCACACGTAAGGACTTAGGGGTCCGTTATGAAGAAAGGAGCAAAGGAAAGAGAAACGAAAGCTTCAAAGTGTGACCATTGCACAAAGAGCCTGGATGTTTGATTGTAGCTCAGGCCTGTTAATTTCTCTGAAAAGCCCTGCCTTTATGAGTAAACTGTTTGTAATATAATTTTTCAAAATAGAATCACAATAGCCGGTAATTATTTAGAAATAGAGTTTTATAAAAAAGGCTGACGGATTTCAGATAACACAGCTTATGTCCTTTTCGCTGCTTTGCACATAAAACAGGGAATGTAAATATGCATTCTGCCAATATTTTGTAAAATTTTGAACTTATAATTAGTAATCTTTGAAATATTTCTTTAATTAGCTTACTAAAAAGTAAAATGAAAAGTTTACAAACTTGCCATGAACTCCATCGTTATGCTTTTCTGCCTGTACATTACAGAGAGGCCAAAGTTTTTTGTGGTGTGCTATTAAAGAAATTTGTAGAACGTGTAAAATGAGGAGAGGGGTCTTGGATGACTTGAATGGGCGCTGTCCTGAGGCTACGTGATTCCACAGCTTAGAGGCGTCTATTGGATTAGATTTAACGTTATTTTTTGATAACTCGTCATGTAAACTGTGACGTTTTTAAAGACCTTGAGAGCGCAAGAGTAACGAGGCATATGTAATTAATATAAAACAAGCGCCTCTTAATGATCTAGAGGAAGCTCTTCCTGAAATATATTGATTATTTATTTTATACCACTAAAGACTGAAATGATATCGTGTAATAATCGGATATAGTAAATAGTAACTGGGGTAAAATTCACTCCTTCGGCGTTCACTGCTGGTGGTCAGTCAAACATGGCGGACAAAGTTGATGTAGATGTTGAACAATTATCTTCTTGTTGCTATGTGTCTAGTGGAGAGCTGGACCATCTGCCTCTGCCTGACAATAGTTCATCAAGAAATCTGGAAACATCGGATAATTCTGAGAGAAGCGAGAACAGTGCTTCAGATGAGGAAGATAACGAAAACGTGCCTCGAGAAATTGTGTTGTCAGAGGAGTATGGCCGAACTCTTTCGAGCTCTAGAGGTTTAAAACCATGTAAGGAAAGGACAAAGTCTGCGAGAAGGAAAAAAGATAAAGTAAACTCCGAAAGAAAGATGGCAAGTGGAAGTTCATTAAAGAAAAGACGAAAAAGCGCCTCGGCGACGACTAACGAAAGGGCGCTTTCACGGTCAATTAAAGAAAGCGAAGTGGTGTTTGGTTTAATTGAAAACGGTGAAGAAGGAAGGGTTTTGAGGACACGAAACAGAAGTCAAACCGAAAGTTCATTAACACGAAACCCTAGTCAGAGAAAGTATCAGTGTTTAAGGTATCGTGAGGCGAGCATAAATACGAACAGTAATGGTATTTTTCTTGATACTAATAAAACATCGGTTTGTCAGTTGAAACGGGTTAAATTTTACGATACATTAAGCGTGTTGATAAACTTGGGGGCGGGTGGCAATGCCGATGGAGTGGATAACAGTGTTAAAGAAGTCAATGACTATGAAATAGCTGAATTGAAAGAAGCACTATGGCTTGAGTTACAGGCATGGAGGAATTCAACTACAATGCTCCAACAAGATGACTGGTTAATGAATGAAAGAAAAATAATTTCACAGATTTTGGACGATGTCATAAATTTTCACTTGGATGATGAAACATCAAAAGTAAAATTTGATGTTCAATCATCGGATTCTGAATCTGATTTTGAGTCTGATGGCGAAGCTTGCTGTACTTTACACCCAATCTTCAACATTATGGAAAATAGCATTTTATTGGGTGAAGATAGTTTTGCAGATGATTCGGCCATCAGCAGTAATTCGGACCTTAGCGAGACAACATTCAACTCTGAGGATTGTGAAGCCAGATTATCAAAATATGCACAAACTATCAGACATGCTGTGAAGGAAGTGACAACAATGTTAGACAGATTGTACGAAGTTGAACAACTTTATCCTTCAAGAGGTGCTCTCAGTAAGGATTTTGTATTGTATAATTCTGAGGAGTTTCAGACAAGTTGTGATACATTACTGTTGTGGTTAAACCAAGTGAAAGGATTATATCATAAACTTAATGTTATGGCAAGACTTGTTCAGGTTGATTTTGATGATGTCAAAGTGTGGAACGATTGGATATCTCTTGGGATTGGTAAGTACTTTAAGCTATGTAGAATGGGTTGTATCTTGTGATTAGTAGTAGAATATGCCTTGGGATTGGTTAGGATAGTAGGCTACATTGGGTGGTTTATGTCTTGTGATTAGTACTTAGATTTGTCTTTGGATTGGTTAGGATAGTAGGCTACATTGGGTGGTTTATGTCTTGTGATTAGTACTTAGATTTGTCTTTGGATTGGTTAGGATAGTAGGCTACATGGGTGGTTTATGTCTTGTGATTGGTACTTTGATATGTCCTGGGATTTGTTTCTATTTTAAGCTATCTAGGGTGGGTTTATATCATGCCTTGGGATTGGTAGGTATAGTACATATCTACATAGTCGGTTCAATTTGTCTCAGTGACAAACCAATCTTTTATTGCTCCAATGCAAATTTTTCAGCAAATATTATTATTCATTTCTTGCTAAATTAATTTCATTCATTGTTTGAAGACAAAAATATTTGCATTGTTTGAGTTAAAATGTGTTAGTTTCACTACTGATATGTCTTGGGGTTGGCAGTTAGAGTAAGCAATACTGTGGGGTTGGGTATTTCCTTAAGAGGTTTCTCATAACAATCTACAAATTACTCTGAAGACATAATCCTCTATTAGTTTATGGGGAAGGGCAATGGTGGCTGGACATTTTTGTTGATTTGAACACAACAATTTTAACCCTGACTTTAACACATAAAGAAATAGTTTCTCTTCATATGTGATTACTACAAGGAAGATTTGCTTTCATAAACTGGGAGACAAAAAATTTGAATAGTTGCTTGCTCATGACTCTTAAGGAAAAGCATACTTTCTTACTTATGACCTAAAAGCGTAGGGATGTTTTTTGAACATACGACTCCAGGAAGGAGAAAGATTTTGATTCATTTAAAGATCTTCCAGATTGTTGTTGTAATTACAAAAAATATTTGAAGTCATAAAGCGATTTGCAAACACATTGAAAACAGTTGTAAAATGATTTTAATTAAATGAAAATGAAGAAAAAAACCAGATTAAAACCATTCAAAGAAGGAGAAGAAGATGCCATCACACACTCATGAATCCAGAATGAGGGAGGACATTATTTCACATTCATGACTTGTGAAGGATGGGGTGGGAAAACTTCTTATACTCATGACTTTATAGGGGGGGGGATTTCTTACACTCATGATTTCATTAGGGAGTAAGGCTTTAAATGAGGAGAGTTGTTTTTCATGCTCATTGATTTTTCACATACTTCTCAAGCAGAGATGGTTTGTTTTTTCACACTTGCTTCTCCAGGAAGGGGGTTGATTTCTAACACTTGCTTTTCCAGGAGGGGCTGATTTCTCACGTTTACTTCACCAAGAGGGAGGGGGGTATTTCTCACACTTCTCTAGCAGAAGGGTTAATTCTCACCTTTACTTCTCCTGAAGAAGATCATGCCTCACACTTACTTATCCAGCAGGGAGGGGGGTAAATTCTCACACTTACTTTTCTAGGAGAGGAGAATTGTTTTCTTACCCATACTTATCCAGAAGGGGTTGAGTTGTTTTCTCACACTTCTTCACCAAGACAGGGGTTGGTTTCTAATACTTGCTTCTCCATGAGGGGGGTTGATTTCTAACACTTGCTACCCCAAGACGGGGGTTGATTTCTAACACTTGCTTCCCCAAGAGGGGGGTTGATTTCTAACACTTGCTTCTCATGGAGGGGGTCGATTTCTAACACTTGCTTACCCAAGAGGGGGGTTGATATCTAACACTTGCTTCTCCAGGAGGGGTTGATTTCTAACACTTGCTTCTCCAGGAGGGGTTTGATTTCTAACACTTGCTTCTCCAGGAAGGGGGTTGATTTCTAACACTTGCTTCTCCAGGAGGGGTTGATTTCTAGCACTTGCTTCTCCAGGAGGGAGGTTGATTTCTAACACTTGCTTCTCCAGGAGGGGTGTTGATTTCTAGCACTTGCTTCTCCATGAGGGGTTGATTTCTAGCACTTGCTTCTCCAGGAGGGAGGTTGATTTCTAACACTTGCTTCTCCAGGAGGGGTGTTGATTTCTAACACTTGCTTCCCCAGGAGGGGAGTGATTTCTAACATTTCTCCAGGAGAGAGGTTGATTCTAACATTTCTCCAGGAGGGAGGTTGATTTCTAACACTTGCTTCCCCAAGAGGGGGGTTGATTTGTAACACTTGCTTCTCCTGGAGGGGGTTGATTTGTAACACTTGCTTCTCCAGGAGGGGGATGATTGCTAACATTTCTCCAGGAGGCGTTGATTTCTAACACTTGCTTCTCCAGGAGGGGGGATGATTTCTATCATTTCTCTAGGAAGGAGGCTGTTTTCTCGTGAAGAAACTTGAATTGTAGTTTTTAAACTCATGATTCTAGACAGGGAACGTTATTTTGCTGTATCAAGGTTGCAGACATATTTCATCAAGTAAATATAGGAATTTCAATGAGAGATAACTTGTTTATATTTCAACAACTTCTAGATCTCAACTGCCAGAAGTTGTCCAACAACTGTCCAAATTGTCAAGACCTTAATACCTACGTTACGTTGGAAACATTTGAGCACACCGAATCCTTTAGACGTGGTTTGAGCTCAGAGAATACGAGTACGAGCAGATATCGACCATTTGTTGATCAGAATATCAAAAAGATGGGAGTGGCGAGTCTTGGACGCAAAATGCACATGATCGTTCATACTGAGCTGGCACGAGCGATGTTTATTTTAAAAGTTAAAGATATGCAAAACTCTCTTATGAAACATAAAAAATTGTATTTAATGTTCCAGGAAGTCCTCACCTTAAAGAATTTAAGATTGGACATTTCATCAAAGGAGGATGTTTTCGAGTTCAACCAGGATTTTGGCATTCCCAACGGGAATTGGATTAAGAGATTCGAGAAAATGGGTCTTCCATCTTTTGATGAATTGTATTTGTTCCTTGTTCGTCTTGTTATGGACATTTATCATGAATGTCTAAGAATGAGAATGGAACATCGTCCCAAAAGTGAACCATCATCTCTCAGTGTTAGACAGGTAAGAGATTGCATCGTGAACTGTCTGTGTTAGACTGGTAGGAGATTGTTAAAGAGAACCATCGTATCTTAGTGTTAGACAGGTAAGGGATTGCTATCGTGAACTGTCTGTGTTAGTCTGGTAGGAGATTGTTATACAGAACCATTATCTCTCAGTGTTAGACAGGTAAGGGATTGCTATCGTGAACTGTCTGCGTTAGACTGGTAGGAGATTGTTATACAGAACCATCATCTCTCGGTGTTTGACTGGTAAGAAATTGCTATCGTGAACTGTCTGTGTTAGACTGGTAGGAGATTGTTATAGAGAACCATTATCTCTTAGTGTTAGACAGGTAAGGGATTGCTATCGTGAACTGTCTGTGTTAGACTGGTAACAGATTGTTATACAGAACCATTATCTCTCAGTGTTAGACTGGTAAGAAATTGCTATCGTAAACTGTCTGTGTTAGACTGGTAACAGATTGTTATACAGAACCATTATCTCTCAGTGTTAGACAGGTAAGGAAGTGCTATCGTGAACTGTCTGTTTTAAACTGGTAGGAGATTGTTATAGAGAACCATTATCTCTTAGTGTTAGACAGGTAAGGGATTGCTATCGTGAACTGTCTGCGTTAGACTGGTAGGAGATTGTTATAGAGAACCATCATCTCTCAGCGTTAGACAGGTAAGGGATTGCTATCGTGAACTGTCTGTGTTAGACTGGTAGGAGATTGTTATAGAGAACCATTATCTCTCAGTGTTAGACAGGTAAGGGATTACTATCGTGAACTGTCTTTGTTAGACTGGTAGGAGATTGTTATACAGAACCATTATCTCTCAGTGTTAGACAGGTAAGGGATTACTATCGTGAACTTTCTGTGTTAGACTGGTAGGAGATTGTTATACAGAACCATTATCTCTCAGTGTTAGACAGATAAGGGATTGCTATCGTGAACTGTCTGTGTCAAACTGGTAGGAGATTGTTATAGAGAACCATTATCTCTTAGTGTTAGACAGGTAAGGGATTACTATCGTGAACTGTCTGTGTTAGACTGGTAGGAGATTGTTATAGAGAACCATCATCTCTCAGGGTTAGACAGGTAAGGGATTGCTATCGTGAACTGTCTGTGTTAGACTGGTAGGAGATTGTTATAGAGAACCATTATCTCTCAGTGTTAGACAGGTAAGGGATTACTATCGTGAACTGTCTGTGTTAGACTGGTAGGAGATTGTTATAGAGAACCATTATCTCTTAGTGTTAGACAGGTAAGGGATTGCTATCGTGAACTGTCTGTGTTAGACTGGTAGGAGATTGTTATAGAGAACCATTATCTCTTAGTGTTAGACAGGTAAGGGATTGCTATCGTGAACTGTCTGTGTTAGACTCGTAGGAGATTGTTATAGAGAACCATTATCTCTCAGTGTTAGACAGGTAAGGGATTACTATCGTGAACTGTCTTTGTTAGACTGGTAGGAGATTGTTATAGAGAACCATTATCTCTCAGTGTTAGACAGGTTAAAGGATTGTGCTAGCTAACTTTTACTTTCCTGCCGGGAAAAAGGCCGTTTTGCATTTCGAGAACTTAAAATATTGAATAGAATATTTATCTTATAGTGATGAATTCGAGCATGTTTCACGACTAATGTTCTATGTTTTAGTTACTGGAAGAATGCAAAGAAGTCTTACTGGCTGCTATACTTGTACGTCAGTATTTTCTTGATGCGTTAGAAGCACTGGGGCGAGAGTTGAGTAGTTGGCCAGAGTTTGAAGAAAGAGTTCTTGAGTTTGATCAGGATATTCAAAAAATGCTTGAGGTAGTGTTGCATATGAGGCATAAGTAACGCTGTTTTTGAGTCTTTTGGGTTATCACTGGGTATGCTGGGTAATCACTGTGTATGCTGGGTAATCTCTGGGTATGTTGGGTAATCTCTGTGTATGCTGGGTTATCACTGGGTATGTAGGGTTATCACTGAGTATGCTGGGTAATTACTGGGTATGCTGGGTAATCTTTGTGTATGCTGGGTTATCACTGGGTATGCTGGGTAATCTCTGTATGCTGGGTTATCACTGGGTATGCTGGGTTATCACGGTGTATGTTGGGTAATTACTGGATATGTTGGGTAATTACTGGGTATGTTGGGTAATTACTGGGTATGCTGGGTAATCACTGAGTATGCTGGGTAATCTCTGAGTATGCTGGGTAATCTCTAAGTATGCTGGGTATGCTGGGTAATCTCTGGGTATGCTGGGTAATCTCTGGGTATGCTGGGTAATCTCTGGGTATGCAGAGTAATCTCTGGGTATGCAGAGCAATCTCTGGGTATGCAGAGTAATCTCTGGGTATGCTGGGTAATCTCTGGGTATGCAGAGTAATCTCTGGGTATGCAGAGTAATCTCTGGGTATGCAGAGTAATCTCTGGGTATGCTGGGTTAATACTGGGTTACGTGTTGTTTTCAGGTTTATTTTGAATATCTTCAACTGTACATGCATATGTTACAACGTCTACCTGAAGCGTCGTCTGATGTTCGAAATATCCTTGAAGATGAATGGGAGTTTGTCAAAGACATTACGCCTTATATACGTGGTGGGGAGGTACAAGCAGGAAAGAAATTTTGGTAAGAAGCGACGAACTTCGTGATGTTGTTTGTCGTTAATTTTTGTGTTCTTTTCTAACCATTAGTTATTGACTTGAATGATAAAGTTTTATGATATAGTTTAAAGATAAATGGTACATATTTTTATGTTTATATTCATGTTGTTTGATCCGTTTTAATTTGTCATATTATGTTCAAAATGATCATCGCATTATTTATCATAGCGTAATGGCTTTGATTCGTTTTAATTTGTCATATTATGTTCGAAATGATCATCGCATTATTTATCATAGCGTAATGGCTTTGATTCGTTTTATTTTGTCATATTATGTTCAAAATGATCATCGCATTATTTATCATAGCGTAATGGCTTTGATTCGTTTTAATTTGTCATATTATGTTCGAAATGATCATCGCATTATTTATCATAGCGTAATGGCAAGAGGTCTTGTTGAGTCAACAGCCGACTTTCTAACCACCGGAATGGACGAATTTTCCACAATACATGATTTAGAAGACAACGAAAAACATTTGTACGTATGTTTGACTTTTTATCTCACTGACGATTGTTTAACTGTCTTTTCGATTGTTGTGGTTAATGAAAGTATGTAGCTCTTGCATAAAGCACTACTTTATGAGTCGCTCAGTAACATAGGATTAGGGAGCATTTAATGTAAGGTTGTGATGTGTGTTGGTTTGGGAGTAGTTTTTGCTATTTTGGCTTAAATTCCATGTAAATGTTAGTAATCTTATTTTGATTTTTAGTGTTGCATGTAGTCGGTGAGATTTGGATGATCTTATCGTTGATTTGCACCTAACATTCTCTTCAATCCTTCGTTATTAAGTTTCTGCTATAATCTTATCACCCTTAGCAATCCCTTCAATCCTTCGGTATTATGTTTTTTGCCGTTTTCTCATCGCCCTTAGCATCCCCTTCAGTCCTTTGTTATTAAGATTCAGGTATTGGGTTACCGTCCTGAACATTTTTTCCAATCTAACGGTATTAAGATTCTGGTATTTAATTACCGTCCTCAACATTCTCTTCAATCCTTCGGTATTAAGATTCAGGTACTGCGTCCCTCTCCCCTAGCATTGTCTTCAATCCTTCTATATTAAGTTTCTATTATTGCATGAAAACTTCGATCGACGAGAGAGGGACTTGACATTTTTGCGCATGTTCTTGTTTACGTTGAAAATCCTACCATTACCTCTAATCCAGTGTTTTCTTTTATCAATAGAGTAAAAATTCTTCAGTCTTGTCGTGATTTTAAAAAGTTATTCAAAGAAACCCGTGAACGAAGCACGAAGGCCGTGGGTCTTGTTAAAAGGTTACGCAGTGATCTTGGAGTTGCAGCTACGTTTGAAACTACGGTGCCATCTAAAGAACTTGTTGAAAAATTAAAAACATCTGAATATGTTCAGGTAAATTTTATATCAAGTTTGCTGTTTTCATGTCGCGAGGAAATCATAAAAATCTGTTCTTTGTTATTGGTGAACGTCGTTGATAATGTACAAAACTTTCAGGTCGGCTTTTACTCCTGTTTTTTAATCCAAAAACCTTTTGCTTTAAAGTGCGTACGTATATCGGGGTGAGGGAGATAACCTCTTTCGATGGTTAAATCGAAATTACGAACATTTACAATATCTTTTTAATGGACGAAAATTTCGTGGTTTCTGTGTCCTAGATGTATGTAGGTGACACTGCACTGGATGTGACGTAAGGCGACTACATACATTAAAGATATAGCTTTCATTATACTGAATAAAGCTGTTATAGGAAAACTGCATTAAAAATTTAAGATGCGTCATGTGTCCAGTTTGACGTCGTCGTTTGAGCTAACAATGAAAGAAAACCTTTGGAAAAGTCGAATTGCGTTTTCTCCTTTTACGTCATTTCCGGCGAGGGGTCACGTGCTTCTAAGTTCTTGGCTACAAAAGTTCTCTAAGATCAAATTTTTGACCTATTAAATATATTGCAAATGTTTTTAAAATCGATTTAATTATCTATAGAAGATATATTTCACTGACCCTGACATAGGCACTTTGAAACTGTTAAGCTTTTATCTTGATTTACCTCGTGTACCTCATCTTACTCTGTGTACATTATCTTCACCTTGTGTACCTTAATTTACTCTTACACTGTGTACATTATCTTCACCTTGTGTACCAAACCTTACTTAGTGTACCTTATCTCACCTCATGTACCTCATCTTACTGTCTTCTTTCTTTCAGGTTATCACCAAACTCGATATCTCCGTCAAGATGTTTGTTCGTGGCTGCATGAGACGCTCAAAAAGGTATTGTAAACTTGAAAGAACAAAAAAATGTTTGTGTGTTTTCATGAAAACTGTTGTGTGTTTTGTGAAACTCGTGCTTTCCTAAGACACAACTGTTCTTTTGGTTATGGTGGCTGTAGAAGAGTTTACCTTTTAGTGTTTCGACTTTATAGCGAAGCCATCATCAGAGATTAAGAATATAAATTCTCACAATGTTATATGCACATGAAAGGCATGTGGTATAGACGATATTTGAATATGCGCAGTGATTGGAGACGAGTTAAAGTTCTCATAAACTGCATGCGGTCGAGATATTCTCGTCACAATAGCATTCTTTTGTTGGCACCGTGCTTTAATTTTGTTACAAAGACATCTTCAGGGAGTATGAATTAGACACGGATATACACATATGAAAAATATGTGGCTGGCTTGGACGACTTCTGTGTTTTTAATTATTTCACATAAATTATAAATTCATTTGCATTGAATAATCCAACTTTACAGAATTCAAACACGGATATACACGTATTAAAAACATGTGGCTGGCTGGGACGACTTTTGTGTTTTTAATTATTCCATATAAATCATAAATTCATTTCCATTGAATATTCCAACTTCTACAGAAAATAATTTATTTTGTATGGCAATGCAAATATTGTTTATTTTTTCCGTAAACTTTTGCAGTTGCATCTTGGAGCTATTGAATGCTTGTTGTGGACTACAGAGTCAGTATAGCGAATGTGCCAAGGAAGCAAACAATTATATTGTTCTAGTATCTGAGAAACACGAATGTACGTGGACTGGTGAGACTCTTGACGTCACACCCGGTCTTGATGCTTCACTGGGATTGGTTGATATTCAGGTACATAAATGTTCTCTTACTTTTAGTGGACTTGCTTTTATTTTTAATCAACTTCCATTCGAGACAGGATGTAAATTATACACATACCATTACCATACCAAACAGGATGTAAATTATACAAATACCATCACCATACAAAACTTGGATGTAAATTATACACATACCATCACCATACAAAACTTGGATGTAAATTATACACATACCATCACCATACAAAACTGGATGTAAATTATACACATACCATCACCATACAAAACTTGGATGTAAATTATACACATACCATCACCATACAAAACTGGATGTAAATTATACACATACCATCACCATACAAAACTGGATGTAAATTATACACATACCATCACCATACAAAACAGGATGTAAATTATACACATACCATCACCATACCAAATTGGCTGTAAATTATACACATACCATCACCATACAATATTATACGCAAGCATATATTATACACAAAGTTATTTTACCATGTAAGAAATACCACAATCCAACGAACAATGTCATTTTAAATGCTTTGTTTTTCTAGGTTGAAGATCTAGCCATCGTTGCATGTACGTCACGCGCAGTAAGTGCTCATATCAACGCATTTCAAGGGGTTATGCGTGACGCTGTCATTTGTACATCGGGCTCAACATCTGTTCATCACGATCTTGTTGATATGAAGACTCAAATTTCGGTAAATAATTTATAAATTTGAATTTTCTTCATCAATGAAGTTTTGTTGTTTTTATTTCTAGAATCCTGGCCTCACAGCGATAAGTTTTTTAGCTTGCATTTCAATTACTGCTAAACTTGATACACTCTCTGCTATGCAGTTTTTATTTCAAGAATCCTGACCTCACGGCGATAAGTTTTTTAGCTTGCGTTTCAATTACTGCTAAACTTGATACACTCTCTGCGATGCAGTTTTTATTTCAAGAATCCTGGCCTCACAGCGATAAGTTTTTTTGCTTGCGTTTCAGTTACTGCTAAACTTGATACACTCTCTGCTATGCAGTTTTTATTTCAAGAATCCTGGCCTCGCAGCGATAAGTTTTTTAGCTTGCGTTTTAATTACTGCTAAACTTGATACACTCTCTGCTATGCATGAAATGTTTGTATCTGCGCTGGCAAAGATATACTTACATCATGTCAAGTTTTTTAACTTTCTCCCGCCACTCGTGAATCACGCGTGACATTAAGGGTTGCAGTTTGTTTCAGCCTGTTCGCAGGCTTGACATTTTCAATTGTAGTAGAAATATAACAAGGTAGTTAGCACATTTCACAACTGAGATTTAAATAAGTTCACAGAAGAAACAAAAGCAACGAATTTCACATTTACTATAAAATACTATAGCTATAGTTATTTGTACATCAACAGAACATACTGAACATCATAACGTGAGAAAAGATACATGTACACAATGCGTACGTATTTTTAAGATATGTTGTGATTGCAAAGTTTTGAATTTGAGTCACGAATTTCGGTCCCTCATAAAATATCAAAATGAAAAACATAACTACTGCCGTTCTTACATTTATAGAACTATAAGAAAAAGTTTGTACTAACTCATCCTTCGGTATCTTACGCTTATAGGAGAAGAAGGCGAATTTTTATATGTTGTTTTTCAATCTTGTTCCATGAAAAATTTATCTTTGTCGTCTTTCCAGGAGTCTTTGGTGAACCTACGAACTAAAATATGCGACGCATTGGATGGCGCAATGGAAATACTTGATGTAGGGAAAATGTACGAGATTGAAGAAAACGAACGTCGTAGATTAAACAGAAGTACCCTTGGAGCACTACAGTTTGCTTTTAACGCTGTCTTTGATGTATGTTTATGGATATTTTTTTTAATAATTGAGCAAATCTTACTCGGCGCGGTTATAATTTTGACGAAATATTAATATACAACCCGATTTAAGCTAAAAACTACTGTCAAACACATTTCGGGGTCTCAAGTCAAACCCACAAAAAGTTTGACATTTGAATAACATAACGGTACCAACAATGGAACCATTGAAATACAAACCAAACTTGACCAATGACTTAGAACCCAGTCCTCTAGACGAGTAACTGCCGTGACAAGGTGAGTCAAAGACGCCATCTTGAAATGCGGCAAAAAGCAAAACTCAAAATGAAAAATAAGTCAAAACAAAGTTTAAAAAACCCATCCTATCAAACATTTTAAGAATCAAACTTAGACTATCACCTTTGCAACTGTATATCAACTCAGGAAAAGCAGATATTAGTCGTAAATATTGTCAGTTTTGCCACCTTTCAAGATGGCGGCTTGCCTCATTACTATACAATTTCAGTGGAGTCAGGTATCTAGTAGACAGGGTTCTAGGACATTGAACTTGACTGACTAAGCCATATCTCATAAAACTGGAGCACCCCGTTCAAAATTCTCAAGGGTCCATCCCTAAAAATATCTTCGTCGTGTTTTTCATAAAATTTTACTGAAGATTATTTTTGTTATCAGTTTCATCGCGAGATTCGTCGTATTCCTGAGTCAGATGAGAAAGCCCTTTCCATTGTTGGAAAGTATCATCTGGAAGTTGCATGGAAATGGATGGAGTTCGTGTTAAATCATTGTAAGAAAGGAAAAGGTAGCAGACCACGTTGGGCAGCTCAAGGTTTGAAGTTTCTCATGGAGTCCTGCAACCCAGCCATCTCATGTCGTTTGTCTGAATCACAGTTTGAGGTAAACAACTTTATAATACTTGTATTGTACAATCAGCCATCTCCTGTTGTTTGTCTGAGTTACAGTTTAGGATAAACAACTTATAATATAAACGACAAGTTTTTTGAAAATAGACATGTTTCGACATCTCATGATGCCATCTTCAGTATGAGTGAAATAATATGTGATACAGTGTTTATTTAAAAGTAATATGATACATAAATTACAACAATAAAAAGGAAATAAGATAAATTAATGGGGAGCGTCCGAGCGTATTATAAACTAAATATTGTATTGAATTTAAAAACTTGAACATTAAGGTCAGGGTTAGTTTTGTTAATGTGGAGTGCTTCTTTGATTTTAAGGGTGAATGAGGTGTCGGCAGTGTCGATGATTTTGAAGCAAGAGGGTGAATAGTTGGTTTTACATGAGTGGGATTTAAGAAGGTGTCGGTAGATATGAGAGTTTTTGTCCGTTGTTGTATGTTCCCTGATTCTGGTGGATAAATAGCGCGAAGTTTCGCCATTGTATGGGGAATTACATCCCGCGCAATTTAATTCATATACCACCTTAGATTTAATTGAATCAGGGATTGGGTCTTTGAATGAAAAAAGGTTTTTGATTTTGAATGATGTGAAAATTAGTCGAATGTCAATATCTGTACAGAAGCGTTTCATAATGTTTGTAAGTCTGCGTTGTATGTGTCGTGAGTAATGTCCTATGTATGTTAGTTTGAAGTATAGAGTTGTTATTTTGGAATTTTCATTTGTGTTGGTTGTGATCGTCGTGTCAGGAGTTTCGGTGTCTAGTTTGAGGTTGTTGCTTGGTTTGTTGTCGAGATATCGTTTTACAGTTCTGTTAATAAAGTGAAGTGGGAAAGTGTTTCGTAAAAGAGTGGATGTGATGTTTTTTATGTCTCGTTGAAAGCCATTGTTCGTATTGTTAACTTTGTATGCTCTGTCGATTAGTGTGCGTATAAGTCCGGTTTTGTATGAAAGTGGTGTGAAACTAAAATAGTTCGTCAGAAGTCCTGTGTATGTTGGTTTGTGGTATGTAGATGTTGTACAGCTGTCATGAGATTTTGTTAGTAAGTGTCAAGAAATGGTAGTTGATCTTGTTGTTCAGTTTCAAATGAAAATCTAATGTTTGCGTGCTGTGTGTTAATGTAATTATAAAACTTCATGGCCTCAGTTTCGTTAGTAAAAACACAAAAAATATCGTCAACGTATCTGAGCCCATGAAAATGTTAGCAAGTATGGGTGCTAAGGGAGAGCCCATCGCAACACCGTCCGTCTGGTCATGTGGTATGTTAGTAAATAGGCTTTCAACGCCGTAGGAGATGAACAATTTGTGACAAGAAGTTGATGAGTTGAAAGAGGAGAAGTCGTCGAGGAAAGAGAAGGGATCTTTAGTGGAGTGGTCATCTGGTATGAGTGGTGTTAGTAGAGAACTAAGATACTTAGCTAAATTATAATTGTACGAGTTAATTGATGAAACTATCGGTCGTAGTGGAGGCGATTGTTCTGGTTCTCGTTTCTTGTGAAGTTTCGGTAAGCCATAGAAGCGTGAGGGTTGAGAACCTCTGGGGAAGATATCATTATATAATTTGTTGTTAATCAAGTCTTTCTTTAGAAGCTTCCTTAACAGTCGTTGTAGTTTGGCTTCACGTGATAGTGTGACGTCTTCTTTGAGTGGGGTAAATTTTGCTGTATTGTTAATGATTTTAAGGCAGGAGTTACGATACATTTGACGATCCATGATTACAACGCCGTTGCCTTTGTCCTTTGATCTATCATCACACCAATTAAAAGACGAAGAACTAGAACTCCTGAAAAATGTCCTTGGGTTCAGTATTAAACCACTACGACTCAACTCAACCGACATTCTGGCAACATTCGAAAAAATCCACTAAACTATAAAACACAACATTCGCAATCAAGAAGACTACACGCATCTCAAAACAGAGCTGGCACACATCGCTCACTCGTACATCTCATCTTATCACCCGACACCAGCTGACTTCAAAAAACATCACATTCTTAAAAACATTCGCAACAGTCCAAACATTATCATTCTCAAACCGGACAAAGGCAACGGCGTTGTAATCATGGATCGCCAAATGTACCGTAACTCCTGCCTTAAAATCATTAACAATACAGCAAAGTTTACCCCACTCAAAGAAGACGTCACACTACCACGTGAAGGCAAACTGCAACGACTGTTAAGGAAGCTTCTAAAGAAAGACTTGATTAACAACAAATTTTATAATGATATCTTCCACAGAGGTTCTCAACCCTCACGCTTCTATGGCTTACCGAAACTTCACAAGAAACGAGAACCAGAACAATCGCCTCCACTACGACCGATAGTTTCATCAATTAACTCGTACAATTATAATTTAGCTAAGTATCTTAGTTCTCTATTAACACCACTCATACCAGATGACCACTCCACTAAAGATTCCTTCACTTTCCTCGACGACTTCTCCTCTTTCAACTCATCAACTTCTTGTCACAAATCGTTCATCTCCTACGGCGTTGAAAGCCTATTTACTAACATACCACATGACCAGACGGACGGTGTTGCGATGGGCTCTCCCTTAGCACCCATACTTGCTAACATTTTCATGAACGAAACTGGCTAAACAACTACAACGACACTAAACCACTATTTTACCGCAGATACGTTGACGATATTTTTTGTGTTTTTACTAACGAAACTGAGGCCATGAAGTTTTATAATTACATTAACACACAGCACGCAAACATTAGATTTTCATTTGAAACTGAACAACAAGATCAACTGCCATTTCTTGACATTTTATTAACAAAATCCCATGACAGCTGTACAACATCTACTTACCACAAACCAACATACACAGGACTTCTGACGAACTATTTTAGTTTCATACCACTTTCATACAAAACCGGACTTATACGCACACTAATCGACAGAGCATACAAACTTAACAATACGAACAATGGCTTTCAACGAGAAATAAAAAACATCACATCCACTCTTTTACGAAACTCTTTCCCACTTCACTTTATTAAAAGAACAGTAAAACGATATCTCGACAACAAAGAAAGCAACAACCTCAAACTAGACACCGAAACTCCTGACACGACGATCACGACCAACACAAATGAATATTCCAAAATAACAACTCTATATTTCAAACTACCATACATCGGACATTACTCGCGACACACACAACGCAGACTTACAAACATTATGAAACGCTTCTGTACAGATATTGACATTCGACTAATTTTCACATCATTCAAAATCGAAAACCTTTTCTCATTCAAAGACCCAATCCCTGATTCAATTAAATCTATGGTGGTATATGAATTCAATTTCGCGGGATGTAAGTCCCGATACATTGGCGAAACTTTGCGCCATTTATCCACCAGAATCAGGGAACATCTCTCATATCTACCGACACCTTCTCAAATCTCACTAATGCAAAACAAACTGTTCACCCTCTTGCTTCAAAATCATCGACACTGCCGACACCTCATTCACCTTTAAAATCAAAGAAGCACTCCACATTAACAAAACTAACCCTGACCTCAATGTTCAAGTTTTTAAATTCAATACAATATTTAGTTTATAATACGCTCGGACGCTCCCCATTATATTATCTTATTTCCTTTTTATTGTTTTATTTTATGTATCATATTACTTTTATATAAACCTTGTATCACTTATTATTTCACTCATACTGAAGATGGCATCATGAGATGTCGAAACATGTCTATTTTCAAAAAACTTGTCGTTTATATTAAATGCGCATTAGCAATAGTGCTTTTACGAAATTATATAAACAACTTTATAATACTTCATCCATCTCCGTTTGTGGTCATGGTACATTGATAAACACTGTTACTGTGGTACAAACTTGGATAAGATTTAGAACAACGGAGTACAATCATTGATAAACACTGTTACTGTGGTACAAACTTGGATAAAATTTAGAACAACGGAGTACAATCATTGATAAACACTGTTACTGTGCTACAAACTTGGATAACATTTAGAACAATGGAGTACGATCATTGATAAACACTGTTACTGTGGTACAAACTTGGATAACATTTAGAACAACGGAGTACGATCATTGATAAACACTGTTACTGTGATACAAACTTGGATAAGATGTAGAACAACGGAGTACAATCATTGATAAACACAATTACTGTGCTACAAACTTGGATAACATTTACAACAACGGAGTACAATCATTGATAAACACTGTTACTGTTGTACAAACTTGAATAAGATTTAGAACAACGGAGTACAATCATTGATAAACACAATTACTGTGATACAAACTTGGATAACATTTAGAACAATGGAGTACAATCATTGATAAACACTGTTACTGTGGTACAAACTTGGATAAGATTTAGAACAACGGAGTACAATCATTGATAAACACTGTTACTGTGATAAAAACTTGGATAACATTTAGAACAACGGAGTACAATCATTGATAAAAGCTTGTTCTTGACAATAAAATACTTTGCGTTTTAGAAACTTCAGTGTGAGATCAACAAATGTGTTGATCATGTGATCGGAAGTCAAGACAATCCACACACATTGAGTGGCTCGGTGAGCTGCAACCAAATGTCTCCAAACACACGATTTGCGCGTTCCTCTACTTACCCTGGTACCCACTCGCATATCCACCCTTCAAGAACGATATCTGAACCAGGTCGTCAGAATGTAAAACGCTCAGTTACGACCGGTAAGTTTTCATCGTATTGTCATGATGTAGTTGAACCGTTTTGTGTTAATGACACCCCTCAGAAATAAGGACTAAGATATGACACACCCCAGACATAATGTGTGACACCTTCCCGCTGAAAGTAAGGAGAAAGGTGTGACTCCCCCTAGAAATAATACGTTGACCGAGGTCTGAATGATTGTTGATATCATGCGACAGTCGAATTCAATAATTGTTTTATTGTACAAGTATAAATGCAGAAGCTTTAAAACTATTTCTGCAAACAGTATTGTACTTTTTAGCCAATCATAAACCTACTTTCTAAACACTATTGTACTTCCTAGCCAACCATGAACGAACTTTGTAGAAAGCATTGTACATTCAAGCCAATCATAAACTTATTTTCTAAACACTATTGTACTTCCTAGCCAACCATGAACGAACTTTGTAGAAAGTATTGTACATTCAAGCCAATCATAAACCTATTTTCTAAACACTATTGTACTTCCTAGCCAACCATGAACGAACTTTGTAGAAAGTATTGTACATTCAAGCCAATCATAAACCTACTCTCTAAACACTATTGTACTTCCTAGCCAACCATGAACGAACTTTGTAGAAAGCATTGTACATTCAAGCCAATCATAAACCTATTTTCTAAACACTATTGTACTTCCTAGCGAATCCTAAACCCTGATCATATAAAGGTAGCTACCAGTGTAGTTGATCCTGAGTCAAACACGATCTTTTCTATCTTAGTAAACGAAGCTGTGAATGAGGATGAAGTTGTACCCAGTAGAATATCGAAAGTACGTAAGAGTATAGCTGATCTTGAGCGTAAACGACATATCAGCTTACTGGAGAAACATGTGATAGGGAAAGTTAGTAACAAGAAACGGGATCTTGCTGGTGAACTTGCTGTTATACCCAAACGAGTACCTTTCAAATGGCAGCGTGGAAACAAAATAGGTATGGAGAATAATGTTCATTTATGCAGTATTATTTTTGAAATCTTCTGTATACTTGTGTTTGTTGTTGTGCGGAAACTATGATAATTTACACGTAATAGCTGTAAATATATCGTTCATTTCGCAATAAATTTTTCTCGCCCCAATCCCTCCACATGCACACAATCATATTATTCTCACCCCAATCCCCCTACATGCACACAACTCATTTATCGAATTACCATTCATTTTCGTTATTCAAACGGTGGTCAAATAGAAATACAAAGATTGTTGGAATAAAAAATGCTTTCTAAATTTTTTTGCTCAACTCAAAGTATTGGACTTGTTCATTTTTTTGGCTTGAAAAGCTAATACTCCCCCTGTCTTCTACGCCTTTCATTTAATTTTATTAAACTTATTTGTGGAATTTTGTTTCCATCCCAAAGCTATCTGTACACGACTCGGTCTTCTTGTAACTTTCCGAGTTGTCAATGTTCCATTGGCTTTGTTATACTCTTGGTATCCCCCCGAGTCTTGTATATCCGTAGGCATTCCCGCTCTTCGCCTTCCCTTCCCCCCTTTGCATCCTCACTCATTTTCTTGGTTTTTCTTCTTTGTGGTTTTCTTCTCCTTTGAGTTACTCTACTACTACCATTGAACTAAAATACATGGAACGCCACCTGAAGCAAATAACTGAAGCCAAATCTTACATCAGACACGCGAGATTTTACCCAAGACACGCGTGTGTAGTGTTTCGAGATTCTCTCGCGGAGTGAAAATCGGTTGACTACACACGCGTGTCTGGGGTAAAATCACGGCTTCAAAAAATCATTAGGGTTTTGTATTACAGGTAGCGTTCCATATATTTTAGTTCAATGACTACTATTCTCTTCCTACCTGTATTCCTTGCCTTGTTCATTTCACCCGCGCTTATCTTAAATCCTTCGCCTTTCATTTCACCTGTGACAATACTCTCAATGAAGATGGAAACTCCATCTTATGTTTGATTGTATGTCCACATTTGAACATCTTTCTAGGTGAAGGACAGTTTGGTAAAGTTTATTCATGTGTGAATTTGGACACGGAAGAAGTGGTTGCAATGAAACAGGTTTGTTTTCGTCTCGATGAAGACAGTTTAGCGTTTTATAGTTTCCAAAAATGTGTTTCAGCGATTTTTTCCGCCTTGCTGATTTCCATAAAAAAAAGAACCATGACATTTCAACTATCCTTGAACATTTTGATTAGAAAATATTACCATTTTATTTTCCACACTGAACTATTTTATACTTTACCTCTTTCCGCCTTAAGCGTGTATCATTAACTTGATGACTGTTAAGTCCGAGTAAAGATATGGTTGTGTTTTACAGCTAGGAGGACAGAGTTACTAATGTTGGTTGTGTTTTACAGCTAGGAGGACAGAGTTACTAATGTTGGTTGTGTTTTACAGCTAGGAGGACAGAGTTACTAATGTTGGTTGTGTTTTACAGCTAGGAGGACAGAGTTACTAATGTTGGTTGTGTTTTACAGCTAGGAGGACAGAGTTATTAATGTTGGTTGTGTTTTACAGCTAGGAGGACAGAGTTATTAATGTTGGTTGTGTTTTACAGCTAGGAGGACAGAGTTACTAATGTTGGTTGTGTTTTACAGCTAGGAGGACAGAGTTACTAATGTTGGTTGTGTTTTACAGCTAGGAGGACAGAGTTACTAATGTTGGTTGTGTTTTACAGCTAGGAGGACAGAGTTACTAATGTTGGTTGTGTTTTACAGCTAGGAGGACAGAGTTACTAATGTTGGTTGTGTTTTACAGCTAGGAGGACAGAGTTACTAATGTTGGTTGTGTTTTACAGCTAAGACGACAGAGTTACTAATGTTGGTTGTGTTTTACAGCTAGGAGGACAGAGTTACTAATGTTGGTTGTGTTTTACAGCTAGGAGGACAGAGTTACTAATGTTGGTTGTGTTTTACAGCTAGGAGGACAGAGTTACTAATGTTGGTTGTGTTTTACAGCTAAGACGACAGAGTTACTAATGTTGGTTGTGTTTTACAGCTAGGAGGACAGAGTTACTAATGTTAGTTGTGTTTTACAGCTAAGACGACAGAGTTACTAATGTTGGTTGTGTTTTACAGCTAGGAGGACAGAGTTACTAATGTTAGTTGTGTTTTACAGCTAGGAGGACAGAGTTACTAATGTTGGTTGTGTTTTACAGCTAAGAGGACAGAGTTACTAATGTTGGTTGTGTTTTACAGCTAGGAGGACAGAGTTACTAATGATGGTTTTTTTTTTCCTTAAATTATAGATAACATTTCATCCTAACGATCACAGCGCCTTCACAAACTTGGCTGATGAAATAAAAGCTTTTGAAGGTCTAACACACGACAGTCTTGTAAAATATTACGGATGTGAAGTTCATCGGGTCAGTTACTGTACATCATTTGATGATTGTTTTATAGAGTTTTTTATTTTGTATTAATGTTAAAGAATCCCTCGGAGATAGTGACCTAACCAGTCCGCCATTTTATTCGTGCTGTGTAACAAACATGATGGTTCACAACAATATTTAATAGATATAGTAGCTCTAGATTGCTGACGAGCGGCCATATTGCGTGACAGTCATGATAAATCCAAGATGGCGTGGGAAAGGGGCAAAAAACACAGAGTTACTATAGGGCAATTGATGTTTTTCGCAATTTACTTCTTCGTTTATTTTGGTGGACAAACGCCTCGAGACAACCAAAACGACCAATTTACAAAACACATCGCAAGCGATGTTTGTCGCCCGTATTTCAATAATAATTGTCCAATATGGCTTCAAAACATTATTGATAACGCTTTCTTTCAAATAAAACTTGATTGAAGGAGTTTGAAAACACTGAAACGAAGTAAACTGCGAAAAACAACACTTGCCTAATAGTAGTCCTAAGTTTTTTGCCCGGTTCCCGCGCCATCTTGGATTTATCATGAATGTCACGCTGCCGTCTTAATAAGTCTTATATTAAGTCACATTCGTCAGCAATCTAGTTCTATTATATATATGGTGTGTCATCACTATTTTTATCTTTGATATTTTTATGTCAGGTAGCCAAATAGTTTCTTTTAGTTTTGTAAAGTAGCAGAAAACTTTCATAAATCATAGAATACAGTCTTTGTCGTGGTGACAAATCTAAAAATTAAAGTTTTAAAGATAGCGAATGCCGTGGTAAATAACCAAAATAAACTTATAGTTCTGAAAAGAACTGTTTACAACCACAACACAAACCAGATAGATTTTAAAATCTTTCTTTGGCAGACGTTGACGTCTGTGGAGTAGTCTGTCGAAATGCATCGCGTCTTTTAGCTCTGAAACAGAACTATTAGGTTATTTTGGCTATTCACCATGGCATTCGCCATCTTCATAAATCACTTTATCAATTTAAATAACTTTACCATTATGGTAACTATTCCATGTAATTTCCTGTTACTTCAGACGCATAATAATATTAATAATGTACAAACCATAAAAACAAACAAAACAAAACGACAACTGTTTGATAAACTATAGTAGAGCGTTTTCACATGACGTCATAGCCGCCATGTTAATATACCAATTGAAAAGAATTTCAATAGATTTCTTTTTTTTGAAACCCTAATATGGCTGCTTCGTCCATTTTCACATTGATCTCTACGGAATGATTAAAAAACGCTCTGTATGTCATTATACAACTTGCAATCACGATCAAAAACTTGCTCACTTCTCTTTAACATAAAATTGATTTTATTTTTTTCTTTACAATCTGAAGGATGTCATGTATATATTTATGGAATACTGTGGTGATGGTACCATTTCTGATGTATCCCGTCTTGGGTTACCTGAGCCAATGATACGCAAGTACGCCGACCAGATAATGATAGCTGTAGAGTTTCTTCACGATAGAGGCATTGTACATCGAGATATTAAAGGTTTGTGGTTTCTTTAATAAACTTAATGATTCACTAGTCGAGTTCTAGCAACGATAGAGGCATTGCACATCGAGATGTCAAAGGTTTGTGGTCACTTTAATAACTATAATGATGCACTAGTTGAGTTGTAGCAACAGATTAGTCATTGAAAAACTAATCAATGAAGGTTTTAGTGGATATCTTTAAACTACGCAGAAGCGTAGTTAGCGTCGATAATCGTGGGGCAATATTTATAGAAAATGTTCACTGTGTTTTCACAGACTTATGCAAACCGAGGAGAACTTTGGGAGAACTTGAGAGCAGATCAGTGCAAGCCCGAGACCAAAGGTCGAGAGTTGCTCATGCTCGAAAGTTCTCACAAACGTCTCCGAGGTTTTCATAAGCCAGTGCAAACACGAAAACATCTTTTATTTCTTTTTTGTAAAAGAAAAATAATAAAACGCTTGCGCTGATTGGTCTATAGCTGTGTTGGCATTAACCTGTGCAAACCGATATGAGCTCAACCAATCAAATCAATCAATCAACCAAAAAGAAATTGCAAATCAATCATGAATACATTTTATAAGAAAAATTAAAAGTTTGTTTGAAAATTATCTGTTTCGCACTATAGTTATTTTATAAAAGAAATGAAAGGTGTTTACAGTGTTTGCACTGACTTTTGTGAGAACTCTCGAGCAGGTGCAACCCTCGACAATTGATCTCGGGCTTGCACTGATCTGCTCTCGAGTTCTCTCGAAGGTCTCCTCGGTTTGCATAAGCCTGTGCAAATACAGTAAACATCTTTTATATCTTAAATATAAATAAAGTTTCATTAAACATGTTGTTAACATTGAGCTAAATATATAACTAGAAAACTACCTTTATATAAACATGTCTGTTCTTGCGTGAAGCCAGATTTTACCCTAAGACCACGCGTGTTTAGAGGTCAAATCACGCATTCTAGATTATCGTCGTAAATGAACTTTCTTTTGGCCGTGCGTGGAAAGATCGGGACTAGTTCAATAATAAATTTCTGACTTCAAATTTTAGCAGAAGTTAGACGTGACAGAAAAGTCATAAGGGATTTTAAAACAGGGACTTATCTTCGATGATCTGAGTATAAAACATGACATCACGATAACAACAGTGTACTGTCACGATTTTAATTGATAACATCTTTCTACTATTGCATATGTAATTTGAAGTCGTATAAACTTGTTAATAAGATATGAAAAATAAATAAAAACTACGAAGCTACTTGCCTTCGATAAGAAATATGAATAATAACAAAAACAGGTAGAAAATGTATAAAAAAGATAAATAAATTTATTCTCAAAGTTAATTGATATAAAAATCCGTTGTAAGTTCATTATAATATATATTTAATGTAATGTATAATATATGAATACAAATATTTTTTCGTGACAGAAGATGTTTTTATAATGCGCTAAAATATGACTAATGTTTTTATGTTAATGTTTTTCTAAGTTACTAATATTTTGCTAATTTTAAATGTGAAAAACACTTATAACGCGGCGATGTAGCTGTTGTTCAAAAATAACGTTTGTAAAGAGTTGCCAATTGACTTTGTATAACCATTAAATAACATTTTTCTTTTGAAATATACCTGCGATCTGTATATTTTTAAAGCTTAACCATTTTCTTAAATACTGACTCGAACCTTGATATTTGTAATATTTTGATAAAACACAGCTGTCTTTAGACGGTCTTTTTGTCATTCAATATGTGTTCAAGGCATTAGTCATTGTAATTACTATAGTAATTAAAAAAACCATTGCTCGGGACTGTTGATCACGTATTTATAAAGGATCGTTTTAGCATTTAGTTTAATGTTCAGACATTTAAGATCAAGTACAGTTGTTGACCGCAGAAAACAATTTTGTAAACTATGAATTCAACGGTGGAATTTCCTTCACAAACTTTCTTGGTATTTCTACTAACGGTTAACTCGTTGTGTGTGATTATTGGAGTTACAGGAAACATTTTGGTGATATTGCACAATGTTCGTTGGAATAAAGATAAAAATACGACCAGTTATTTTGTTATAAATTTGGCTGTTTCAGATCTTGTCGTTTGTGGGTTAACTTGTCCGACATATATCGTAGAGAAGACACGTATTTTGATGGGAAAAGTGGTGGACATGATCTTTCATGTCAATTAAACATTTCCATTTTGTGCGCAAGTATATCGCTTTCTATAGTGAATCTCATGATGCTCACAATTGATCGTTACATTTGTATTGCATTACCCCTAAAGTATCCTCACATTGTCACCAAAAGAAAGGTGTCTATGGCTTTGGCTTCAGTATGGATCACTGGCTTTCTTTATTACATTATGATATTTCTCTCCGCAAGAGCTACCGACGTGCTATTGTTATGTGAGATGAACAGAATAGCTGGTTCATTTGGTACTTTTTTCTTTTTCTTTGTTCCACTTGGTGTTACGATCGTTTTCAATGTGAAAACTGTACAAATTGCTCGAATTCAAGGTCGAAAAATAGCTGCACAAGCTTCATCGCTACAAACAAGTGATTCAAAGGCTGCAGATGATTTGAACTCAAGAAAAAACTTTTCGCGACAAATGAAGCTCTTCAAAACCATCCGTGTCGTTTTTGGTTGTTTTTTATTCTGTGCATCACCATTTCCTGTGATAAGTTTCATCGAGAATATCATTTGCAATCGTGGCTGTATTCCTGTGCATGCTGTATTTGCTTCAACGATTTTAGCAGGCTTCAATTCAATTGTAAACCCTTTTATATATGGAATACGAGACAAGGAATACAGAAGATCTTTCATGCAAATGCTTGTGCGATGCTGCAATTAGTTTAGGTAATTGAAACTTAAAAACTTCGAACTTTAAAGATTCTACGTTGAACTCCCATGTGTTAATTATTGTTTGGAAAATCACGATTTTCAACGAATTTTTCATCATGAGTGTTCAGAAACTATTGGTACAGTATTTTAAGGCGGAATATGAATCATTTATAGTTTGACTTATCACAGTCTTACCATTAATAAAAATACACTAAGTTTAAACTGAAAGCAAAGTAAAAATATGTGTTTGCCATAGTAAAGTAACGACTGATACAGCAGCTCGCCTATTTAATTCCGCTACGTAAATAAATTTCAGTGTTCACTCATTGTACAAAAAACAGATTTAAAACTATTCTCATATAAAAAGAATGATGGATATAGGGTTGATTAAAGTAAATTATACAAGCTCATTTTAAACTTAAAAGCTTTTGTAACTTACGCTGTTTTTCAGAAATTTCTAAAGAATGTTTAAAACTAATTTAAAATAGTCCGTATGTGATATGAAACTTACTCTGAATAGAAGACTCACGTTTATTGTCGATTTCAATAACTTTTCAAATGGCGGTTGCCAAGTTACTTTCTAATGTTGCCAATATGGAATATTCGATATGAACTTGTCAACTTGAGTTGACAAGTTGTGTACTTGAGTACTGAAGTTGTGTACTTGAGTATTGAAGTTGTGAACTAAAGTTGCGAAGTACTGGCAAACGCGAAAGGTCTTTGTACCCTGTAGACATTTGGCAATGAACCGTTCAGTAAGCAAAGAAAAGCTTCACCAATAGAAGTAAGAAATGAAATACTTGAAAGGTGGTTAAATAACGAGCGTTTGACAAACATTTCGAAACAACTAAATCCTCCGTATAAGACTATATCAAATATAATAGATCTATGGGTAGACACTGGTTCTATTGCACCTCGCCAGAGCGAACGTGATGTTCGAACCACGCGTACAGATGACGTTATTGCATACACTGAATATCTAAAAATTAATAAACCATCTATTTACGCAGAAGAGATTCAGCAACACCTAGAAAATAACAAAGTTTGCTTTCCAGCAAACATACCTAGCAGGTCATCCATTAGTAGAATTTTGAATAAAGATCTTGGTTACTCTTACAAGATAATAAGTCAAATTCCTCGAGAGACAGAACGGCCGGACGTTATGGAGAAGTTAGAAGCTTACGTAGCAAATATTTCATTGATTGATTGCAACCGTATGCATTTCTTTGATGAGTCGTCTGTAGTTGTTACGAGTGGCAACTGACGTCGAGGGCACAGTATGCAGGGTACTCCTGCATTTAAAATCCAACCATACTCTTCTAGTGCCACATTTACTGTAAATTTTTTACATAATGTAAACGGCGTATCGCATTATAACACTCTTAGAGGGCCGTCAAACAGATTAGAATTGCTAAAGCTTTTCCTTGCTCACTATACGGATCATTGCCAAATGTCTACAGGGTACAAAGACCTTTCGCGTTTGCCAGTACTTGGCAACTTTAGGTCACAACTTCAGTACTCAAGTACACAACTTGTCAACTCAAGTTGACAAGTTCATATCGAATATTCCATATTTGGAATTGTAGCTGGCAACATTAGAAAGTAACTTGGCAACCGCCATTTGAAAAGTTAACTTAAATCGACAATAAAACTATTCTCATATAAAAAGAATGATGGATATAGGGTTGATTAAAGTAAATTATACAAGGTCATTTTAAACATAAAAGCTTTTGTAACTATACGCTGTTTTTCAGAAATTTCTAAAGAATTTTTAAAACTAATTTAAAATAGTCCGTATGTGATATGAAACTTACTCTGAAAAGAAGACTCGCGTTTATTGTGAGTCTTCTAGTCAACTCAAGTTGAGAAGTTCATATGGAATATTCCATATTTGGAAATGTAACTGGCAACATTAGAAGGTAACTTGGCAACCGCCATTTGAGAAGTCAACTGAAATCGACAATAACTCAATATTTGAGAAAGGAACAAGAAATTTTTTATTTGAAAAGTAATATTTTGAATTTGTTACAAATTCATCATCAGACTATATTTACAAGCTAAGATACGCTCAACTTATATGTGCGTTACATCATTTCAACGGAAGTACGTGAATGCGAGTTGGATGGGAGGGACTAGGTCATTGTGAGGCAGTGAAATCAAATAGTTTTGACCTTCCGTGGAAGCGCTACCATCAGTAAAATATGTCTAATGATGATATTTTCTAAAATCAGCCCTTCAGAACTAAAAGTTGCTGGCTGGCTTCGTTACTGCCGTCATGTGCATTTATCCAGGTAATGACGACGTCAGAACGCGTCTTTAATAAAAAAAATAGCATGCATCTATAATATACTGACAACAGCATGAGACCAGAGATCTGTCACGAATTTAATTTAGCCAGTTTAATAACGTCTTCTCTTGAATACACATGTATATTGAACGTCATAAACTCTCTAATTATGCTATCAAAAACAGTTTAGTACTTATGAACTATTGGCGTCAGTATAAGAAATTTATGAATGAAATTAACGACAATTGGAAAACACCGCCGACAAAATAGGGTTTTTTTAATTTTTAAATGCTGTAAAATCCATTACTATGTTTTGGTTATTCATATCCTGTAATGTTTAATAAATAAGTACCAGCGTATTTTCTTGTGGCAAAAGATATTATTTTAATTTTACTAATTCACTAAAATATGAGTAATATTTGTATTGCGTCTAAGTTACATATTTTTAGCACATATTTAATACAAGAAAAACACTTTAAACGGTGAAATATTGTTTAAAAAGAACGTCTGTAAAGAACTCACATCTGACAAATGCATGCAACTTGTTTTAATCATGTTTTCAAACGAGTTACATTGGAATCGCTAAGAAATGCTACTTGACAAATGAAGCTTGTCTAATCACCTTTAGTAAAACGTATTGAATGACTTTTTTCTTTTGAATCTACGTAGATTTGTCCATTTTGAAAACGTATAATGCTTTTAATTACAGACATTAACTTTGAATTTTATTTTAATAAAACACAGCTGTTTTTGACGCTTATTTGTCATTCAGCCATTTGTCTGAAGCATTTAACGTACAAAGGTTGTCTTCTTTCAAACTTTATCATAAATGTATCGATTTGTCAGAAAGCTGAAAATGTATTATTCACTGTGTGCATTAAGCAAAGTATCGCTCATTTGACTATTTATGTACTAAGGAACGTTTGTGCATTAAGTTTAATGTTCAGACATTTGCGATCAAGTGCACTCTGTTGGCAGAAGAATACATACAGAATTTTGTAAACGATGAATTCAACAGTGGAAATTCCTTCACAAACTTTCTTCATATTTGTAATTACAATTGAATCATTGTGTGTAATTATTGGAGTTACGGGCAATCTTTTTGTGATATTGCACAATGTTCGTTGGAATACAGATAAAAATACGAGCAGTTATGTGGTTATAAATTTGGCCGTTTCAGATCTTGTCGTTTGTGGGATCTCTTTTCCATTGTATATTGTAGAGGCGAGTCGTGTCTTGATGGGAAATACTGAAAAATCTGACGTATCTTGTCAATTAAACACTTCTATTTTTTGTGCGACTGTATCGCTTTCTTTTCTAAATCTCATGATGCTCACAATTGATCGTTACATTTGTATTGCATTACCCCTAAAGTATCCTCACATTGTCACCCAAAGAAAGGTGTCTGTAGCTTTGGTTTCAGTATGGATCACTGGCTTTCTTAGTTTTATTATGATGTTTTTCACCGCAAGAGCTACCGACGTGCCATTGATATGCGAGATGAACAAAATAATGGCTTCAGTTGTTGGTTTTTTCTTTTTTTATGTTCCACTTGGTGTTACGATCGTTTTTAATGTGAAAACTGTAAAAATTGCTCGAAACCAAGGTCGAAAAATAGCAGCACAAGCTTCATCACTACAAACAAGTGATTCAACCTCTACAGATGATTTGAACTCAAGAAAAAACTTCACACGACAGTTGAAACTGTTCAAAACAATCCGTGTCGTTTTTGGTTGTTTTTTATTCTGTGTATCACCATTTCCTGTGATAGGTTTTGTGGAGTTTATCATTTGCAATCGGGGCTGTATTCCTCCAGAAGTTATAGTTGTCTTACTGCTTTTAGCTGGTCTGAATTCAATTATAAACCCTTTCATATATGGCATACGAGACAAGGAATACAGAAGATCTTTCAAGCAAATGCTTGTGCGATGCTGCAATTGGTTTAGGTGACTGAAACTTGAAATTTTTGTTCTACGTATCATATACAAGAATGGAAGAGGCTATCATGACGTTGGACTTGCTCATTTTAACACTTGAAGTATTAATAAGATCTAAGTTGAAAATGCAACGATAATTAACAACATTTTATTATCAACATAAGATTATCAATATTAGATTGTCAACATAAGATTATCAACATTGGATTATCAACATAGGATTATCAATATTTGATTATCAACATAAGATTATCAACATAAGATTATCAAAATAAGATTATCAACATATGATTATCAACATAACATTATCAATATAAGATTTTATCAACATAAGATTATCAACATAAGATTATCAACATTAGATTATCAACATAAGATTATCAACATAACATTATCAACATAATTTATCAACATAAGATTATCAACATTAGATTATCAGCATAAGATTATCAACATTGGATTATCAGCATAAGATAGAAGCTGATTTGAGCTTAAGCTGTGAGAGAAAATAGTCAGTCGAGTTTATTCTAACTCGTAGCGAATGTTGTACTACAAGTTACATTTGATTAAAAATAATTTATCTTGTTAATGGAGAGTTAAATCGAAAAGTGTTAAAGCAATTTTTCTTGATCGATTGTTTGTGACAAAATTTAATGTTTACTGGTGAAAAATAAAATCATCAAAATCAATAAACATGTAAATTTAATAACTCGAAGTGAGTACCATTTTTTCTGGACTCGTAACTTCTAAACGATAACATTAATTACAAATGTCATTCAAAACAGTTTTAAATCTTTAAACCATATCACTTTGACTTCATTATGAAAAGGATGGATAAGAAAGTAGCACCTCGATAAATAATTATCATTAGCAGGTTCGTAGCTCGTGAGATTTCGAGTATTATGTAGAAATGAAAAGAATACAATAAAGCAAAAATGTAATGTTAACGGTCTTCGACTGTTGTTTGTATCAAGCAACCAAGGACGGATTATCCAGTAGGCTAAGTAGGCTTAAGCCAACTGGCCCGGGTTTTCGAGAGGCCCGTTGTATCTATAGACATAAATAGGATTTGAGCGTTTTTGCTATTCCAGCTAGCTAAATGTTCTTGTCTTAAATTATTTATGCTTTCGAAAACCTTACGAGCAAATGAATGCAGGGGGAAAATGGTTCTCGTACTATCTGCTGTTGAAATGCACAATGCTCAGAACTCATGAAGTATTACATGGCTTTTCCTATTTCCCTGACCATTTCAATGATTTTTGAAATTTCGTTTTAACTTTGAAATGAACTTTTTATATTTTCCGATATTTTTCCCTATGGGGTTACAAACAGGAAATGCAAAGCAAAGGAAAACTGAGCTTAGTGAGAGGAATAGGTATCGCTTAAAGGCCTTTAACTTTGTCTTAGCCTACAGGCCCCGTAGTTAGTAATCCGTCACTGCAAGCAACTACTGGAAAAATAAATATGAAACAGTCAGTCAACAACAAAACGTTGAAACGTCAGTCAACAACAACAAAAACAGTCCTTCTCAGGACTATACTAACCTGGACGATCTACATTTACAAACATGAAACAGAAGGACTATCAGGCGTTCACTCGGGCTTTTCAAGAACAGTGTTTGATCATATTTGTGTGTTATAATGGTTGCCAAGTAGCATGGTAGCGCAATCTCTCTTACATTGCAATGTATTATATCAGTAAATCATGTTTTATTATACTTGTCCTCTTTGACACTCACGCGTGAAGCAATGCAAAAAAGATTTTGATTGGTTCACGGACTTCGTGTCTACCACGCGTGACTTATGCAATCTCGCGACATTGAAGGAAAATACGAATTTTAAACCAAGTCATTTAACGATGTGAGATATTTTGAAACGACTTTAATCCAAAGCTGTCATCCGAGAATCATCATGATACGAATCCTTTGGATTAAATAGCATTCATATTGTGTTGTGCGTTTGGGGTCAATGTCTTGTTGCAAAACACACAATTAAATATGATTTCATTTTTATGATGATGCCCTGACCAAGTTAAACCAAAACAGTTTCTTTACTGTCAACTAATCTTTCGATGTTTTTAAATAATTGTATAATATTTACAATGGTGGCCAATTTATCCATCCAATAAAGATGATGAAATGCTTATTGATTGATTTTTCTATGGTTGTATTTCCAATAATCGATTGTGAAATCTTGACATGTGCACATTTACATAAATCTTATGTTCTCGAGTCTTTAACTTTTACACAAATGTTAAACTTTTTGTTGTTTAAATGAATAATTTAAATTACATAAACTTCTAATCATCTATCCGATTGCAGATTGTCTTGAACAAACTGGATTGTATAACATCATCCTCTTTACAAATAGATTTATGAGCTTCTTTTGTTCTAAGTGTTGCATTTTTATACAGTGCTGGCGGCTATGACTCATGCTTTGTACGAAAAAGGAATTTGAAAACTGTTTGGCTCTATAGAGCAATATGCTGAAGGTCAAATTGCTAGACAGGAAGTGAGTCCTTGTACGAAAGGAATGGGGGCTGTGGTTTAGTCTTAAATGTTTATATAAGTGAGAAACGAGTTAAATAAGCAATATGCTGAAGGTCATATTGTTAGACAGGAAGTGAGTCCTTGTACGAAAGGAATGGGGGCTGTGGTTTAGTCTTAAATGTTTATATAAGTGAGAAACGAGTTAAAATAAGCAATATGCTGAAGGTCAAATTGTTAGACAGGAAATAAGTCCTTGTAATGAAAGGAATGGGGGCTGTGGTTTAGTCTTAAATGTTTATATAAGTGAGAAACGAGTTAAAATAAGCAATATGCTGAAGGTCAAATTGTTAGACAGGAAGTGAGTCCTTGTACGAAAGGAATGGGGGCTGTGGTTTAGTCTTAAATGTTTATATAAGTGAGAAACGAGTTAAAATAAGCAATATGCTGAAGGTCAAATTGTTAGACAGGAAATAAGTCCTTGTACGAAAGGAATGGGGGCTGTGGTTTAGTCTTAAATGTTTATATAAGTGAGAAACGAGTTAAAATAAGCAATATGCTGAAGGTCAAATTGTTAGACAGGAAATAAGTCCTTGTACGAAAGGAATGGGGGCTGTGGTTTAGTCTTAAATGTTTATATAAGTGAGAAACAAGTTAAAATAAGCAATATGCTGAAGGTCAAATTGTTAGACAGGAAATAAGTCCTTGTAGAAAATGGATGGGAGTGATACAGGGGGGTGTGAAATACACATTACTATGTCACATTGTGTAACAGCGAATATGATTTTCACTGTATTTTTTTCTTTCTTAGGTCCAAACATTTTTCTCTCTTCGGAAGGTCTAATAAAACTGGGTGATTTTGGAGCTTCTGTTAAATTAGGCAATCCCTCGCAGACAATGTGTGGTGAAGTAGCCACTCTCCGGGGAACTATTGCGTACATGGCACCGGAAGTTATTACCCTCGATAAAGGAGCCGGTTATGGGAGGGCTGCTGACATTTGGAGCGTGGGCTGTGTTGTTGTTGAAATGGCCACTGGGAAGGTAGGATGTCGTTTATATAATTACTTTAGTATTTTCTAAGTGATTAGAATCTGAATTCCAATTACGTTCTAAAGTTTTCTTTTTTTATCGAATGTGAACACCTTGATGATATTTCAAAACACAGTTCTAGTTTCTTTCATATTTTAATATAATAGATAATAACATCACGTTGTTATGATGTACTCAGGTATAGTAACAAGATAATCATTGTCTTCAATGTTCTACCAACTGAACTATAAGATCAACTGTAGACTATGATGATGTTTAAAACGCAGTTCTACTTTCTTTCAAGTTTTAATGTCATAGATGATTGCCTAACAATTTGATTATTTTTATAACGATTAATATAGTTAAAATAATAATTTCAGGAAATTACTAAAAATTAAATAATTTTTTATTCCTTGCCCAGGAAGGGTGTTACTTTTTATTAGATGGTGATTTTTTCAAACCAGCTAAAAACTTGGCTAGGTTTCTAACTTGACGATAATCTAACTTTCTTTTCTTTGAATTTAAGTTTTATTTTATTAATTGTCTAGTTTGAATCATAGTTTTTTGTCTTTTGAGAGATTTTTGGTACAACGACAAAATTCTATACAATTGATAGCGCTATGTATATAGACTACGTCACGTGTTACGGACTGCAAAAGATTTTTCTCCAATTTCCATGTATATTAAAAAGCAAATTTATTTAATCATCTTTTATTATTTCCTGTTTGACACATTAACTAAACATAGATTCGCATACATCATTTGCGGTTTTCAGATTAAAAGACAATTATCTTTTTTTTAAGAATGCAACGATTCATCTTCAGAGCCGAAAATTATAATTGTAATCGGTCAAAAATTTTATTATTATGTTGCATGCAATGTATTATTTATTTTGTTTTATATGATTGTTTTAATATATTTTCTATCATTATTTACTGTCAGTTAGCAGTACATTATTCACAATCTGTTCAAGTCGTTAGTCTTAAATGATAAAGTAGAAAGCATCTTCCAAAAAATGGTTCTATTTCAAACTGAAAATATGAAATGAATAAGCAGACGCAGTTTTCGACTCTAGTATGTATTCTCATTATATTGTCAATATATGATCAGATATCATACATTTTTAATTTGTACAGATATAGTCGTACAAAGTTATCTCATCATATTTTATGACCTTCACTGACGTCTAAGATAATAGCCTAACCCACACCGGACAAAGAACTGTTTGAGTTAATGAATTTATAATGCTCTATTACATGACTTTTTTTTGTTTTGAATCTTTTTGACAAGTCATGGGTAGTCAAGCCATTATTTAGCTAAGTACGCAAGTATTTTTAATATTTACTCATTTTGTGAACATTCGATATTAATCAAAGGTTGAAAAAATTATTCCTTTTGACTTGCAAAAGTTGAAGAAGCAGTGAAGGCGGAAATCAGTAATTACCAACGACTCCTGTATCAGTTGATTGATTTCTCATTAAATAACGACTCGAAGAGACGATTTTAAACAGATTGCATACAACGTTTATTACGTCGGCTTATGATTTGAAAAAATAGCTTCGCCATTTGTAAAAGAAAATTTCATCGTTTGTATCTTGGTGAAGTAGAGGTTCTACTATATATTTGTCACAAGAACATCATTTTGGTGCAGCGCGTCTCATAAAAATTTACCTCTGTGAGGTTAAACTTTGGTCTTCGAAGAATTTGTTTCATATAAACACGTTTATTTAGCTGAAGAGAAACGCTTTTTGATGTTCGAGAGACATTAGCACTTGACAAGAGGCTGAGTGGGTTGTTGTTATTGTGAAAGAAGCATCAAGAAGAATAACTGATTGAAAGGCTGGAAGACATACAATTGTCGTTAAGAAGTTGATCAAACCATCTGTAAAAAAAAAGTATTGATTATTAAAGTCATCTTAAGAAAAGAAAATCCACAACAATAGATAAACTGGTGGATGTACTCCAAAGTCCGTATCATTCCATTGTCTAAATAAAAGCCTTTGCTGTAGAAGCAATTATTCAAATCCGTACACCGAGATGTTTTTTAATCACACAAGAAACAACAGTAATACCGATTTCTTTGAGTTTGGATGGTTTCGTTTTCCTACAAATGTTGTTGATAACTATGTGGCTATGATCGTAATCCATGATATTTTGGTTGTGCTTGCACTTCTTTCCAATCCTATATTTCTTTACGTTATTTACAAGACGTTTCATTCATCTACTGGAAAGAACAATAGTTTGCTTTTAGCATGTACTTGTGTCTCTAACATTTTCATGTATGGTTTCAGTATGTTAAATATGATCATTGGATTCGGTATTGGTGTCATGACACGAGTCTTTTCCATATTAATGCCTACATATTACCTCATAACCCTCGGCTTGGCACTAAATAATTATGGTCTTATTGTAACACCCATAAAATTTCAAGTGTTGTCACCCAAACCAAAAACTGTTATTGCTATCGTGGGACCAGTATATATAATATTCTCACTCGTACTCCTCATTGTCCCCAGTTTTGTTGAGAATATTCATTTGTACACGGAAATGTTGTTGACGACAGAAGTCGGTATATGTTGGATTGTAACCATTATTCTATCGATATTATATTTTAAAATCACCAAGACTTTATATCATCGGAAAAAGAAGCTTTTAAAAACATTCAATGTATCTGAAAATCAACAGGGATCCGTCATCATTGCGAAAAATTCAAGGCTAGCTAAAGTGATGTTTATTTACATTTTAGAGTTAATTATCTTGACGCTTCCGACTTTTACTTGCACTATGATACAGAGTGTATTTTACGACCGACAAAATCTCACCTTACATCGTATAATTTTCTTTTTAATTCCTATGGCCATCAGTTTACCAATTGTTCACGTGTTCCACTGGCTTCTTCTATCTCCTCTGTATTACCAAGAGATAAAGAGAATTATCGGGAAGATTTTTGATTTATTTCATCGTAAGAGTCAGGAACAGTAAACTCTTTACAAAAAATTTTATGTTCTTAGTGTAGTGCTAGAAACGATATGAAATAATTTTTTGTTTTTATTTTTAACCAGATGGATTTTTAACCATTGATTACCAGTCTTTCATTTTATTATAAATTTTATTGTCTTAAAACGGTTAGGTTTCTTCACGTTGGCTTATCCATAATTTAGCTTTGAAGGATTCAACTGTAATCCAATTCATTTTTGTGAGTTTGTTTGCATGTGATTAAAATGTGGGTTTAATGGAGAATAAGAATGTCGACATTATCTTTCTAATTCTGATTGGTTTACAGCAACAAACAGTTCTTATTTTTTAACATTAGGCAATATTTTTTAAGCTCATTAACAAAACATGCGCAGTTGTTTAACATTAGTATTTCGAATATCTTTTAATTTATGATCAAACATCTTACATTTTTTAATCAAGCCAGTATTTTTTAATGATATTTATTTTTGTTCTCAGTTGTCTATGTTAATATTCTCCCCCACTCATCTATATAAAGAATGTTTTATTAAGATTGATTAATTCATAACGTTCTTTTACCTTCTATTTCTCTTTAATTGTCGCCTTAAAGAGATAAATGTAAACAGATTGGACAAAGCCTTTTCTACGCAGGCATACGATTTCAGTAAATCGCTTTGTCATTTATCCTTAAAGCACAATTTGATCGTTGACATCTTGATGGAATAGAGCTTTTACATTTCTCACAAGAACATTGTTTGATATTGAGAAAGATTTGGCTTCGTGAGGGGTTGTGAACTTTGGTCATTGAAGAATTTGCCTCTCATATACTGCGTTGTTTAGCTAAAGAGAGACACATTTTGACGTTTGACAAAAGTTAAGTACTTTTGTCGTTTGCGAAAAGTCAGAGTGAGTTGTTATTGTGACAGAAGGGTCAAGCGTCGCGAAGAATGAATGACTGAAAGGCTGCAAGACCTACAGTTGTTATTTATAAGATAAAACCATCTGTAACAGAAGTGCAGTGTTTTCCAAAATCATCTCACGAAAAAGCCCAACAAAAAAAGATAAAGTGGTTGATCGATTCCAAAGTCGTTTACATTCTAACATCAAAACAAAAGGCATTACTGCTGTGGCAATACAAGAAGCAGTCGACCATTATTCTCAGCAATTGTTGACCGTCTCAAGATGTATTTTAATACCACAAGAAATTACAGTAATCTTGAGTTCTTTGAATTTGGATGGTTTCGTTTTCCTACAAACGTTGTTGACAACTATGAGGTTATGATCATAATCCATGATGTTTTGGTTGTGCTTTCTTTTATTTCCAATCCGATATTACTTTACGTTATTTACAAGACGTTTCATTCATCTACTGGAAAAACAACAGTCTTCTTTTAGCATGTACTTGTATCTGTAATATTTTCACGTATGGTTTCGGTATCTTAGATATAATGATTGTAATCGGCGTCGATGTCATGACACGAGCTTTATCCATATCTCTGCCTACATATTACTTTATAACCCTCGGTTTGGCACTAAATAATTATGGTCTTATTGTAACACCCATAAAATTTCAAGTGTTATCACCCAAACCAAGAACTGTAATTGCTATCGTGGGACCAGTATGGTTAATAATCTCCCTCGTACTCCTCATTGTCCCCAGTTTTGTTGAGGATATTGAATTGTACTCAGAAACGTTGTTGGCGACTGAAGTCGGTATATGTTGGATTTTGACCGTTATTATATTGGTATTATATTGGAAAATTGTCAACACGTTATATCAAAGGAAAAAGACGCTTTTAAAAACGTTTAATTTGTCCGAACAACAACAAGGATCTGTCATCATTGCAAAAAATTCAAGACTAGCAAAAGTGATGTTTATTTACATTTTAGAGATAGTTGTCTTGTCACTTCCAGTTGATACTTGCATTGTGATACAGAGTGTATTTTACGACTTAGAAAATCTTACTTTAGATCGTATAATCTTCTTCTTAGTTCCTGCGGCCATTAGTTTACCACTTGTTCACGTGATCCACTGGCTTCTTCTATCTCCTCTGTATTACCAAGAGATAAAGAGAATTGTGGGAAAGATTTTTAACTTATTTCATCGTAAGAGTCAGGAACAATAAACGTATAAAGCAAAATTTTTAATGTACTTAATGTAGTGTTAGGAAGGACTGAAGGTCTTTCATTTTATTTTGAGTTGGCTGTTGTAAAACTGTTTACGTTTCTCCACTTCCGTATTTGAATATTATACCATTAAAGGATTTATTCGTTCGCCATTCATACTTGTGAATTTGTTTTCGTGCGATTAAAATGTTGCTTTCTGCGGTGGGATCCTGAACGTATTCTAAAATCTTACTCACGTTTACACTCATTTAGTACGACACCGTAATCGCGTTCCCACCATGCAATACCAAATTCGTGTCTCCATCAATGTCAAGACTTTTGATTAACCACTCTAAATTAAAAATTTCTTGAAGTAAAAATACCGTCAATCTTCCAATAATTACACGGGTTATATGGAAGCTCCACTCAGCGAGAGTGAGTGTGAGTGAGCTTTTTCTATACAGGAGTATATTTTTTAACTTCTCTTATATATTCGTTAACGTAGCTTTATTATTAGTTTATTGTCTCTACTTACCAGCAATTCTTCCAATTCTTCTGGCTGTATTGTTGTTTGCGTGAGAAGACGTTTTTCTTTTTGTCAATGACCACCATTCAAAGTCTGGTTGTGTTGTTGGTTTTGAGAGAAGACGTTTTCCTCCTCTTTTCGAAAAAAATCACATGAATCTTTATGGTGATAAATTTTTAGTGTAGTGATTAATTAGAGACCCTGTTTCCGAACACGTGTTATATTTCATCCTCGTCACGTGACTCTATTCTCATTTTTTTAGCCCCCGTGGAGCGAGTACGACAACCAATGGGCGATCATGTTAAAGGTTGGTGAGGGTGGCTCTCCTGCAATCCCAGAATCCCTTAGTGATGAAGGAAGGGAATTTTTGACGCGTTGTTTCGTGCACGACCCTCACGAGAGATGGACCGCAAGACAGCTTCAAAATCTCACTTTTCTTAAAGTATGATTTAATTTGCATTTCATGGGTAAGAAATGAAGTTATTCAAGTATTTATTCAGTTGGTAGATGCTGTAGAATTTGTTTTCTTCCTATATCACACAAGACTTTTGATATTACAGAGCTAATCTCAATGCAAATTAAACAAAGTTAATATTTACATGGTACTTACAGTTTGGCAAGCCTAGTACCCCGAGTTTTTGTATTGACGCTCCTACCTTAATTACTGAGTAGCGTCTATGAAAGAGCTTGCGTACGAAGTTGCAATTTTGTGTCATCAGATTGGTGATTTTTCAATCACAGACATCATTGTTTTGAACATCTATTTTATAGAACAATTATTGATGGTTTTGGAATTCCAATGGATCATAATGGATCATACTGGTTCGCTATTTACTTATTCTGTTCAGGATCACCATCTATTACGGTCAGATTTATCTATGTTGCATTATTTATTAGTTTGCCGTCGTGGTAGCTATGGAGTAATTTATTTAAATGAAGTCGGAATTTGTTTGAAGTTTCCTTCTTGTTCTTGATGAACACTCGCAAAGTTTTTCAAATTTTCTTTGAAAAGTATGCCGTTTTTCATGGTCTGTGTGATCTTTGTATTCGCACTAGAACATCTTGAGCAATCGTTTATTTGAATATTTTTTCTGGAGGATAAATGTGTTAGAAAACATTTCATCTTTACTACGGAGCTCAACTACTGCATACTTAGGCATTGCGTTTGAAAATTAAGCTTCAAGAAAATAATGCGTTTTATTTATTGAGAGAATTTTTAAGTAAATATATAATCCATCCAAGTTTGGTATTTTCCATTTGTAGCTATATCAGTTTAGAAGATTACGCCAGCTTAAAGGCATAGAAGATAACTATTATTTATTATATAGTTAAAATGTAAATGTGTTTTAAAATATATGTATATAGAATGTATGGAGTTGACAAATGTTTAAAATTACATTTACTTCATGAAAAATATTCTTCTACTAATAATCCCTGCTGCCAAAATTTAATGATATTTTGCTATCCGTACACAGACACTTTAGATGACTAAAATTTCAACTTTTTTTCTCTACTAAATGATCTTTTGGACTTATTTCTGAAATGATTCCGGTGGTTGAATAAACGTTCAACAGCAATTTACAAATTCAAGAAAACTGTCTTAAAGATTTTCTTTCATGAATTTGATTTATTATTTTAATAAACACCCAAGTAATAAACTCCCATGATAAAAAACACCTACCCTGGGTGTTTTTATCGTGTTAAAAAAGTGGTCATGTCTACTTTACAAGACGGAAACTTTTTTACCTTTGAACTGGCACTTTTTTATTGATATAACATGGTTTCAATGATCGCTTTTTGGTTTTGGAGAGAACTTTAATTTTTTATACAACGACATGCAATTATCCATTTCATTTCATGCAACAGAATCTTAGCTAGTGAGGTGTCAATCATTTCCAATCTTTATTAAAAAGTGATTTTTTAATAAAGATAAAAATGATTGAAGCATCACTAGGTGATTTTAATAAAGATTGCAAGTGATTGAAACATTGTTATTTTCTGTGTCACATCGTTGATAAAAATATGTTCGTAAGTACGTATCTTTGTTGACGTCAAAATCTTGCATAAGAAATTGACATTTTCCCCTATGAAAGCAATAATTCATTTTCAGAGCCGAGAAATTTTTTGTAATGTCAAAAATTTGTTAGTATGTTTTTTTGTTATCAATTATTTATTTTAATAATCTGATAATTTTCTGTTTATGTTTGTTGTCAGTCAACAGTGCATTATACACAATCTATTCCGGACGATGATTTTACATAAAAAAGTACTATCCGAAAACTAGCACTATATTAAACTTAATTTGACATCAAAACCAACCGAGAGAGTTGTCAACCGTAATGTTTGGAATTCCTTTTATCAGTCTTTAAAATATTGTACATTTTTCTTTTTTTCCATTCTTAATCGATGTTTAATGACCATAACAAATACTCTCTGTTTTTACCGACTGCTGTAGACTAACTATAATCCCTTCGACTCGACAAAGAACTGTTTTAAGTTGTTGAATATATAATATTCTAGTTTGGCGTATTTTTAATTAAATCTTTGTGCTTCGTCTCCGTCGGTCATTGCTACAATTAAAGCAGCAAATTTTTTATAATTCACTCTTTTTGTGTATTTTCGATATCTATCAAAGATTCAAAAGATTTTTCTTTTCAACGTGGAAAAAGTTGAGAAATTGTGACGACGAGAATCGATAACTATAATTTTTGAATAATTTCAGCTGTTGCATTCATTGCTATGTATATTGGAGACGAATGTAAACAATTGCACAAAAACTTTTCTATGTCGGCCTATGATTTCAGTAAATCGCTTGGGCATTTTTCATAAAAAAAATTCATCTTTGGTGTCTTGGTGGAATAGAAGTTACATTTAAACCTTAGCTTCGTGACGTTGAACCTTGTTCATCAAAGAATTTGCTTCCAATATACATGTTTTTTTTAGCGACGTGCTTCCGTTTGACAGAGATATAACTCCTTTGGTGGAGGCTGATAAACCATCTGCAACAGAAGCAGTAATTACTAAATTCATCAACAACATCGACAACAACAGATAAACTGATGAATATACTCCTATAGCCGTTACCATTCCAGTGTGTAAATAAAACCAAATAGATTTGTAACCATTGATTACCAATCTTTCATTTTGTTATAAATTTTATTGTCTTAAAACAATTAGGTTTCTTCACGTTAGCATTTCCATATTTTGGCTTTGAAGGATTCAACTGTAATCCAATTCATTTATGTGAGTTTGTTTGTAAGTGATTAAAATGTGGATTTAATGGAGAATAAGAATGTCGACATTATCTTTCTAATTCTGATTGGTTTACAGCAACAAACAGTTCTTATTTTTTAACAATAGGCAATATTTTTTAAGCTTATTAACAAAACATGCGCAGTTGTTTAACATTAGTGTTTCGAATATATTTTAATTTATGATCAACTATCTTACATTTTTTAATCAAGCCAGTATTTTTTACTGTATTGATTTTTGTTCTCTGTTGTCTATGTTAATATTCTCCCCCACTTATCTATATAAAGAATGTTTTATTAAGATTGATTAATTCATAACGTTCTTTTACCTTCTATTTTTCTTTAATTGTCGCCTTAAAGAGATAAATGTAAACAGATCGGACAAAGCCTTTTCTACGCAGGCATACGATTTCAGTAAATCGCTTTGTCATTTATCCTTAAAACACAATTTGATCGTTGACATCTTGATGGAATAGAGCTTTTACATTTCTTACAAGAACATTGTTTGATATTGAGAAAGATTTGGCTTCGTGAGGAGTTGTAAACTTTGATCATTGAAGAATTTGCCTCTCATATACGTCGCTGTTTAGCTAAAGATAGACACATTTTGACGTTTGACAAATGATGAGTACTTGTGTCATATGCGAAGAGTCAGAGTGAGTTGTTATTGTGAAAGAAAGGTCAAGCATCGCGAAGAATGAATGACTGAAAGGCTGGATGACGTACAATTGTTATTTATAAGATAAAACCATCTGTAACAGAAGTGCAGTGTTTTCCAAAATCATCTCACGAAAAAGCCCAACAAAAAAAGATAAAGTGGTTGATCGATTCCAAAGTCGTTTACATTCTAACATCAAAACAAAAGGCATTACTGCTGTGGCGATACAAGAAGCAGTCGACCATTATTCTCAGTAATTGTTGACCGTCTCAAGATGTATTTTAATACCACAAGAAATTACAGTAATCTTGAGTTCTTCGAATTTGGATGGTTTCGTTTTCCTACAAACGTTGTTGACAACTATGAGGTTATGATCATAATCCATAATGTTTTGGTTGTGCTTTCTTTTATTTCCAATCCGATATTACTTTACGTTATTTACAAGACGTTTCATTCATCTACTGGAAAGAACAACAGTCTTCTTTTAGCATGTACTTGTATCTGTAATATTTTCACGTATGGTTTCGCTGTCATAGATATAATGATTGTAATCGGCGTCGATGTCATGACACGAGTCTTATCCATACTCCTTCCTACATATTACTTTATAACCCTCGGTTTGGCACTAAATAATTATGGTCTTATTGTAACACCCATAAAATTTCAAGTGTTATCACCCAAACCAAGAACTGTTATTGCTATCGTTGGACCAGTATGGATTATATTCTTCCTCGTACTCCTCATTGTCCCCAGTTTTGTTGATGATATTGAATTGTACTCAAAAACGTTGTTGACGACTGAAGTCGGTATATGTTGGATTTTGACCGTTATTATATCGATATTATATTGGAAAATTGTGAACACGTTATATCAAAGGAAAAAGACGCTTTTGAAAACGTTCAATGTATCTGAACAACAACAAGGATCTGTCATCATTGCAAAAAATTCAAGACTAGCAAAAGTGATGTTTATTTACATTTTGGAGATAATTTTTTTGTCATTGCCAATTGATACTTGCATTGTGATACAGAGTGTATTTTACGACTTAGAAAATCTTACTTTAGATCGTATTATTTTCTTTTAATTCCTCTGGCCATCAGTTTACCTCTTGTTCACGTCATCCATTGGCTTCTTCTATCTCCTCTGTATTACCAAGAGATAAAAAGAATCGTCAGGAGGTTTTTTAATTTATTTCATCGTAAGAGTCAGGAACAATAAACGTATAAAGCAAAATTTTTAATGTACTTAATGTAGTGTTAGGAATGACTGGAGGTCTTTCATTTTATTTTAAATTTGGCTGTTGTAAAACTGTTTACGTTTCTCCACTTCCGTATTTGAATATTATACCATTAAAGGATTTATTCGTTCTCCATTTATACTTGTGAATTTGTTTTCGTGCGATTAAAATGTTGTTTTCTGCGGTGGGATCCTGAACGTATTCTAAAATCTTACTCACGTTTACACTCATTTAGTGCAACACCGTAATCGCATTCCCACCATGCAATAGCAAACTCTTGTCTCCCTCAACGTCGAGACTTTTGATTAACCACTCTAAATTAAAATTCCTTGATGTTAAAATACCGTCAGGCCCCTGTTTACACTATACCGGATCGCTATCGTAGCAGGTTGAATATTCTTTGTATTAAAAGGCATTGAAATTGTTCAACGTCAGAAACACAATCAAATAGACTAAATCTATCAACTTAATAAGCTTTTACTCTTAACAGTTAACCCTTTAAAGCAAATGATGACGTTGTGATGAGCAAATCTGGTATAGTGTAGACACAGCCCCATTTTCCAATGATTAATTTGTTTTAAGGAAGCTCAACCCAGCGAGAGTGAATGTGAATGAGCTTTTAGAATACAAGTGTACATTTTTTAACTTTTCTTATGTATTCGTTAAGGTAGCTTTATGATTTCTTTATAGTCTCTACTTACCAGCAATTCTTTCTTCCAATTCTTCTGGTTGTATTGTTGGTTGTGAGAGAAAACGTTTTCCTTCATGTCCATGACAACCATTCAAAGTCTTGTTGTATTGTTGGTTGTGAGAGATGACGTTTACATTCCATGTCCATGACAACCATTCAAAGTCTGGTTGTATTGTTGGTTGTGAGAGAAAACGTTTACCTTCATGTCCATGACAACCATTCAAAGTCTGGTTGTATTGTTGGTTGTGAGAGATGACGTTTACCTTCATGTCCATGACAACCATTCAAAGTTTGGTTGTATTGTTGGTTGTGAGAGAAGACGTTTACCTTCATGTCCATGACAACCATTCAAAGTCTGGTTGTATTGTTGGTTGTGAGAGAAAACGTTTACCTTCATGTCCATGACAACCATTCAAAGTCTGGTTGTATTGTTGATTGTGAGAGAAAACGTTTACCTTCATGTTCATGACAACCATTCAAAGTCTGGTTGTATTGTTGGTTGTGAGAGATGACGTTTACCTTCATGTCCATGACAACCATTCAAAGTCTTGTTGTATTGTTGGTTGTGAGAGAAGACGTTTTCCTTCATGTCCATGACAACCATTCAAAGTCTTGTTGTATTGTTGGTTGTGAGAGAAAACGTTTACCTTCATGTCCATGACAACCATTCAAAGTCTGGTTGTATTGTTGGTTGTGAGAGAAAACGTTTACCTTCATGTCCATGACAACCATTCAAAGTCTGGTTGTATTTTTGATTGTGAGAGAAAACGTTTACCTTCATGTCCATGACAACCATTCAAAGTCTGGTTGTATTGTTGGTTGTGAGAGATGACGTTTACCTTCATGTCCATGACAACCATTCAAAGTCTGGTTGTATTGTTGGTTGTGAGAGATGACGTTTACCTTCATGTCCATGACAACCATTCAAAGTTTGGTTGTATTGTTGGTTGTGAGAGAAGACGTTTTCTTTCATGTCCATGACAACCATTCAAAGTTTGGTTGTATTGTTGGTTGTGAGAGATGACGTTTACCTTCATGTCCATGACAACCTTTCAAAGTCTGGTTGTATTGTTGGTTGTGAGAGATGACGTTTTCCTCCTTCTCTTTTCATGCAACATTATCATGGCAGTTGGTTAAATACAGCATTTCCTAAAAATGTTTTGAAAAAAAACCCACATGTGTCTTTATGGTTATAGTTTTTTAAGGTAGTAATTAATTAGAGACCTTTTTTCCAAACACGTGTTCTACTTCATCCTCGTCACGTGACTCAATTCACGTCTTTTTAGCCCCCGTGGAGCGATTACGACAACCAATGGGCGATCATGTTAAAAGTTGGTGAGGGTGGCTCTCCCGCAATCCCAGAATCCCTTAGTGATGACGGAAGGGAATTTTGACACGTTGTTTCGTGCACAACCCTCACAAGAGATGGACCGCAAGACAGCTTCAAAATCTCACTTTTCTTAAAGTATGATTTAATGCGCATTTCGCAGGTAAGAAATGGAGTATTTAAGTATTTATTCAGTTGATAGATGCTGTAGAATTTGTTTTCTTATGTCCCACGATGAAGCATTGGATCATACAGAGGTAATGCCAATATTTCATCTAATACAAATCATACATAATTTTTACATAATACTTACGGTTGATAAAAATTATTTTGAGGAGCGTAAATTTAAAGAGCCTGGGTACAAAGTTGCAATTTAATGTCGTTGAATTTGTGATTTTTCAATCACAAATATCATTATTATGAACATTTACTTTGTACAACAAATATTAATGGTTTTGAAGTTCCAATGAATCATAATGGTTCGCCATTTACTTATTCTGTTCAGGATCACCATCTATTACGGTCAGATTCATTTATGTTGTGTTATTTATTGGTTTGTCGTCGTGATACGTATGGAGTAATTTAATTTAAAATTTATGAAGTTGGAATTTTTTTGAAATCTCATTCACTTTCTTCATGAACACTAGAAAGGTTTTTCAAGTTTTGTCTTCAATTTAAAAGTATGCCTTTTTTCATAGTCTATCTGTTCTACTTTGTATCCGCACTACATCTTGAGTAACCGTTTCTTTTTAATTTTTTTTCCCGCGGATAAATGTGTTAAAAAATATTTCATCTTTGCTATGGAGCTCAGCTGCTGAATACGTATGCATAGCGTCTGAAAATTGAACTTGAAGAAAGTACTGTGTTTTATTTATTGAGAGAACATAAAAACTATCGAAGTTTGGTATTTTGCATTTTTATATTATTTTAGAAAATACGTCAACTCAAAGGCATAGACCATAAATATTTTTTATTATATAGTTAAAATGTAAATGTGTTTTAAAATATATGTATAGAACGTATGTAGATCTGTCTTATGTTTAAAACTTGTGAGCCAAATTTTGATGATAATAAGCTAATAATACACAGACAGTTTAGATGACTAAAATTTCAACAGTTTTTACCATGTTCATGTGGTCTAATTTCTAA